AAAATTGAGCAATCAAAATTCGAAATTGTAAAGTTGGGAGTAGTTTATTTCGTTCTGGATTTATTTCTATGTTCGGCTACAATTATATGAAACAATTTGAAAATCATGTGTTCTTAATGCGCCTCCGTTGTTTCAAATTTGAAGTTTCTCTCAATGGATCAGGCATGCCAAAGCCGGGAAGGGGGAAGGCTGGGAGGCACTTCCCCTCTCACTTTTTTGCTGAAGTAGTTACAGGTTGTATTCAAGTTATTGCATCAAGGATAATGGTGAAAAACAACCATGGAAGTTTGTAAATTCGCCTTGAGCTTGGGTTCACCTTTGAATGAGACTGGACACACCAGGCCTGTGTAAGATGTATCTTGCCTGTCTTTTTTGGCCATGGCAATTTTTGGAAATATGCTTATAATAGGAATCGAAATATTCCTTGTGTTCAGCAGGGACGACAAAGAAGTGAAGGGGATAAATTTGATAAATTTGGCCATAAATTTGAAGAATTAGGTACTATTGTGATAAATTCTGCCATTTCAGTTCCCCCATCCCAAGTTACATGCTCTAAGTCATTTGCTACTCATGTATTTTCAAAATTTAAAGCATTTCACATTGAAACGTGTTGAAAAAACAATGAACAAAGTAAATTTCAATACTTTGAAAAACTATTCAAGTTATTCAGCTCTGATACTGTGATTGACAATCTTCAAATAGCCAATTAGAAACAATGAAGTTTGGCAATCCCGTTAACACACAGTGGGAGTCAACAACATTGGTGAACCACTCAGCTCCATAAGATGATAAAAACCCATTCACAACTAAGAACGATTTCGTTATTTCGAAAGTAAGAAAGTGTTATTAAGGCATTAAGAAGTATTAGAGGGATTAAAAATGGGACAGCTTGACGCTCGGTTGATGAAAAAGATTAATTCTGCGTATGTCATTGAAATGAAGAAACGATTGTGTTTAATCGGAGCAAAAATTATTTTGGACACCAAGCTCTCGTGTTTACCTACAGCGAACGAAATAGACCGTTTTAAGGGAAAAAGTCAATCCTTGCGAAAATATGTTATACGAGATGTCGAAGAGAACTTTGTGGAACTGAAAAATAATATTATAAAGGTTTAGCTTTTATCGGGTAACGCATTCCAAAGATTTGCAGCTAAAACATATGATGATATAGAAATTGCATCAGATCCCCTCAGATAATTGTTGCTGATAACTTTTTCATCTTAAAATTCACCAATAAATATAATAGCTTGTGATGTGCGCATAAATAACAATTAAAGGACAATCTTGCATAGGCCCTCTATTTTGTATCTTACTATCTTTACTACACCTTTTAATAGTAGAAAGTTTGACCCCAGTTGAACATATGCAAGTAAAATTTCCCCCAGATTAGTCAAATTTCTACCAATTCAAAAATTGAAAAGAAGCATTTCCCTCCTAATAAAACTATCAAAAGAGCATCATGAAATAGAGCCAAAAACTCTAGAAACAGTTGTATTATGTATCTGGTAAAAATATTTGTATCTTCAATAGCAGCATTGAATGACTTGATCGATGCATGAATATCAAACAAACCGCATTGGTAGAAAAGACCGATTCAACTTATGCAAAATTATCTGCACAAACATCGCTCATAGAAAAGAAGGGAAATCATTGAAGGGAAATCATTGGCCTATGAAATTATCTCATAGCTTGACACTAATGTATCAAATAACTAATACAACTTCAATACTGTTCTATTGCTCCATGAACCGTCAATGTTTGGTTCATTGGATTCTCATGTCTAGATCATAACAATGCAACGTCAATCAAATGTCAAACCATGAATAGCTATTGTTTTATGAATGACCTCTGGCTGTTATTCTATTGTTTCTTGACTTTGTTTGCCGTCAAAAGAAACAATTGAGCATCAATCAAATGCCGCTCATTGAAGAATCATACTAGGGAATTTTTCTTTTGAATATTTTTACTTCAATCTTATTTCGCTTCTTTCTGTTTTAGAAGCCTAGAATGGATTTACAACAGACTATCTAATTTTTAATTTTCTTTATATTGGTGTAACTAGTATTTTCATTTTGAAAGTATTTTAGATATTTTTCAATATATTAACTTGACTTTTTCATACCGTAACTTAGTCATGCGAGTAATTTAGTAAAAACTATAAACAAGTAATTTGGAGACTATATAAAAGCAGGTGAACTATCTACATGGTGCATGGTGCTAGTACAGATTGTTTAATTTTGCTAATATTATTCAATATAATCCAAACAATCTACAACCTGGATGAATTGAAAAAGATTCTGAAAACCTTTAAGCGAGACCAAAGAACGTATCCATAACAACACAATCAATCATTGAGAAATCTTTCCGAAAAATTACCGAAATTACCGAAAAATTACTTGTTTTTCAACTAGAAGAAAATATTTATTGATAGATAATTTGTCATCTAGTGTTGTTTGTTGGAGTTGGTAGAAATCTCAGAAAACAAAATTAAATTTAATTGGTTAAATTATCATGTTGTGTTTGCCAATAACAAATAATGTATTTAATTAAAAAGTTAGACGCTCTCTGCTGCAATCAATTCAACTACTTGGATACATACAAAAATATCCTTGAAAATGGCTTTGAAAAAAGCAAACATTTAGTAAACTAAAGCTTTTCGTCTGGCACTCATCAAAGTTTAAAACGTCAGAACATAGATCGAAAACTCTACGCTAGGAAATATATATACCCAGTTGTGGATCGAAACAGGCCAATCAGAAACACGAGCACATGACTGTTGAGGTTGACCAATCAGTGCCGCTTGCCTATTGAGAATGTTACCAATGGAGTCCTAAGGTGAAAACGAACTCCTTTAGTCTACACAGAAGCGGTTTTTTCATGCTTATGTAGATAGATTCCAAAACTGCTAGGTGGAACGACGATCGGGCTTTACCAATAATCCGAAACATGTCGCCATTATAGTTTTTTGCACAATCTGGGTTTTCCAGTAAATGCTGCCCGAATCGCAGGTTTTAGTTGTACTTTTAGATCCGCAAGACCGAGGTGGCTGTTCTCTTTGGGGACGAGTTTTATTTCATGTCTTCAAGTGAAGCCACACTATTTTAGCCTCATACTCATTATAGTCTCGATTACTTTAAGTAAGGGGTCTGGAGCACAGGCAACCTTACATAGACTATCAAATCTTAAAAGCCGTTGATAATAGATATTTGATTTTATTCATCTGTTTGTCCCAATTCATCATCATTGCCATATAGTTGATGCAGCATTTCACTGCTCATAGTATTGTTTAAAGAATAGTATGTAGGCGTAACAGGTGATGAGAATTATGTTCAATCTTTTTTATCGGAATAAAAGTTATTATTTGTCCCAGATGCATTGCGATCTTTATAGTTTATATAATAAATAAATTCTTGAAATACAGTCACTTAATTTCCTATTTATTATATAATGAATAAATTCTTGAAATACAGTCACTTAATTTCCTATTTATTATGTGCAAGTATCTATCTGTACTTCAGTTTAACTCTTTTAAAAAGACCTTGGACTTTTCAATGGAAAACTTCTTAGAAACCACGTTTTTAATAAAGGCCTCTTGAATGGAATCATTACATAGAATTCTGTGGACTTGTGGGTGCACTGTTTGGGGAATTTTAAAAAGAATAGCTTGTTAGGGAAAAGACTGCTGAAGTCAGGCAAACGTCATCAAAGGTCATTAATTCAATCAATTCTCAGTCATTCTCATATTAGTCACAGTTTGCTTAAGTTTACATACTATCACTTAATTTTAACAAAATATTACATAATTATACAACAAAGCTTTGTTCACAATCATATACTCTTTATTAATACCCTTTTTAAGCAACATCTGGTGTGAATCGAACAGGATTTGATCGTATTATACAATTAGCTTGCCATTCAATCAAATTTTCTGATTAAGTAACATTTAGTAAATGAGTCGGTAGGAAACGGAGGACCTTGCACTGATGACAATGGTGACAACCCTACAATTTAAATGATTCTGTTTCAAGAGCCAGTAGCTAGATTGCGACCGATCCAGAGGGATAAGGAGCCTTTAAATCAAAAGCTCAGTATAATAAGGTGATAATATCATACAGCACACCGACAATACCCCATAAAGCATTTCGCTCGCATTCTTTCTAAATAACAGCACATTCAATGAAGCGAAGGCAATCAAAATGTCAGTCGTATTTTGCTAACCAGAGATGTCAATTTGAAGACGTATTTTGGATTTAATGGAGTGTTGAGGCTTTTGTGTGTATTAGGTTGCTTTTGATTTGTTGCTTCGCCAAGCTTGGTTTTGATTCAGTGAAGGGCTTTGATGTGAAAGGTGATCATTCTATACACAGACGAAGGAAGTAATTCAAATGTAAGGTCACATAAAGGCAAAAGGGGGCATCTCCGTGAGCTGCATATAGGCACTTCACCTCGTTTTCCGAAAAGGGGAGGGCGCGTGCCCCTGATGCTTCCAAAACTTTCAGTGTCCCCGGTTTCCCTGGTGCCCTTTTTATACATTGAAAGAGGTTCTACAAAGCAATCTCTGCATTTTCGATACATCATTAAAGTTAGGAACGAGTTAGTAATGGATTCAAGTTTATTTGACCTCGGTAAATATAAATGATTCAGGACCCGAAAGGGTACGAGGAAATAGATGAAAACCATTTTCACTTTAGGTCAAACTGTTGTTTGTCCTTTCTAAAGCCATCAATTTCGATTTGAAATAGAGATACAAATCGTTTGTATCCTGCAAATTACGTTTGGCTTGAGTCCAGTCTATGATTTTAATCACATTTCAAAAAGGATATTATTTGCAACAAGGGCTATGGCGATGTCTCAGGACAAGCACTTCATTGCCCCTTCATGTCATTCGGCAACTTGGTTGTTTGTTTGTAAATCATTGAAAATATCAAATAAGAGATGAATGAAGACTTCAGGTATTGAAAGAGGACCATTACTGAGAAGCATACTGTTGTTGTTTTTAGGTTGGTACAGTAGATGGGTTCTATCACCTTGAACACCCGAAACATCCCAGAAGATCACGAAGGAGCGCGGAAGACAGAACAGGACGACTTGAGAAAGAAAATAATGTATGCTATTATCTTATTGGGATACAATACCATCTTACAGTTTTCTATTTAATGCATTATTACTTAATAGAAATGAGCACTTGGCTTGGCTGATCCTGTTGTTAAGAGCTAGAACTCGTGCGAATATTTAAACCCTAACCTCTTACATACATACAGTTTCGCCTAGCAGATCATTTACACTGTTATCTTCTCAATACGATTATTCCCAATGATCGGACAATATCAGGTTGTATCACAAGGATTCCGTGTTGTTCTCAATACGATTATTACCAATGGTCGGACAATATCAGGTTGTACCTCAAGGATTGCTTGTTGTTGTCAATACGATTATTATCAATGATTGCACAATATCAGGTTGTATCACAAGGATTCCGTGTTGTTCTCAATACGATTATTACCAATGGTCGGACAATATCAGGTTGTACCTCAAGGATTGCGTATTGTTGTCAATACGATTATTATCAATGATTGCACAATATCAGGTTGTATCACAAGGATTGCGTTTTGTTCTCAATACAATTATTCCCAATGATCGGACAATATCAGGTCAGAACAACATAAGAGGAACAATGTCATGGTCCGAAAATTCTAATGGCATTGCTAAAAGAAGACTTTATTTATAAATATTTTTGTTTTTATTCAGATACTTTGGGTAGAGCAGCAATATGAGATTGTTAGAAAGAAGCGAGGATATCACCATCAAAGAGTTGTAGCTAGAGGTATCAATCCGAGATTTGCAGATCCTCTGTGGGATGAGCAATGGTATCTGGTATGTCACTAAACATCGCTAGTTTCTAATAAACAGAATCTTATTGAAACTTTTGAAACTTTCTTTCATCAACTCTATAAACTTCAGTATTTTGTGACAATGCGCAACAAGATAAAGCTTATCAGATAAGGTATTAGCTTGCTTTGTCATCTAATGTGTTTCTTTTGAAGACATGCAAACTTTGCTTTTCTAAAGGATGACAAGAGAAATGCACTTGATCTGGATATCAACGTCATTCCGATTTGGAATCAAGGAATAACAGGAAAAGGAGTAGTTGTTACAATTTTAGATGACGGTAAGAGCTTTTACTTACCATAGATTTTTAGGACGTTTTTTGCAATGAGCAAAATGTGTTTGCCACATACAGAACCTGTCCAGATATTGTCTGGGCCACAAATACAAAACCAATCTAGTCAGCAATCATTACCAAAAATTGATGGTAGCATAGAATAGAAAACCATGATTCTTATATTAAAATTAGATTTGAAACACATATCTAGTTAAAATGCTTACAGTAGAATTTCTGTTGATATTTTTTTAAAAATTGCCAAGTTCTCCTTTATCTCAGTTCTGATCATGTCAAAGTAGACAATGTTCACCATTCTTTTCTTGAAGTTAAATTATACCAATAAACTTTCTTGAACTATAAGTCCCATCCATTTTGCAAAGAAAAATTTATGTCGGAAGTTCAATTTTAAAATTTTCATCATAAATGGCTGAAAAACACTTTGTATTCAGTTTAATACGATTAAATGAATTAAGTTAGCCAAAATAAGCATGCAAATGACCTTGGTTAGGTCTTAACCAAGGTTAGTCGCTATGTACCAAGGCAAAACATTCATGCAATGTATCAACACGAATTTTACTTAATTGCAATGTTCCTGCTAAGGTTATTTTCTCTTAATTCTAGGTATTGAACATAATCACACTGACATTGTTAAAAATTACGTAAGTATATATTAGCATTTATAGGTCGTGAAATTAGTTAGTGAGCAACGAACAAGAACCTTGCAAAAACTCTCTGTTCCATGGCATGTGTGTAGGAAATGCTAATTGCTGGCACTTAAAGAATATGGTGCTTTTAAGTTTGGTAATACACAAGTGCAAATAATATAAAAAAGCAAATATCAGATTCTATTCGTTTTGAAAAAGCTAAGAAAATTGCTTTAAAGTAGATATCAATATATAATGTTTAGCTTATTCTTTCAATGATCCGCTAAGCTCGCACTCTCTCCTCTCTTTCACTGCCTTTGTCTCTTTCACTGGATTTTATCCTGTGTTTAATGTATCTGTTATGTTTGCTTTTTCATAGGATCCAGCCGCCAGCTGGGATGTTAATGATAATGATCCTGACCCTTTTCCGAGATATGATCCTACTAACGAAAACAAGTAAGTCGAAGTTTACTGCATATCTTTACCAACATCTACCGAACATCATTACTCGTTGTGTATTGAAGCTAAAACAAATTTTGTGTTGGAACATAAAAAGTAAAATTAGATAACTACGAAAAATAAAGTCTAAACATTGTATTTTTTCAAGGCACGGAACCCGCTGTGCGGGTGAAGTAGCTGCGGAGGCAAATAACAGTAAATGTGGTGTTGGAGTTGCATTTAATGCAAGAATCGGTGGAGTTCGTATGCTTGATGGAAGAGTTACGGATCGCGTTGAAGCTGAGTCTCTAAGCTTGAACCCACAGTACATCGACATATACAGCGCAAGCTGGGGACCTAGTGACGATGGGATGACAGTAGAAGGGCCTGGGACCCTTGCGTCAGCAGCGTTTGCAAACGGCATCGCAAAGGTTAGAGGGAAACCTGTTAATTATATGGAAAAGAATTATTTGTGTAGATGCTACCGTGGTAACGTTCCACTAGTTAACAAAAGTTAAGGTATCTTGATCGGTGGCATTGTAACCTTTGAGCAGTTGCAATAAATTAGGTTCAGCTCCAGGTTAAATACAGTAATTGAACAGCAAATCTATATAACCTATATGTGAATAATAAAAAAGCTTCAGATTCATACTCGCAATAGCACTGTACGTTTTTTACCATTATATCAATAAATTATGAATGAAGAGGAGGGTATAATTGTAAGTTGGGACTAATTATGCTGAAAACACTGTTGAAAAGTATTTTGTCTCCTAAAAGTCAAGTAGGATGTAATTTCTATGCTTGCTTTCCACTACAGCAAATGATGCATGTGCACTGCACCTATGTGACGCAATGCATGATCTTGATTTAAAAACCCTTAAATTACGTAAGTCACTTATCTTTTTTTCAGGGACGAGGGGGCCTGGGCTCTATTTACGTATGGGCATCTGGAAACGGAGGTCGACACGACGACAGCTGTAACTGTGATGGTTACACAGCCAGTATATATACTTTGTCTATAAGCTCGAGCTCAGATCACGGAGAAAGTCCTTGGTACAGCGAGGCTTGTGCATCGACATTGGCTACTACGCTGAGCAGTGGTGCTCACGGAGAAAAGAGAATAGTAAGTTGGCTTACATAGCAAAAAGCCTGAAGAGCCGAGCCCTTAAACTTGTTTGGCTCGTGGGTTCTTTACTATTTAGTACTGGGTCTGGCGGTTTCATTAGCCATATTTATGTATTAAAAAGTTCTGAGCAGTTTGGGCTATGATAATTTATCTTCCAGTTTCATCTTTTAAGGACCGTCCATAAAGACTAATGACATCACTTATTCATTTTAAGTTACCTGTTAATCTAAATTGGTATTTAAAATATGATATAGCGAGCCACAGCTGTGGCCTATCTACTAAATGAAACACCATTTTGATGATCAAAATTCCTTAACACACCATCCCTTCTAAAAATGGCTTTGAGTTTTCATCGGACTCTTTTTATGAGGTCATTTGGACAGTGCTAATAGCTATTATCTGACACGAGTTTTCATTTTGAACAGTGTCCAATCGGATCTTAAATACACCAAATGATTTTGTTGACAGGTCTTGCATTATTTAGAAGATTATAAAAAGTTAATTTTGTTATACAGCGGACTTTCTTTTCTAAGTAGCAAGAATAACAAAGCAATGTTTCGAGTAATTGGGTTTCGAACACTGAAAGATTATCTTTAAAAACAATAACTGGAAGAAATTAATTCGAATAAATGAGAATGCCAATTTTTCTATCAATCTTGTAACCATCTTGATTAGCAGCTCAAAATAGTAATTCCACCGTTCCTTTTTCTTTCTCTAGCTTAAGCGACCCCGAAACCTGTTATATTTTAGCTATTTTGTGGCCTAATAATCTTTCAGAAAAAAATTAATATATGAAGTAACCAGCTCTTTTTTAGAGTCTTTATTAAGTTATAGTAAAAGCCTCTCTGTTGGAGGAGCCTGAATGAGTTTTTGAGCTCCCTGATAAAATGCAACCTGATGAAATGCAAAATACTATTTAAAAGGCCTTATTAATACACTTGTAAATCCCTTTGATATATTCAGGCTGTTTTCTAACTGTCCGTGTTTACCATTACTCTAAAGCAATTTGTCGACGAATTGTTCTAAACATGTTTTGAACATGATCTGCAAGTTTTGTTCTAAACATGTGTGAACCGGCGGCCTTTCGGTATATAAACAGCGCCAAATGTTGAATCATTGATGAGAAAAAAAAGAAAGAAAAATCAAAAAAAATTTGTCGACGAATGGCTTAGATGGAAAAATGGAAAACTGCAAAATTCTATAATGAAATTAGAATATTCTGGTCTACAAAAGGGTTAGTCTTCGAGAACTAGAACGGTTTAAAAGAATATACTTAATTGGAAATGTTAAGCTTTCAAATCTTTAGGTTTTTTGACTCTGATTAAGCTTCATTCCATGGTGAAAATGACCTCTAGATTACTTTACAAAGAAAAGTGTCTCTGTTTCAATCTACGGTGTATAGAGAGCAAAAAGGTCCTCTTGTTTGACGAAGCAAACGAATTCATATTAATCTACCGAACAGATAACCATTGTCTGTCGCGACATATCAAATTATCAAATAAAATCAAATTAAACAGAAAGACTGCACATAGATATCAGGTTCTTAAGATAAAGAAGAGATTAATAAAGTTCTTTGTTAAATAGAGGTTGCTTGGCCTTAAACGACATTGCATTTAAAGCCAAGTTTCTGATGAGTCCTTATAGAATAGAAGATTCAGAGGGCAGACAAAGTAGAAATAGAAAATATGACCATGAGCCTGTGTGCGCCGTGGTCTAGTAATTAAAGGGTGATTAATCATCTTAGTGTTTATAGTCTGTGGCTGTGAGTTTTATTGTTGACCTCTTGAGTTTTATTTCTTGGTTTAACACTATAGCTCAACACTGTAACACTATTGAGTTATTGTATAATATTGATATGGAATTAGTTATGGTTCCTTCAACTTATCTAGTAGTGTTCATGGCTCTGTCCTCAGAAGTTGATAAATAAGTCGAGTGAAGTAATGACGAGCAGTGTTTCACCTATGTGCACCCACGAAATGGGATAATAAGAGAACTATCCTTGTATACCGTAATGCGACAGATAGGCATGGACGCTTTAAACAATTGATTTGTATGAATTAACGAGCTCTCTATCGCACTCCACCGTCGATGATGAAATAGAACTAAAACCATTGAGACACAAGCAGCTGATGATCATATAAGTTTTTTATAGGACGGCAACTGCTGGGATACTAAGAGCACTGCTGGGTTACTAGGAGCACTGCTGATGTAGATCATTTGTGTTCTGGTTATCAGCGTAAAGGACAACATCAAGTTAATGTCTGCATTTCGAAGAAAATGAAAAATTGTTCATAGCTCTTATAATCGATTCAAATTTGCTGCTGGCTAAGTAATTTGCTTCATGAACAGTTCTTTAAACTTTTCCCGCCATTGTCAAAATGTTGTGGGAAAGTTGTTTAGAAAGTTGTTTGACGTGCACAAGGGTTCTATTTTAGCAGATCTCCTTGCATCGTTTGCAAGAGCAGTTGATAGTTAGAAGCCTTCAATCAAATAAGCCTAGTTGTAGAGAGATCCTGACCCTCCTTACCCTTACATAGTCAGCATAGAGTCCAAATCTTTGATTGGCTGAGCGACCAAAATTCTGCATACCCAATTAGCCAATCAGAATTCAAGAATATGACAACAAACGTGCCTCACAGCTAGATTTAGGCCTATTTTTGACGTTTTTACCACTACCCATGAAAAACAAACGTGTAAAATGTACTGAAAGATAACCTTAATTTTCTTTTAAAAAAATGAAGTCTTTGATGAATTTACGAAAAAACTGCCGTTGTACTCAGCAAAAATTTTTCCGCGATCGTTAGTTACGAAGGCTTGAAACTGTCCCTTTCAAATCCTTATAATAATTAGGGGGGAGGGAGAACAGAAAAATTACAGTTTTCAAACCTAAAAAGTTGTTTTATCCAAGTAATTAACAAATATGAACTTACCTTCACAAGGCAATGTTAAAATCTTTTCTTGTCGGCATTAATGGTTGTGTTAACGATTAAATAAATCGCTAAATTCCACTGAGAGAAAATGCAGTCCACCTTTCTCTTAAAATAGATACAATTGTACAATTTTTTCTGCATTCGGGTACGTTGTATGTTCATTTTAAAAACTTGAAGATCGATGAGAAGCTCACGTCTACTGATGTTAACTGCTATGGCCGTGTAAAAGCTGACGCAATTCGTCAAGGAAAAAAGGGCGGGAAAATGACAAATGCATCATTTTCGAAAAACTACCTTTTCTGGGTAAAAAAAGTCTCTGGTTGTCTGAAAAAGATTCGAAAGGTTCCTGATAAAAGAAAATGTAAGGAAATGAAATGTTTAACACAGCAAAGTAATTTTTTCGAAAATGATTATAAGGATTTGAAATTATTATAAGGATTTGAAAGGGGCAGTTTCAAGCCTTCGTAACTAACGAAAAAAATTTTGCTGAGTACAACGGCAGTTTTTTTTCGTAAATTCATCAAAGATTCAATTTTCAAAAGAAAATTAGGTTTATCTTTCAGCACATTTAACACGTTTATTTTTTTGTGGGTAGTGGTAAAAAAGTCCAAAATAGGCCTAAATCTAGCTGCGAGGCACGTTTGTTGTCATATTCTTGAATTCTGATTGGTTAATGGGGTATGCAGAATTTTGGTCGCTCAGCCAATCAAAGATTTGGAACCTATGCTTACATAGTCCACGTCGAATTGATTCTTAAATAACTCATAATATGAGACTCGAAATAAATACGAGACTCACCATGCTTTCCCAAGTCCATAAAATTGATCGCTCTTCTATATTCAGGTAACTACGGATCTTCATAACCTTTGCACAGAGAGACACACTGGCACATCAGCATCGGCACCTTTGGCAGCAGGGATCATTGCTCTAGCTCTTCAAAGAAAGTAAGAATATTTTGAGATTTCATAGTTTGATATCATTTAAATGCATAAAGATTCCCATTAAATCTTGACAATGCTTCAAGCCAGTATGTTTAATGAACCAATATGAATAAAGCAATAACAGAATGTTTTAAACTGTAAAAAGTGGAAGCATCCGGAAACGTATGAACTCTCGAAGGTTTTATGATATTGAAGAGAAAGGCTTTTCTTGAGATAATACTTCACAGCTGCAATGATACTAGCTATAAGAATGATATTCAGGTTGATGTAAAGTTACTTACATGACTAGATATACAGATTTACATATGCAATCAGTTTAAGTATTGTCTAGGACACTAGAATGAAACAATATAGTTTTCGAATGAAGTGCAACTGGCTTGAGAAGTTGGGTAGATTCAATGTTTAGATATCACACAACTTGTCATCCACAAGTTACATATAATGACTGTGTAAAATAAAATTGTTATTTTTTTGTCTAAAGAATGAAAGAGTTTGATCTTTAGATGTATTCATATTTTTGTATGATCACTGATGGCAACTCTGCTTGTTTTAGTCCAAAACTGACGTGGCGTGATGTGCAACATATCGTGGTAACAAGCGCCGACTGGCAACCTTTGAAGCATGATACTGACTGGCGGATGAATGGTGTAGGGTTCCATGTAAACGAGAAGTTTGGTTTTGGATTGTTAAACGCGGAGAGAATCGTAACTGCAGCCGACCCAAAGACGTGGAAAAATGTACCGGAGAGCAGAGAGTGTCGCGGGAAAAGCTTTTCAGATGCAAAGTGAGTTTAATTGAAGCATCAGAGTTCTATTGGCTTTGTAAAAAATAAGCCAATCAACGATAAATGGTCTTGTAACTTAAAATCAAGTCGATGAAGATTGATCTCATTCGATGCTGCTCTGGTTAAAACCTTCTACTGCTTTCAATTTGTGACAATTTTTGCTACACTTTTATAACATGGCAGAAAGATATAGATTTTCTGCAATTTCTACATTTCTACGTTCGGTACCTAAATCTAGCCATTCACTGTATAATAAAGCAGATTGAAATTACTGTTGTTTCTTACTGATAACTATGTGTTTCAGAGCTTTGCGGTGGAATCAGCCTCTTACTGTCGAGATTGAAACCGATGGATGCCTCGGTACAAAAAATGAAATTCGTTATCTAGAGCACGTGCAACTGGTTCTTACGCTTGACTACAGTAGAAGAGGAGACCTGACCATCATACTGACAACACCAATGGGAACCAAGTCCATTCTGCTACCAACAAGATCTGAAGACTCATCTGACGAGGGTTTTAAAAAATGGCCTTTCATGACAACACACGCATGGGGAGAGGACCCTAGAGGAAAGTGGACTTTGGAGATTCACGATGCAGGCGATGCCCGTGCCAATACTGGTACTCTAAGAGACTGGCAATTGGTGCTTTACGGAACCAAGCAAAAGCCGAATTATTTGAAAGTTTCCCATCCCGATATCCCAATTCACAGAAAAGCAGTCAATGACGACACCAAATCGATCCAGGGACATCAACAGCCATCAGTGACAATCACAAAAGTCACTTATACTTTTGGCTCTAGACCTTTGTCTCAGTCACAGTCTCATCCTAATCAAGCAGCACCTGGACAAAGTCTTCCCCAAGGCCTACCAGACCTTCCTACAATAGTCCCTCTTAATAACATTATACCAAAGAAAGCAATACAAAGTATAGGACAGCCTACGCACATTATTGACAACCTGCTAGCCTCGTCTGTCAACTCTCTGCCTCGGTTCCAAAACCCAGCATTTCAGCAAGCGGCGCCGAATTACGGTAGCCTTGGTGTTACGCGTCCACAAAATTTCCAAGGGGCAGGATTTAGCGAGAGTCCATTTCCTCTGATGCAGACTCGTAGTAGCATCCCATATAATAACTATATGAAACGCTTCAACCAAAGAAACTACCAGTCACAAAGCATTACTAATTACTATTTAAGACAAGGACAACATCAAAACCAAAGATCACCGATTGCCTATCCTTATAAATGGAGGCAAGCCTCTGCTGGGATGAAAGTGATGTCGGACCCTCGTGCACCATTTTGGGACTATTTTGGACGGACCTTTAATAAGCGCTCTCTGAAAAATTCAGAGAAAATTAAAGACAAAGAATACCCTCAGAGTGTTAATAGTCTAATGCGAACAGTAAAAAAAGGCAATCTTAAATACACGTAGTATTTATAAATATGTAGAATTTTTAAATTAAATTGGCATGATTATTATTCTCTTTAACCACAGGTTTTATTTGACTCAAAATAACGGCATTCAGTTTTTCATAATAGAAAGGGAATGATGAATATTACAAGAAAATTAAAACTGCTAGGATATCGTTGATCAGCTTTTATACTCCTTAATATCAGAAATGGACTCTTTCTCATATTTGTATTCAAGTTGAAAATGCCCAATTCGGCCTGACTTACTTAGCTTTACTCTTGCACCAGTTTTTTGCATAGGTAACGAGAAAACATGGAAATCAATTTACAATCGAAGGATTTTGATTTGTATATGATAATTTGCTTCAAAGTAAAACTGAATGTCTGTTGTTTGGGTGATTGGGTAAGAAATATTTTTAAATTTGAGTTTAAATTAGAAGTGGAGCTGGGCCTTGCTTTTACAGCCAGCCTGAAAGCAGTTGCTAGAAATCACCTGTCACTTAAACAACATGTCCCATCTTCTGGTGCTATATTTTCTTCTGGTTCAATCCTGTAAATATTCCTACTGCACGAGAAGTCATTAACAAAATCCGAGCTGGCATAAATTTAATGTATCTACCTTGTGATTATGAGCTGTCTCTTTTTCTTTATCGGCCGTCAATCATTTAACCATTTTTATCGTGATGAAGATATCGCGATGAAGATCTTTCACAATTAAAATACCTGTAAGTGATGAAATGCCGACTTATAAAATAATTGATATTGTATTTACTAAACCTGGCACTTTAACTCTAAAATACTGCTTAAGTTGACATCTCTTTATCAATGATTACGTGATGGGTACAAAAAATATTACTAAATGGTGGAAATTTTAGGCCCCTAACACAAGCCACAAACTACACATGAACTAATAATGACAGGATGAAAAGAAACGGTATGTCAAAACCTGCATTCGATTTTTCCGAGATAATGAAAAAGGTAATTTATCGAAAAAAGCTCAACTTAAAATCTATTAAATTCGAAATATCCTTTTTTTGGTTAAGCCTTTAACATGACATTTACTTTTTTGGGTTTCAAGGGACGATTAGTAAATTTGGTAAATTTTTGTAAAATTATGGACTGATTTTTGTCATCATTTCGTGTTTCTGTTTGTTGGTCTCTTCTGCAATGTGGGTTTAAACTCGTCCGTGTAGTTCAACTGGAAGTCTTAACCTAACTGACACGTTTTCCATTTGCATGTATTCATTCGGTCGTTAATATTAGGTGACAAACAACTTTCGTATAAAAGTCACTAAATTCTCACCTTAAACCTCTGTATATGTTTCCCAGGTTCCCCCTATTTCCCAATTCGTTTCGAGGCTACAAAGCTATGGCTGCCTTGGAACTGAAATTTATAGAAAAACGAGTTCAAGATGCTAAATGATGCTGTTGTGCCTCTTGCTTGGTTTGGTTTGAAGCAAAACAACGGTTAATTTTGTTAATGAAATACGTACCTTTAAGAAACATGTTCTGCTAACAAAATTCACTTCCTCTACACTGTTGAAATTATAATACTTTGATACGCAAAGTATATCGAAACATCATGCAAGATTAATTATTCCCGTCAAAACTTCAAACCGAACCTCATCCGTGGCAGACAAGTACCAAATCTTCCCTTAAAACTGCAGCTCTCCATGCTTCAAGCTAACAATAGCGGACAGTGATCTAGGTCTCTAGGGCCAGAACCATTGTTTTATCTCTGTATCTAACCATGATTTCCAATTCCCTTGATATTTCTTCGATCAATGGCCTGGCCAAAATACCTATGCGTTCCTCTAAACTGTCTAATGAGAACAAAGGCCAGAACCAAATAAATGGCCTATCTTAAAACGGGGGTTGCTGCAGCTGCCAGATGCATGTGTCAACCGTGTTTTAGTAGCTAGAAGGATTATACAATCAAATAATCACATTCAAATTTTCTTCTATACGAAAAATTGCCAAATTGTGAGGTCGAAACTTTTGGCGATTCTATCCTGTACATTCGATTAATTCTGAACTCCAATGCCAAAAAGCTAATTATATCTTATAATTTCACACGCTAAACTCTATGGCAGTCTACAGCCTTGTCAGAACAAGGCAACTGATGATTTTGAAAAACAAAGAAATTTAATGCAAAACGCTTCAATGTAACTTATGCGTGCAACAAGTTGAATAATGTTCATATTTGATCAGAAAATGTCTCCTGCACCGAAATGTCAAAATTCCCTAAACTTGCCATTGCTTCTTTCTGAATTTCCTTGAATCTTGTTCATGACAACAATTAGCCTGGGTTATTAAGGCAATACCCGTCGTTTTCAACTAAACTAGCGCCAAACAAACCAGTGTTGTGAAATGCTTTAATGCAGAGAGACACTTCCTCAAAGAACAGCTACATCACAAACATGAGCCTACTAGCATTGCTAATAAAAGAAAGGCGAGAGATATTTTTCATTGTCTGAAACATTATCTGACTTTATCTCTAAAACCATAACAGAATAGCGAAGATTGGCGATTTATAATCATCATTTTTGAACTCATAAATAAAATACAATTCTAATTCTGGAAATATTTGCAAACATTGACAAAAGAGTAAATAATAACCGTTAAATACATAAACATTTGTATAACGCTTTACAATGACACAAGCAACACAGTTCATGCGTCCAGATTTCTGATTATTTCATTCGTGTACTCAGAACACTTTGCCTTTCCACCAAGATCTCCAGTGGTTACCTAGAAGGGTTTGTTACAGAATCAAAGGATTGCCACGTAACTCGAGAAACAATCAACACGTAAGCACTAGGTCAAGAAGAAGTTGGGAGATTTCACAAATTGCAGGTAGTGGGGAAAACTTATGGCATAGAGTCTAAATAAGAAACTACTACGTTTTCTGGATTATCAAAAAAGCTTTTGTTTGGCCTGCATTTCAGTTCAGCTCACTTCAAGCTAAGTATGCGCGAGACAAATTTATCAAATTGCATGTAAAACATAAAAGAATTAACACGAAGGGCACCCTAAATCCTAAATCTCCAAAGGAACTCATGCACCACCGTTGTATCCACTTTGCCAGAGAATACCATTGTTTTAATGTCTGTTACAGGGTCACTCGGTGTTGAGCAGGTCGAGCTTTACACGTATTTTCTTGTAAAACAGAATGCAACTTAAAAGTTTCTTGCTCTACGCAATAAAGCATCGAATTTCACTGGTCTATCTTATTCTCAATCTCTTTCCTATCTCACCAATCACTTAGCACTAAATGCTTCAGTAGCTGATAAATGAATGAGGCCCTAGTGATTCAAAGCAAATTCACGGTTAATCAATAAAGCCTAAATGGCTTACCTTTCCTTCACTTATGGTTTTGAAGCATGACTTTTCTATTCTTTCTGCGTAGGAATTCAGTTTCATATGCTTCAGCATCATGACGCCACTAAGGAGCAGGGCTGTAGGGTTTGCCTTATCTTGCCCAGCAATATCTGGGGCTGTTCCGTGCACCTAGAAACGCAGTTCATACCTTGAATATTTCGTTAAACTGCTATGGATCTTGATTTACCAAATTATAGTGACATTACTGAATAGGAAAACAGTATTGAAGTTAAGGAGTTATGGTATCTTTCAGATAGGTTGTAAGAGCAACTTTTAGGAGGTTGCCAGGCAGAAACCCGGGCCTAGCTCTTGCATATAAAACAATTACGAAACGAATACAAGTGTGTCTCCGATACTAGATTCATATTATGACATTAAACATAAAAGCACAAAACTCACAGCTTCAAAGACAGCGACTCCATCTTTACCAATATTGCCACTGGGTGTAAGGCCCAGACCCCCAATAAGACCAGCACACAAGTCACTAGGAAGGAATACAATTACCGATTAAAAGGAAGGTCAGGGACGATTAAAAGAAAGGTCAGGGACGATTAAAAGGAAGGTCATAGACGATTAAAAGGAAGGTCAGGGACAATTAAAAGGAAGGTCAGGGACGATTAAAAGGAAGGTCAGGGACGATTTAAAGGAAGGTCAGGGACGATTAAAAGGAAGGTCAGGGACGATTAAAAGGAAGGTCAGGGACGATTAAAAAGTAAAGTCAGGGCCGATTAAAGGAAGGTCAGGGACGATTGAAAGGAAGGTCAGGGACGATTTAAAGGAAAGTCATGGACGATTAAAAGGAAGGTCAGGGACGATTAAAAAGAAGGTCAGGTAGATTTAAAGGAAGGTCAGGGACGATTAAAAGGAAGGTCAGGGTGGTTTTTTAAATACCTTTAGGCAGTAGCTGTCTTTTCCTAAAGACCCGATTTTTTTGTGCAAAACTCGCATTTTTCATAGATTCAAAAAATATTAGAAATCGATTCAAAAAGTTCTTAAATTTTTTTGAAAGTGACAGTACCTGAGAATATCACCGTAAAGATTTGGCATGACTAGGACATCGAATTCTGTTGGTTCCTTCACCATCTAGCAAACAAAAGTTGCCTATTATTACTCAACTGAACGACACAAAATTTTCAGTGGAGATTCGTAAAAAAGAGGTTACGCAATAATCGATAATCTAAACACAGCAGTTAAACAGCGAAATATTTACATTGAGGCAAGTTGTGTCGAGGTACATCTCGTTATACTTTATGTCTTTATTCCTTTCAGCCGCTTCACGACAGCATTGCAGGAACAGACCATCTGATCGTCTCCTAGAATAACAAATAGTTCAGGTTCTATATTCTAGTTTAGGCCAGGAAATATTCTTGAATAAAATTAAGGCAAAATGTCAACTAGTAGACGATAGCATCCAAGGTATTTCGATCTTTGTTTAATATCTGTTTGAAGCAAAGTGACGTTGGGCCTAAAGTTGCGACGTTCAACATCGCAAAGGTTATATTACTGGAAATAATATCAATGTACAATTAAATATACATATTTTGTCATGTGATTTCTTCTGTGTTATCGCCTCTCTCTACCGAGGCAGAATTCTTACTGGCATGTATTATCCTTGAACAAGTGGATCAATTGACAGGAATGAATTGCCATTTTTAAATTAATGTTTTCTTTGCAAATGAGGATTCTTGAAAATATCAATTAAATGCATCGGAGGCTAATTTTCAGTCAGGGCCATGTTACTCTTTTCTATATCTCATCCATGTTTGTTTACTGAGATACAAGTAGTCACTCACATGATGTTTGCTTTGTGTACTGCCGTAACAGTTTGCCTGTCATTGTCTCTAGCAAACGCGAATGCAAAATCTGCTATTCTTTGAGATGCTTCCCTTGTAATAAGTTTGATGCTTTGCACAACACCTTCTACAACCTGGCAAAGAACAATAAATAACAAATTCATACTTAGAATAGATTCATTAAATTTACAGCTGTTGACAAGGAGAAGACTAAACATGACCAATACACAATGAAGACATAAACACACAAATAGACGCAGACATAGACGCAGACATAGACGCAGACATAGACGCAGACACAGACAGAGACAGACGTAGACGTAGATATATACATAAACATACGAAAGTATTGCCAAGAATTGAAATTCTTTTCGATGCTGTTTGAAACAATCCAAGTAAAGCCCTTTATTAAGTAAATAATTGTTTACGTTTTTACTTTTATATTTCTAGCATGGATTCATGTAACTGCCATGTGATTTAAAATTTATACAGTTTGCACTAGCTCTTTTGAATTGTTTGCACGCTCATCTTAGAAAGCCGTGAGTGCAAGGAAAATAATAATTTGAATAAAACATAAAACACTTAATTCTACAATGTCATTTGTTCAGAAGACCAACACAGTTGAATGGTTAAGTTTTACGCAGTTATGAAAAGAATACAAAGTTATTCTTGTTTATGAATGATTTCAGGTTTAAAACGGTATATCGACTCAATAACTGTGCTACCAAGAAGACACAAAAACACTCTAGTCTGCGGTTTAGAGACTGGTACGCTGAATGGGCTTACCAAATGCTCTATGCCACTGTATTCCCCTTCCGTATTTTCTCTTATTGTGACAATATCTACGTTGTCGTAGGCAGTTTTAAAACCAGAGATTGATCTGCACGGACGCACGTTTGCATAAAGATTAAATGTTCTAGAGAAGAGAAAAACACGTTTCAATGGTTATGAGGTAAATTTACAGCGTTTTTCTATAAAATTGCATTATTTAATTAATAACGAAGTCAACATTAAAAAGGGAGAGGGAGAATGCTGAAAGAACAAATCTAAATAGCACAAGATGTTTGAGAAAATACTAGTAGTTTATCTCATGCTGGACACGAGCTAAAATTCACTAGGTTTTTGATAGCATTGAAGTCGTCATTTTGGCCCCATAAGGCCCTGCCTGTCTTCCTTGAATAGAGAGCAGCAGGAATACAACAGCAGTTGGAAAATCTGGTGACAATAATATTATTAAGTAAAATTATGAGCGCTTGCACCGTGCACATATAGGTAAAAGACATCTATCAACTATTTATATTTTGCCAAATGAGTGTTAAAGTATTAGAAAAATACAAAGTTGGATGAGATAAAACCACAAATACCTTCTTAGAGTTAAATTAAGAGAAACGTGGCCTTTTCCTATTGGAGTTGCTAGTGGACCTGGAAAAATAAAAAACTCATAACTCATTTGAATGTACTCTGAAAATAATTATACAAGCTGATAAACTGAACAGCTATTATAAATTACATGCATAGATACATTGATACATGCATAGATACATTAGATGCATTACACAAGCTATTACATGCATATAGGTTAATTGTTGATAACACGCTTATACTTACATATGGATAACAGACAAAGATCCAAAGAAATTTAAAAAAAAAATTAATGAATCAGAAGAATTATAGGCATAACGCAGATCGCCTTACATACCCTCTACCATCCAGTTTAAAGTTTCAGTTAACTCTGCCTTTTGTAAATAAGGAACTAACATTTTAGAGTTTGCTCCGGTCTATGCTCACCTTTGAGTCCCACTTTATTTTTGTTAACTGATTCTATGGCTGATTGGGGTATTTGGATTTTACCATCAAGACCACGAACGGGGGTAACATCAACTTCTTCCCATGAAATAGGAACCTTCGAGAAAAACATTTGACAAATCATTCACACGGTGGAAAAGGCGATACTGCTTGGCAAAACAACGTGCTAATCATTAGAAAACAAATTACTGAAGTATCCCATGCGAAATTCTCTAGAAAAACCTTTGAAAGCGACTCAAACTACTAGGCCCCGGGGTGCACTATTATCAAGGTGCATCACCCTCTTCCAACAAAATTTGGATTTACAAAATGTTTATGGTTGTAGAGGGAGACCTTCATATTGCGGACAGTTTTTGAAAGGGATTTCCGTCTGTGGTAACCAAGTGTCCATCTTGTACACGGCATTAACTTCAGACCAGAAAATTATCTGGTCGTTATTTGGAGGTTTTACTGTATTGTAAATGAAACAGAAAGCTGAAACATTACATATACACCAAACAAAAACAAAAATGTGGTAACTACAGACGATAGAAATTCACAATTCAATTTACAAATACCTTCTTGAAAAAGTAAACAAAACATTTGATTTTCAGCAATGCCAATAAAAGGTTTCTTCTGAAGTCAAAGTACACGTTTAACTTTGATGCAGCTTTATAAAGCATCAGTATTCATAAAAAAATAAAAGCAAATACCTCTGCTGCAGCAAAAATCTTCTTTACGGATTCGGAAATTTCAGGCCCAATACCATCTCCAGGTATCAAAGTAACAGATGCCTTTGATAAATAATCAGAATGTGATATTGCAAAATATAAACATTTTTTGTAGGTTTTGGTCTGTTGTGCAGTGCTTGTTGCACAGAAAGATTTATTGTTTCAAATGGTGTTACAGAAATAGCTCTTTTACAGGATAAAACAAAATAATGAATGAAATGAATGAAATCTCTTAATTCTCTTAATGAATGAAAAATATTATTGGCAAGAAACTTACATTATTGCCCATATTTCTTTTCTGAATCTGACTGCATAATATTCTTCCATGCTGCAAATAAGAAAAGAAATTATAAAAAGGTATTACGCCAACTATATAACAACAAATTTTAACTGCTTTGGATTGATATCTGAAAAGGACAATCAAGGTAATGATGCAATGTAGCAGATGGAGAATAAAATTAGTGCATGCTTTGTAAAGAGAGTTGATGCCCCGCAAAAAACCACAGGTTATCTCAACAAAAGTGTGTTGTTTGGTTATGTTTCGTTTGGCAATTTGAAATAATTAATAACCACTTTAAGCATATATTGAAAAAAATACGTGAACAGCAGGATTGCGGTAGCAGCTGGGTATTAATATGTTCTAGATGCAGAGCCTAATACAGGCGAGATATGGTAGGAAATCAACGCAACTAAGTGAAAGCTCCATGGTTCAGACTGGAGGGAAGCCAGGACACAAATGTGGCTTGACATGACTTTGCTAGATATCTCTTCATTGCTTCTCGTGGCATATATAGCTTAGCTGGAGCAGAGTTTCTCATGTCACTAGCATAAACAATAGACTTTCCGAAAATTGAATGGATGCTAAGAGAGAAGAAAGACCTCCTTTTGTAATATTAAATTATGTGCACATTATTATGTGGTCAATTTTTCGTGTGCAAATTTTTTTCTTGAAACTGCTGCATTAATTCTGGGCTTTCTGCATTGGCTAAACTGCTACTGTGATTTCTTGGTTCCAAACGAACGTGAACACTTGGTATGTATTTTAGGGACGAAGAGGTTCGAATTTGGTGCCAATTTTTGAATTTTGTAACGTCAACAAATTGATTGAAAATGATTAAGTTAGTTTTATCAATATTCTAAGCAAGTTTATTGGCATTAAGTCACTTTTGAAGTTTTAAGTCATTTTAAACGACCGAGAAATATAATTTCCATAAATGGGAAAAATGAGTGGACCAAGAACAGATTCCAGTGGGACACCGACAGATTGCTTGATACTTGCTGCTGGGATAAGAAGGAAAGCAAGATAATGCTATACCTTTCATTTCATAGTTTTCAGGATTGTTAAGAAGTATTCCATGAATTACAGTATCAAAATCCTTTGGCCAATAGAGAGAAATATCAAATCTAAGTCATATGCGGTCTAAAATCCAAAATACAGGTCAACCAATCAGTGAGTGCTTTATGGGGTGAAAAGCACGGAAGCCAAACTGTAGTCGAAACTGTTCTCGTTATGTATTTCCGAGAAATCTTTACGAAGCACGTGCCTCATCCTCTCAATAATTTGGCTAAATAAAATTTTTTGGTGAAGGAATGGCGTTTGCTAGCTGTATCTTATGCAGGCAAGGCGCGAGACTAAAAGGATCTGACAATGGAGAGTATGTATGGATATAACTTCCAATTACGTTGTTGGAATATCCTTAAGACCTACTAATTTCCAGATTAAACAAATTTATATATCAGTTATTTCGATAGGGATAGCTGGGGTCATAAAATCGAAACCTCATTCTTAGTGAGCCGTGCAAAGGTGCATCGACTGAGTAGAAAATAAAGTCACAACAGCAAACATTTCAGAATATACTATCAATAATAGTTGCAGGCTGATAAATGAAAAAGACTGATAACGTTGTCAGTAGAAGTATGAGACCCACAACTAAGAGAGTCACATATAATATAAAAGCTAAATGAACTATATATTGTGTTATGATTTAGGCATTACATAATATGATGTGATATGATGCTTCAAGTTAATATCGTATGATAAAAATAACTCTTTGTTTTGAAATATTTACATACAAGTGACATACTAGAAATTGCTGAAATTATCAATCATTACTTTCAATTGGAGTTATTACTACATTAGAAGCTACCCAGGTTTGCACCCTTTCCCACATCGTTGGTACATTGGTTGCCAATCGATTGTCCCTCTTCAAGGTCTATATCTCTATCAAGGTGACCAATACGTTTATGATATCGACCAAAAAAGGCTGCAACGATGAATGTCAGAAACTCAAAAATTGAGAAGAAAGAGGCACCAATGAAAAGCCCAAGCGACCCGCCGATACCAGCAACCAGTGAAAAAAAATTCATGGCGGGCACCTCCATAACTTTCTGGTAGCTTAAAGATTTGAAATAAACTTTTAGCTGCAAAAAATTGGAGTTTATGAAATCCTTTGATAAATTTGTTCGATTTAGTACTTTGGAAAGAACTGGGTTGTAATACTGCATGTCTGCTTCGGTAGGCCATCGAGAGCTCGTCGCAGTAAGTTTGAAAGTTTCTTCGTAACATGGTAACGGACAATCACAAAATACCTTGTTCGCAGTTAGATTTGAGTAAAACTCTATCCCACAGGCAGCCGGGTTTTTTGAAATGTTTCTTGGCAGAGAGGGGAATTTTTTCCCCTTTTGTTTTACATGGTGAAGCACTGAAGCCTCAACTATGCCACAGCTGTCATAGAGTTTCAAGTGATAGCAAGATTGTAAGAAATTATGGACATGATAACGGCCTGGGTATATCAAGTCTTCGTCCCTATTAACGCATTCAGATTTGTACGGCTTTTGCTCTCGAAGCATGATCTTTTGTTCTATTGATATATGTGTCTGAGTCCCTGGTTCAACGGCAAGCCAGTCATTAGATGGGTAAGGGAAGACATCCTGTGGATGCACCTTCACAAATACACCAGCTCCATTATCATATGGCAGGAGCCTCATATAATCGTCTTGATTGAGGTACAGAGTTAAAAGGAGTCCTCCATACGGCCCCACAACAACCTAGGTGAACTTACCGTCTGGATTGAACGTCTTACAAAATCCAGACTCCAAGCCATAAAAATAATCTTTAAAGTCACTTTGGTTGCAAGTTTTGAAATGCCCAAATCTACACCAACCCTCGATGGATTCTAGAAAAAGCGTATCTGAAGCCGACTGGGTGGCTTTTGCAAATGAAAAACTGCGCTGATCCATAAAAGATTGTGCATGAGGTAAATTCATCAGATTTACTACCGCTCCCTTATCAAGGCTAATGTTCAAAATATGCTGAAAACGCGCCTCCAGGTCCTCGACCAGATTGCCAACCTTACTTCTTTGGAAGTTGTTTGCATTGCAAATGGTGACGCTGGGGAATTTCGCAGTGTGGTTTGCATGCTCCTCTACTAGCAAATACGTTCGGCGCCTGAAGTATTCTGCGGCAAGGTTATAAATATTGGCGACGCTTGCAGCACCAAGAGACAGAATTACTGCACTCCATAGAAGTTTCACAGTCCAATGCTTTGATTTCTCTATCTTAGAAAGTCCATGGATAGTAGAATTTGCTAAATAAGATTCTAATGCCAGTTGCATTTGCTGGCTTTTGACATTTGCTTCAGTGAATCTTTGGAGCACACGTGATTTGTCCACTGACTCATTTGTGTCGGTCTTCATCCCAGCTGTCTTTTTAACAACCAATTTTCTATTAATCAGATAAACCTATCCTTTTGATAAAGCAAACCTTTTAATTTGAACTAACATCTTCTCAACCGTTCATTTGGAGACTGATTTGAGCCAAAGCCCAAACGATGCACATTTTTAAAAACTCTCGAAAATAACAAACAGCGGGAGAAAAACGACTGCTTCTAATTTTGAATTCCTGCATTCAAAAACTAATTAAGGCGGTGCATTTTCTATTAGACAGAAAAAACGAATTTGCATTTCAAAGAAGCTCATTACAAAGATTGGAAATCAAACTTTGCAATATGTACATAACCAAAGAAATTTCACCCTAGCGTATATTTATATGCATTGTACATATTAACATTTCTACTCAAATGACAAAAAATGAATTCTACCTAATGATCTTCTTAACATGCAACGCAATACTGGATAAACAAAAGTGATTTAATCCTTAATACTTGAAAACATTTGATTAGTTTTCACAGCTGAATCTTCGTGCGCTGGTAAGCACACTTCTCGATCTTTATTGCTGCAGATGTCCATTTATGTACTAAAATTACATCCGCCAAAGGACCACCACGAAAATCTAAAATTTTCCATGTGTCATACATTATATTTCTATCAGGGGCAGCTGGAAGCAAAATTTAATAGGCATTTAAGGTACCAACAATTTCCTAAAGAAAGTGCCTCATACAAAGCATAAAAACCCAATGTCACCTCCCCCTTATATTTCATTATTTCATTATTGACTTCTAAAATGACAATTAAATAGATCTGATGGATAATTTTCTTGCTTCTTAAGCCCCGGCCAAACCAGCGCAACATTTTGTCCAACCAATCCCAACAATGTTGGGTATAAATGTTGGGCCGGTTTGGCCACCCATGTTGGACGACGTTGGATGGTGTTGGGTGATGTTGGACGAAGTTTGACTATGATAAAAAATGTTGGATGATGTTGGACGATGTTGGGATGGTTTGGCCACCCTGTCCAACAAAATCACGTTCGCGCAAGCGCGGTAAGGAAAGGCTGCCACAATTTGATTTGTTATGTTTTGGTTAGGAAGCTGTGAATGCGACTTACAAAAGATAGAAAGGAAAACTTTGTTTATGAACCGCGACAGCTTCCGTCAAACAAAGAAGACATCCTTATCGTTTTGATTGTAATCAAGTCCCACCGCCATGCTCAATAAGTAAATTAGGTTAGGCCGTGTGGATGGTTGATGATAAATCGACAAATGTTGGATGAAATGTTGCGTTGGTTTGGCCACCCCTGCATCCAACGATGTCCAACAATGCCCAAAAGTCGCCAACAATGTTTGGATTTGTTGGACGAAATGTTGCACTGGTTTGGCCGGAGCTTTATAAAGACTATAAAGTTAGCCACTGCTATATGCTTTAGATAAGTGCCTTTCAGCCAATGTGCCGCAGCACACTAGTGTGCCATGAGATATTGTCTGGTGTGTCATGGAAAATATTCCAATACCACCTAAGTGGTCTAAAAAATGGACAAAAATATTATTTTTTGCAAAGTATGTGCCGTGTAGAGTAGTCTAGTGAACCGTAGAGTAACCATGTATTACTCTATCATATCTACTTTATGTTTAGTAGCAGCATTATGCACTGTTATTAAAGTTGTTGTGCTAGGTGTTATTAAAATGTCCCTGTCAGGGACGAAAACAAGTTGCTAATTTTGGGGGGGCGTGGAAGGATGAAAATTCCAATCTAAGTAAGAAATTTTTCATTTGACCAGTAAATCTACTGTACCTACTAAATTGATATTTGTAAATAGCCCGAACACCATAGTTCTATTTTCTTTATAATTACCAAAACTTTACTCAATAATTAGCCTAAAGCATAAAAGCCTAAATCTCTAAATTTTGATCTACATGAAAGAGACATTTTAACTTACAGTAAGAAGTAAAGCAACATTTAAGCAAAACCAGTATTAGATATACTTAATGATTAGTAGTATTCTTTCAGATCAATTAATCAATTTTATCTAAATTGATCAATTAATCAATTGGCGCAGATCAATCTTATCTAAAATACATTTTTTCACGATATAGAAGCACCAAGAACTTGAGCCTATAATTTTTGTTCTTGATCGAAGAAAACTACTAACAATTTTCAGAGGGCCAAATGCCTTTTTATTCTTTACAATTGAAATGATGATTTGAGAACAAACTTGTGCATATGCCTGATCCGAAAGATGAAACACTCTTCTTTGATCAAATACTTCTACTGCAGTTTTTGCAATGTGTTCTTGCTTTACAGCAGTTTTGTCATAGAAATTTATGATAAGGAGTCAAGGGCGTTAACAAATAACAGGGGGAGTTTAGCATAAACTCGTTTTTTTAAGAAGCGTTGAGAATTTTTAGTACTGAAAGATTATTAATCTTTCATTGAATTAACTACTCGTAGTTTCATAAAAAACTCCCACTCTAATGCTTTCTGATCAATACGGGAATTATTATTCCAAACTGTAAAGTTTCAAGTTTCTTATCCTGAAATTCACCTTGCCTGTTCGTAATTTGATTCAACTCCCGTCAGAAAGAAAGCAAACGGGGCAATTGTGCAATTTGGATCCAGTGGAGACGGGATTCACAATAGAAAACGATTAGTGGATGGGTCAGCTTCAGCCTGTGAATTTCAATGTTTAGAATTTTTACATTTAAAATAAAAAAACTTCTTAAAATATAAAATTCACAAGTTTGGTCCTAAGAAAAAATTCCAAGTCAACCGTTATGTTTTCCAACTGTAACTGGATTTTCCAAACTTTGGGGGGGCGTCACGCCCCCACGCCCCCCTATTATTTACGTGCCTGGTCCCTGTCTTGTGCTGTTTAGGGCCTTTCCATTGTCCGCAATTGTCACTCTTTCAATTTTGGTGACCGTTTTATTCAAGTCCAAATTTTTCCACTTGCCTCATGTCCTTGCTTTGACCATGACACACATTTTGCTGACTCTTGCGTATGTGGAAAGTGCGATGCCCTTATCAGTGTGATGCCCGTTTGGGCTTTACTAATTATATGCATAGATGTAGATCTACTTTGAGAGCGACTTTATTTTGAATATAGGCCAAAGAGTTTCATTTTTCAAAATTTCTGTTGTTAGTGTGCCTTTGTGTGATTTATTCAATGAAAAAATGCGCCATGGATCGGAGAAGGTTGAAAAACAACGCTTTAGATCAATTTCGATGCAGGCCTTTTAATTGGAGGCGCGCAGTAGCTCACAAGCTTGCAGACACACGGCCAGACTTGGTCAAGCAAGCAGGTAGTTCCGCACGCAAGACAGAGGCAGTACATGAAGATTATTTAGTTCCCATCTCTGATACACAAAACAGATGCTTCGAAAGGCCATGGCAATTCTCAATATTCCACTAGATGATCATGACAAGCCCGCTAACTTGCCATCAAATTTCCATTTTGGTTAGGTCTTATGGTAAAGTAAATTCTGTAGTATTCATAGGTTGAAATCGGGATTACTATCAAAGGTCCACAAGTTTTAATGACTGTTTAAATTGGAGACGTTTATACAAATTTTAAGTTAAATTGTCAAAGAATTTTCAAATCATGTTGTAAATTATTGATAATTTATTGCCAGCAAAGTGCGAAAAATTAGTAAATGCTGGTGTCATCCGCAAAGAGAAAAATGCTTATTTAGCACCTGTGAACCATCCTGTTCCATCTCAATGAGAAAAAAGAATGGACCGAGAACGGGTTCCTGTGGGACACCACATGAAGCAATAAGGTTGCTTTAATATAACCGTTTGCTGACACGTGCTCCTGAGACAAGAATGAAACCAAATCAGTGTTATTTATTTTATTCTATAGAATAAAAGATCGTTGATTCTATAGAGTAAAAGAGAAATTGATATTTAGTCCTGAGAAGTGAAAGGACAGGCCTCTTTGAAAAAATGAAAGACTTGCTACCTGTAAATTTGTTGATGAAGATTGTATATGGATAGAATTTCTAATTACTTTCCTGGAATGCAATAGGGTCCTGTAGATTTTCCAATTTTAAACAAATCTATGGGTCAGATATTTCAAAATGGATAGTCGGAGTCATAAAAATAAAAACACTTTTATTAAGATTATGAAAGGTGTCTCACTATTAAATGATACTGCTGTGCAAAAAGCCCGATGAAAACTTTCCCTGACGAGAAATATCCTGACCACGGAGTCCTGATTCAAAAAATTGAATGACCCTGGCATTTTTCATTTCCCATGTCCCCTGCAAGCAGTGATATTTCCTCCCGAATAAATCTTAGGCTCCAACTTTGGCACGACATCATATCACCCGCAAGTCCAAGACAAATATTTGCTACCCCTGCCCTGTTGTCATATGATGCATTGACAAAACATCGTATGATTAAAATAGCCCTTGCGAATTTAAACATTTCCATTTAAGTGATATACTTTAAGCTATCAAATTTATCATTACTACTTTCATTGTTTAGTAACTACTCAGGTTTCCATCCATTCCTACATCTCTGGTACCCTGGTCGCCAATTGATGATCCAACTTCCAGGTCTCTGTCTCTCAACTTCCCATCAATGTGAGCAACGCGTTTATGATATCGACCAAATAAGGCTGCAGCGATGAATGTCAGTAACTCACAAATTGAGAAGACTGAGGCACCAATGAAAAGCCCAAGCGACCCGCCGATACCAGCAACCAGTGAAAAAAAATTCATGGCGGGCACCTCCATAACTTTCTGGTAGCTGAAAGATTTGAAGTAAACTTTTAGCTGCAAAAAATTTGAGTTTATGAAATCCTTTGATAAATTTGTTCGATTTAGTACTTTGGAAAGAACTGGGTTGTAATACTGCATGTCTGCTTCGGTAGGCCATCGAGAGCTCGTCGCAGTAAGTTTGAAAGTTTCTTCGTAACATGGTAACGGACAATCACAAAAAAACTCGTTTGCAGTTAGATTTGTGGAACTCTCTATCCCACAGGCAGCCGGGTTTTTTGAAATGTTTCTTGGCAGAGAGGGGAATTTTTTCCCTTTTTGCTCTAAATGGTAAAGCACTGAAGCCTCAACTATGCCACAGCTTTCATAAAGTTTCAAATTATAGCAAGATTGTAAGCAATTATTGACATGATAACGGCCTGGGTATATCAAGTCTTCGTCCCTATTAACGCATTCAGATTTGTACGGCTTTTGCTCTCGAAGCATGATCTTTTGTTCTATTGATATATGTGTCTGAGTCCCTGGTTCAACGGCAAGCCAGTCATTAGATGGGTAAGGGAAGACATCCTGTGGATGCACCTTCACAAATACACCAGCTCCATTATCAAATGGCAGGAGCCTCATATAATCGTCTTGATTGAGGTACAGAGTTAAAAGGAGTCCTCCATACGGCCCCACAACAACCTGGGTGAACTTACCGTCTGGGTTGAACGTCTTACAAAATCCAGACTCCAAGCCATAAAAATAATCTTTAAAGTCACTTTGGTTGCAAGTTTTGAAATGCCCAAATCTACACCAACCCTCGATGGATTCTAGAAAAAGCGTATCTGAAGCCGACTGTGTGGCTTTTGCAGATGAAAAATTGCTCTGAAACATAAAATTTTGTGCATTAGGAAAATTCAACAGATTTACTACCGCTCCCTTATCAAGGCTAATGTTCAAGAAATGCTGAAAACGCGCCTCCGGGTCCACGGCCAGATTGCCAACCTTACTTCTTTGAAAGTTGTTTGCATTGCAAATGGTGACGCTGGGAAACTTAGCCGTACGATTTGCACACTCTTCTATTAGCAAATATGTTCGGTACTTAAAGTATTCTCCAGCAAGGCTATAAATATTAACGACGCTTGCAGCACAGAGAGCAATAATTACTGAACTCCATAGAAGTTTCAGACTCCAATGTTTTGATGCCTCAATTTTTGAAAGTCCATGGATAGTGGAATTTGCCAAGTAAGATCGTAGTGCCATTTCCGTTAGTTGGCTTTTGACATTTGAATTCACCTCGTACTTCTTCGTATTGTGCTCCATCCCCAACTCTGTCTCGTTTACAAACTATTTCTTTTAATCAGATAAATCTATCCTTGTGCTAAGAAAAGTATTTTATGTGAATTAACGTCTCCTCGACGGGTCCTTAAAGAACTGAGCCAGAGCTCAAATGATGTACATTTTTAGTGACTCTCGAGAATAATAGACAGCTGGAGAACACAGCTGCTTTTAATTACGACTTTTCGCATTTAAAAACTACTAAAAACTGCTTCTTTGTATTTAACAGAAAAAATAAAGTTTTGTTTCATAAAGGCACACCGTTTGCCTTGGAAACCAAATGTACACAAACAAAGAAATTTCATCCAAAAGTAGTTTTACGTGCAAACTACAAATCAACGTCCCTGCTTATGTGACAAAAAACTAATTTTAGTTAATGATTGTCTAAAGATCAAACGCAATGCTGAATAAACAACAGTAATTAAATTCTTAATATTTAAAAACAATTTTAATTATTGTCAACTGACTCCTTTTAGTTTTCTTGCGCCTGTAGGTACACATGCAATAACATCGAACTTTTCAGCCTTTATTGCCGCAGATGTCCATTTTACAAACTAAATGCATATCCTATAGTCTTTACCTACCATTTGCCGATGTCCAGTGCAATTAGTAATAACTGTTTGATATCCTACAAGGAGTCTAATGAATAGTGAGACTCAGATATTACTAAATATTACACAAACTGATACACAAACTAGTATGAAAAAGGTTTTTCTTTCTGCGACCGGACAGAAATTACGCATGTATTTCCTACAAAATTGTGGAGATAAACGAAGAAAGGGTCTGTTTCTAAAAACAGTCATGATATGTCACCAGTTTTATGAAAATGAACGTATAAGATACACTTATAAAAGTTTCAGCAATATTATTACCATTTCAAATCATTTTCCGCTTTGGTGACTGACAATTATTCCTTATTCATGAACGCCTAAATTGATCTTGGAAAGTTGCTTAGCTATAATAATTTACAAGAATTCTGCAAATTATAGCAAAGATTCTTAAGCTAGGTAAAAAACTGTTAACTTTTATCATACAAGAATTATTGGAAAAAAATTATCAAGGGTTCTTAGGTAGAACAACCATTTCAACCTGTACAAGGCAAATAAATAAAATAGGCTGCTTTTGTCTTCATCTTCTTACTTTAGATAAACATGAAAGAATCAAAGGTGCTTCTTGCAAAAAGGCATATTTTTAAAAACAATTCCTGCAGAACTTTATTAATGAAAGATGAGCTATGATACTTTCCTTTAACCTTTTCAATTTCGTTTAATCAGGACACACATGGATAACAGGATAACATGTTTCAGTGAATATTTACTGTATTTATTTTACTAAATTACAATTATTATTATCATTATTATTATTATTAATATAAGAATGTGTTGGAGAGATGCTGTAGATTTTTAAACCTTCTCATCAAAAACCTACCATATCTCTTTAGCACATTCTTATATGCCGATCTACCATCTTATCTTACCCCATATCATATTATCACAGGTGATTCTATGTGACCTGACATGCTACTGATTGCAACAGTTCTCGCAAAAAGGAAAAGTATAAATCTCTTTTGAAAACTCTTGGCAGTTTGCACAAGTCCGTTAAACTTTTAACCTCTTAATCAATTTCCTTAGCATCACTGGGCAATCATGTTCTACTTTTACAGATATGCTGGACCATTTTGCTGTTGACAAATTCCATTGTCATTACATCTATCATAATTTGATGCACCTGCTTTATATGCTGCCCTAGAAAGAAACCTTGGCCTAACCCAGAGCTTCATTGCATCTACACTTTACCACTACCACCACACTACAAGCTTTATTGTCATTACCAACATTGTCACCATCATCATCATAACATCACCATGCTTAAATTTTTATGTTGTATGCAACTGTTTTTTTTTGATTTTGTGATATTTTTTCAGTGTAAGGGTGCCACCTACAAAATACCTTTAAAAAGTGAGGCTTGTAAGTGCTATATGTCTTTGCAAAATGAAAAGAGAACTGGTTCAAAAAGTAGTCTTATCTTGTAAACCCAGGCTAGACAGTTTAACTACCTATGTAATAGAGAGGTTTGTAGTTTGATTGAATTGAAATGTAAAGCTTTCAATATTGGATGCAAAGTGTACCTTGCCAAGGCCACTAAATATAAGGCATCGTGATTCTGCATCAAATTTTCTAGCCACTTCCTTCAAACAACTATTTACCAAGGTGGTTGGAAGCAAGAGCTGCAGCCCGTCTCCCTAATATTAGCCAAATATGTTTTATTTCCTAAATAACAGCATTAACAAATTACTCAGTGGGAATAAATTGAATGATACATCCCCAAATATGAATTTTGATTACCTGCAAACAAATCAAATTATTTTCATTTCTTCACTTATCAATAACATTCAAAACATATCAACTTTCTAAATAACATCTTGCTGGTAAATCTTTTGTGTTTGTCAAAATTGTCTTTATAAATTATTTCAACACACTCAATTGATCACTGAAATTTTGAATATAAAAGGTCTGCAATTTTATTTTAAAAGAGTTTATTTGCTAAGTAATTAATTGCTTAGGATCAACTTGCAAGACAAATAGATTCCTAGATTCTAATTTGCATCACAAGTGACTTTCTGCTTGAAAAAAATGATACATTCCACACTGGATATACCATGTATTAAAGGTTATGGGGCAGCAAAAACATAGGCCAGTTTACAAGACCCCAGCACAGCTCAAAGAAGAAGAAGCCACAGAGATTTCAAAGTATTCTGATGAGGCATTGTATAGGGTTCTATCTTATGGACGGCCTTCCCTCTTTCTCACAGGAATATATTTGTTAATATTCTGAGTATCTGTATTGACTAAACTTTGAAACACGTCTGTGACACATCTCAACGATATTGGGTTTAGAAACCAGAGATGGCACCATTCAATTGGACATGGAGAGCTAAGAATCAGGTTAAGTGACATAGGAGGACCTACCGTGGTAGGGTCCAATGCGAAAGAAAATTTTTGAAATTGAGCCTTCTAGAATGGCCAAAAATGAATCTCACAGACTAAAATTTAACAAATTACTATACCGTTAAAACTATACTGTTTAAGGCATTTGAGATGCATAAGTACAGCGAATCCAAAAAGAACTCGATAAGGGCACACCCAATTGAAGGTGATTTGAAACTACTTATGTGAAACCACTCTAGGGTTTTGCCGATTTGCAGAAAGGTGGAAACTGTTCAAATGGTTTTCTCTGTGCACAATTTGATTGGTCAACCGCTGGGGGTCAAGTGGCTGTAAGCCACTTCAAGACTTTAAGACTTTAAGATGACTTTAAGTGTCAAATGACTTTAAGATAAGACAATTTGATGATTCTCAGCAAACATTGGTTATTGATTTTTAGGAAAAATTTGGTAGGGGAGGAGTCATGCTAAAACTCTAGTGACAGATGTTGGGGAAAGAAAGAAAGGGTGACCTATTGGTTCAGAGTGCACATCAATGTGAATAACAAAAAGCTACTGTATTGATTAAGAGAATTTTACTTCCTGAACAGAAGTGTGCACCTTCTTTGTCTTGGGTATTTTCAGTGGGCCATGTTTACACATCCACAATGCAGTCATTGCAATGATACAGAAAGTTATCTACTGAATTGATGCAAATAATAGACAAATAATAGAAATAAAAAACAAGTGAGTAAATAGATAAAAGAAAATCAAACAGTCTATAAACAGTTTGTTCTCTTTTTATTTCATACTTTGTTTTCAAAAATAATAAAAAAGATGGTCAAAAATTTTTGTCTTTGAAGAGGTGGGGGCGCAGTGGGGGCCTTCAGCCCCCAGTGGTGCCTTCAGCCCCCAGTGGTGCCATGCCTGTAAATACGAGCTTTGAGAAAGTTTGTCATGCCTGCGACTTTGAAATCCTTTTTTAGCCTCACAGTTAATTCCAGTAACAATGAAACAGGCAAAGATTACTAATCTAAATTTAAAGTATATGTCTGAAAAAATTGCTATTTGTGAATACGGGGAATACTCCTAACTGCACTGTCTCTGGTTTTTTTTCCAAGACTGGAAACGTTATCCTGCAGCCTTGAGGTATTGCAAATGAACGTCTTCATGTGGTCATAAAAATATTACGCTCACATAGCTTCCCAAATAAGTAAACCTGCATTGCTGCTATTTTTGGCAAAATAATTGGATTGACTGGACCATTGCATTGACCAGATGAACCTAATAATATTATATTTGCTGAACAAATTTCTTAAATTTTGACTCCAGAACACGCAAAAAAGTAGGACCACAACTAGCTTGCCGCATCATTTTTCATCCAAATAGTTGGTATGGGTGTCTGGGTTTATGGGGAGCATTTTTATGGAACTCAAAGTGGAAGAAAAAAAGGAGCATTTTGAAAGTACAAATAATTTGGAAGAATTCCCAAAACCGCAAATTAACTGTTGCAACGGTATTTAATCAAAAATTGTCGCTGTTTGATGCCAGCGGACAAGCGCAGGTGGTTTTCCGAAAAGGGGATTTTCAATTTACAACTTCATAGCAAATAACTCCAACATTAACAACTTCAAATCAATGAGACTTTTCATAACTAATTAAGAAAACCTAAAATAACAGTCCTCGTTGCAATAAACAGTTGCCTTGTAAAGCAGACCGTAGCAATAAAAAGTTTGTGGTAAGGCCAGAACAGACCGTAGGACTACGAGTTTAACTAACTACACAAAAAGGATATACTTAAGAAAAAATTCATCACAAATTTCGAAAAAAACAAACAAGAAAATTTTTTCTCTAACCTTGGTGCTTCTCGCTTGTTCACTATATAATTGGCAAAAGAAGTTACCAAACTTTTTAACAGATCTGGACGCCATTTTAACGGACCTCAAGGAGATTTGTTTGAAAAAGAGGCCCAATTTTGATGCCGAGGCGATACATCTTCAGAGACCCTATAACCGAGCTCCTACCCTCTCCCGCCCCGTATACTTTCACCCAAACGCCCCTCTCTACAAAATCTCTCTACGAAGTCTCATAAAGCGGTTAAAAAATATTCAAGAATCTAGAAGCCCTATTGAATAAACCCCTTGGGGTCAATTTCAAAATTTCAAATCAAACGGTATTTTGGCCGTTAACAGTAGACGTATTATGTTTCCAAGCGAATCTTGCTTTGTTCAAGAGCATTCTGTCGATCTGATAAATTGTTGCTGATGATCTCTTCATTTTCATCATGGAAGAGTTTTAAAAATGTAGCACAGCTTGGTATCTTTTTACCTGCTGCTTGAGTCCCCAATGTCACCAACCGCTTGTGGGATCAGAGATCATTACCAGAATGCAGGCCAAAGTATTAATAAATAATAAATAACCAGGAGATCTTTGCAGAGACAATTCAAATCATCGTAAAATAAACTGAAAAAGCCAATATACTGGTGATTTCTTCAAAACATAATCACACAAGTCTTCGACTAGAAAAGCAATAAAGGTTGGATTGCATATATTCGATAGGAGCTGCAAGCAAGTTCGACCTACCTATGTTAAACAGGTTTTTTGAAAGAACACAGAATCATTTGCTTTGGTATTGCAAACAAGTGAGGTGCTTTAATAAATCCACTAAGAAAATCACTCGATATGGAAAAATTGTGTAACAGAAGAATCAGTGGACTTTGAAGAACAAGAGAAGCATGTCAAAAAGTTGAGTTGCTCTACAGAAAAGAAATTTCCCAACACCAACCGCCAATCGAGGATTACTTCATAAGTTGACTAAAAATGAGTATAAGACAACGAAGTCAATACCAATCTATTCCTGGATTGCAGATAGGTCTTCATGCTGCAATGAATCCAGAATACGATTATCTGTTCAAGATTTTGCTCGTTGGCGACAGCGGAGTGGGGAAAAGTTCTCTGCTCATTCGGTTTGCTGATGACGTTTTCTGCGACAGCTATATAAGCACGATTGGGGTTGATTTTAAAATAAAAACAGTTCTGCTGGATGACAAAGTTGTCAAGTTACAGGTACAGGATATGTATTAATTACACCCAATCAAAACTTGTCTCTCTGGGGGTTTAGGTATAAGTGGGTGATCTGGCGTGATGTACAAATCAAGCACATCCATCAGGAGAGAATGATACCACCGAACATCTTAGCCTCTCACACCGCCTCCTGGTATGAAAATTACGCCAATAAGAGACCCTTCAGATAATACGTCACAGGATATTAGCTTCTACTGTTTTTAGGGGGCTCATGCCATTAATTCAGAGTCAGGAAAACATTACGGTCGCACGGCCACTGACCGGAGGGAGGTCCACGAAAAACAATAGAAGCCCCTATGACACACCCAAGCCATGTCCGCTTTATATTGTTTGTGAGGAAGGTTTGCCTTCTGGGATGTTTTTTTCTGGAGGAAGGTTAACAACTTTTCTGGACTCTGCAATAATTCTATCTATATTTCGGTACTGTATGTGATTAAGGAACGAGGAGCGAGTTTCAAGATGATCACAACTGATTATTTGGGAGTGGATTTTGCTAATGATCATTTTCTTGAATAGAATCTTTCTAGAATCTATTTCTAGAATAGAATCTTCGTATTGATTTTGGGGAAGTTCTTATGATTGCTTTTCGATAGTTTATACTATAAACATGTCAAAATTAGCAGGTAGTAACCAACAAATTACAAATATTAGCAACAGTACTCTTACATGTATGATGTTCTCACTAAGGATTTTCTTCTGCACTATTAACATAAGCTACGTTAATGGTGAGATATTTTACAGTATCGCCTTTTACAGCAGTGGACAATCTGTTGGCTTTTCATTAATAACTCCTGGATATATTTGCAAATCATTTCCATATACTTGATTGACAGTTGGTGGGTCATCCTGTCACAAAACCTAAAATAACTCAAAAGCTTTTAGGAGATTTTCAAACATTATTGTTCCTCGACAACACCATTAAAACCTTAAAAGGAGAGTTGAGGGTGATACAGAATACTGGAATAGGCCGAATTTGCAAAAATGAATTTTGAAATTTTGGATTTCATGGTATAATTTTAAATTTGCTAATTTGATAGTCAAGTATCATAACGATATTCAAAACTGCTAGATGGAAAGATGACCGGGCTCTGCCAATTATCTGAAACATGTCGTCATTATAGAGTTTTGCACAATCTGGGTAATCTAAAAGATGTTGACCGATGGCAGAATCACTTGTTTTAACAGTGTTTGTAGACCTACATAATCTAGGAGGCTGTTCTCTTTGAGAGGTAGTCATGTTTCTTATTTTTGAACAGCCGAAACAATTGCGATCTTCTCCTTAATATAAGACAAAATGACATCTTCTTGATGACTGTTTTCCAGAAATATCTAAACTATTTTGATGCACATACATAAAAGTTATACCTTGGCAAAATCATTAATTATCTACTGGAATATAAAAACATTATTGCTTTTCACTAGATTTGGGATAGTGCAGGACAGGAGCGATTCAAGACACTTACTACGACATACTACAGGGGAGCACATGGAATTATTGTCGTATATGACGTCACAGATAGGAATTCGTTTATCAATTGTGGACAATGGTTAACTGAGATTGAGAAAAATGCTTGCGAGGGTGTTCAGAAGCTCATTGTTGGGAACAAATGCGACAGAGAAGATAGAGAAGTGGACTATGAAGCAGCATCTAGCTTCGCTGAAAAACTTTCTGTTAAATTTATCGAATCGAGTGCAAAGGATTCGATCAATGTCGACAGAATTTTCATCACTATGGCCGCTGAACTGAAAGAAAAACTTGGGACTCCGATAAAGGAGGAAAAGAGTGCACTTCAAATTGGAACAAGCACTAAACTGACTAGCGAAAGTAAATATCGGTGTTGTACATGGCAATGATCTTGAAAGCTACATATTCATTTCAAGACTTGTAGATAATCCTTTAATTTTGACGGCGCAATTTGGCAAAAGTAGAAGACAAATGTTTTCGATTTTCTAAATATCTGAAACTTTTGTCTTCGCAGTGGTTTTGTATAGTCTGCTGTTCATTTGTAGCGATAAAGACTGGTAGAGTAGGTGAAAGACCAGGGTTTTTTTGTGGATTGTATTTTTCGGCCTCATAAATTTCATTACCAAGACCAAATAACTGTTATTTGATAGGAAAAGATCTTTAGGTTTTGTATTTCTTTCTACCTAGCATCTGAAAGTAGTTTTTAGGACACCGAGAAGCTTATGCTTATCGATCGAGCAGAGTCCTGGTCCTTCCTCTCGATGTGACCATACTTCGTGATTGCTATGCCTGGAATAACAGAGAGCTGGCGACTCTCCTCACTCTGGGTGAAAGTTTGGTCATGCCAGGGGCTCGAACCACGGACCCTTGGGTCTGAAGTCAGCGCCCCTAACAACTGAGCCACCCTCGCAACTGAGCCTTTGCCAATCTAACCTTATCTCAGACAGTCTTTTACAGATTTAACTCATATTGCATTTTGTAAAGTATTTCATGGTTTTTTTTTCAAACCCGAGCACTGGATTAACCTGTTCTAGATAGGCTAGCCAATTAAATACTTGGCTGTTTCACTGATGTCCTTTTGTGCATACACATCAAACTACAAGAAGCTCGTGATATCTCGAACCTCCAAGGGACCAATGAAATGGTTGGAGATTGCGAATGTTTGAGTGACCGGGGGAGGGGGTGGGGGGTTTTATGAAAGTATTTGGCAAGAGGAATGCAATTTCAGCTCGACTCAGCGAATGATCGAGTTATCGGGAGTTTAATGGATATGCTAAGCATATAGCAAAAATACTTTGATTAAATAGGAGACACAAACACAGAAATGGCGGTTTCACAGTAAAAGCAGTTTCCAAATTCATTGTTACTGAAAGAAGGAATAAACTCTAAACAATTAATACCAAAACTTTACAAGTAACTCTTATAATCCCAATTATATTAATTATCTATCTAGAATCCCTAGAAACAGCTAATATATAGAAATATATATAAATCTATTGAAAAATCGGTAAAATAAATTCACAAGAAACATCTGAATAGAGAAAAATTTCAAAGTTTAAAGCCCCATCGGCATGATTGCATTTTGCACTGCTATATTCGCCGCAACTAAAAATGTTTAAAAATAAAATCCCCGTAGGGATCTATAATATGAGGACTTTCACCCTGGAATACTGGGCTAGCCTGCCCAACGGAAAGTTAAATTTGCATGATAAATTGTTATAAAACATAGCATGCGGTAATACGAAAAACGAGAAAGTCCGGTTTATACGAAAAACACGCAAGTCCAGTTTACATGAAAAACGAGCAAGCCCAGTTTTCCGGAATCCTGTTTAATATTAGCGGGGTCATGGCAAATAGGGCGGAAATGTTCAAAGGTCCGGTTCAACCGGATGTGCTCCAAAGTAACTCACATTTCCACCTAGCTATTCTTCTAAAAATATAAATAAATGTTATGTCAATTAAGCAAGAAAGCGAGCTGAAAATTGAATATGATAGGGAATGGTTTTCGGCCCTGCCAAGCTGGTCAGCCTGAGTTGGCAAGCTCATATCATAAATTTCTTAAAGAAATTGCATGATCAGTAACAAAATCTGATGTTAAATATAAAAAGGGAGAAGAATGGTTTCACCCTAAAGTACAAATGAATCATAAACTCCATCGATCAAGATCGTTGATAGCGAAGAAAAACCCAGTCAACGTCCCCCAAACAGCCCGCTGTCTTTCGAGAAATCCTGCTGACCTTGCGTTGGATCGGCAGTCGCATGGCGTTTGAGTATCCACAATTATAGATTTTGTGATACCAAAATGACATCATTGGGCGGCGGTTATATATAGAAGTGCAAATGCGTTTTATCCATATAACGAATAAATTACTCTAAATTGTTAATAAGGATTTTTAAAGCACTGTCAGTATTAACATTGCTTTATAGAAATGTTGCTTTCATTTTCAACAAGTAATTGATCAACGAATTGATTTATAAAGCATCGAATAGTGACATTTTGGTTCTTGTCACTATCATTAACTTCTTCGAAATATACTAAAATTATACAAAGACTAGCATAAAAAATGGATACAGCGATAATCATCTATAAATCTTCATAAAAAACATTTTTCATTCTAGAGAGATTCGTAACGACTCTCGCAGGTGCAAGAAATAGACTTGGCATTAAAAAACAAGGAATACAAATGCAAGTTTAATCATGAAGCAGGACTTAAAAACAAATCTTCAAAGATCGATAAAAACCTGCGAAAGTGAAACGCACAATGGGCAATAGGTTTCGGTGAAAATAGACATTTAAAACCCACAACTGAATCCAATTTACCTATAGCATCAATGTCAAGACTTACAATAAACCCAAGGCAATCATCTCAGTAATCTATGATACCATGAGCTCGTCACAGAGTCAAAAACTAGAGGCGAGCCATGGACCACAAAAGGTCTGTTCTGATCGCTTATGGCGATAGGGGACTACCAAAGTGCTCTCGTGCTGTTTGGGACTCGAAGAGCATTGACTTAGCACCATATAAAAAGCTATGCACTCTCAACTTACACAAAAACAACCTCAAAGAAAGATTTGCAACACAGATGCGTGAGGAACATCCCTGGAAAATAGCAACTGGGGGATAATCAGACCTAAATGTATTTCTAGATATCATGAGAAAGCTTTCCATAGACGACATACCTTATTTGTGTTTGGCTTTCCTCCTAGCCATGGCATGAACTTTCAATTTTTGAGAACTATCAGCATCTAAATGCCATGGTTCAGTGTTGGCTCCGCAACATAGAATTGCAGGGGAGACATTCGGCAAACGCAGGACATTTATGACATCAACTGCACGTGACATTACCACCTCGAATTCACGTTGATTTATTCTACAACAGCCCATCCCCCATTCAGTGTTGGCCAACTTCGTCAAACATAGCACGGTTTTAGGAACAAAGTCTTGCGAGAAGGCTGCTAGTTTTCCAGCCGTTGAAATCAATGATGATACAAGTCTAGCGCAGACAGGAAGATCGTCGTTACAAAACAAGGAAGACTTGGCTTCGTAAATCAGCGTTTCGATTATCTCGTAATATTTTGCTATTTGCTCCATGCTACAAACTCCAGGGCGGACAGAAAATTCTCCGATGCAGTATACGAGACTTGAAGCCACTGAATCGAGGCCTGGTAGTGAACATCGGATTTGCTTGAAAAAATACAGAACCTCGTCTTGATGGGAAGAAATGAGCGTCGGAGACTTGATACACAATTTGATGAATTGTTCCGACATAAGAGTCCTTACAGCATTTTGGAAAGCCGGGTCCGGAAACAATATAAAAATTCGCTCTAGCATTGAAGGAAACAGCTCTTTGATCATATTTTCATTTACTTGCACACTAACACACTGAAAGAACTTTCGTAACAACATAGGTACTATCTGACAGCAAACTTGAACCCTGGTCCTTTTCGACAAAGGTCTTATGGCAACGTAAACTTTGTCGAGTTTGTCGATGGTTTCTGGCCCGCCAGATTCGCATCTCAAAAAGAATTCTGATATTGCATGGGACGACTTGCTCAGAAACGTGCCTGATTCTCCAAAATTTGCCTCGAAATTCTCTTCAAGATACTTATCCAGTGTGTTTAATTGCGTCAGCTCAAGCATAGCAGAGGTACACGGTATGTCGAGGATACTGTGAAAGAGTTCACAGGCAGTTGAGTCGTTTACCAAAATTGGAAGCAACTCTAGAATCTCGTACAAGAAGCTTCTTGGATTCCAAGCGACCATTTTGAACAAGTTAGGAAAAAACCTGCTCAAAAATGGAAATTGCTCAAAGAAAGCAAAGTTTCTCAAACAAAAATCAAATATCTCAAAACAAGCAGAAGAGCTTGTGTACATTTGGGAAGGGACTGTCTTGAGGTACGACTGTACCAGCTCTTCAGCATTGTAAATCATACTGTTATAATGCTCCACAAAATACTGTATGTCCGCAGGGTAGAGCCTTCTGGCATACGTTGATTCTCCAATGATCCTTCCATGAACACGCTCAATTTCGGGGAAAACCTTCTTGACAAGTGTGTCATCTTGCTGACACAGCAACGTCAGAATTCTGACCGCCTCAATAACAGCAGCAGTGAGAATTGTTCTGTCTTCAGACTTACGTGGCATTTTCTCAGCTTGTCCAAGAAGTCTAAGGCAATAGCGAACACTTGCATTCTTTAGAGTAACTCCTCCAGTTGACATGGACACTATCGAAGCTGATGACATCTTGCGACTGGCAAATGACGCATCTCTATTCATCGAATCCGATCTTTTGGGAGTCGAAACTGACATCGGCCTTTTATTCGAGGAAAGGCTGTGCAAAGACCTGTTTTCATAAAAGCTCGGGGGCGTGGCAAACTTTGGGCTATGCTGTATCAAGTCAAGAGAGTCTTTGGATTTATCTCCTTCGTTTTCAACATACAAGAAACTGTTAAGCGACGATAAGGACGATGAGAGTGAAACCGGGCCAGAAGAATCACTACTTGCAGATGAGGCAACGTAGAACGAGCTCTGCCCTACATGATGGGGCGCAGCAGAAGATGGTCTAGAAGTCCTGGAATTAAATGACGGAAAAAAAGCTGAAGGAGTCTGAGACATTGAAGCGAAAGCCTGTCAGTAAAATGAAAGCTAAACACTTGATTTTTGAAACTCTGAAACTAAAGACCCTACATTGAACTTAGGATCACATGCGCTATATATGTTAAACTAACTCTAAAAGACTCTAATGTATTTAAAGACGCTAAACATATTGCATTTAACTTGTTGACTGTTTTCTTCCCTCTGGTGCATATATTCAAAGGCTGTTGATCCTTTCAAAATGAAAACTTGGAGAAAAATTTGAGTTAATGTTGGGAATGTGATGTTTCCCTGATTCACTGTAAAGACCCTGTTTTTATTGGAGATCAAAAACGGAGAAATAAAACAAAAATGGAATGACTTGTTGAATGAATTGAAGACTTGATGATGGTATTTATTCCCTACCAAAAACAAACCAACGTGCAGATCTATCAGTATCTCCCTTATAAAAAGTTTGGTGTCTTCAGGTGAACAATGAGCGATGTTGCACTTTTGTTTTTGCACTTTTATTGTGTAACAAGTGGACTGCCACAGTACTGAGCTGCTCTAATATTAAGATCATTAAATGTATAGATTACCTAATATCAAAATGTCTAGATTAATCTGTAATAAAAAACATTAAATCCTAATTTCATGCCTTCAATAATTAAAAAAAGTATCATAAAAGTTTCATGAAATAATACATGGTTTGATAGTATAACTGCCCAAATTCCTGCCCATGTTTTAAATTTGATGAGTTTCAAACAAAAAGATGAATTTTTTATGAGTAATTATGAGGAAAATTGGTTAAAGAAAATAGACTAGTTATGTTTTGTTGAAAAAAGAGACCTAGATGGAAGCAAATAGCTTGAATAAATTGATATTATATGCCTTTTTGGTGAATAAAACAGGACAGTTCTAAGTTGCTACTCCTATTTGTATGCTTGTTGCAATTATCAGGCAATGTTAAAACCACACTCTGTATAGGTATTATTATATTTAGTTGGTTTGTCCCTTGTGCTGTCAGGGATTTCAATGTTTGAGGTGTTGCTTAGGTTGCATTAGTTATGTACAGTTCTGCCTATCACTTTATGACCGACCAGCGAACAGAAACTTTCATTAAGATGCTATTGTATGTAAAAAGCTAAAGGTATACCTAGGTATGGTCTTTAATACATTATTCCATATTTCAACATCATGGTTCTGTAGCACAAGCAACCAATTCTGTAGCATTGAAAATGCATATATATTGTGCATTTGGTTTGTATTCAAGACAGAGGCTAAATTCAACACAGTGAAAAAGTCTCTACAAGGAGTCCCATCAATTTCTTGAACTGCAATCTGAAACAAACAAAAAATCAAATAGCTGAGTTTCTTTAGAGAAATCACTGGTCAGAGTTTGTGTAGTTTTTTCAAACAAACATTTATGGGCAACAGCAGGAAACCTGGAACAATCCTAAATTACTGTTTCATATAATAGGCTTTAGCAAAGTTTTGGTAATTTTTCCCTGTTTGATAAAAAGCTTGAACTACAAAAATTGGTATATCAAAAGTGAATCCCTGAAATTCCTGGGCAGTGGCGGACACTTGGTCAAATATTGGGGGGGGCAAGCCTATTGTTTTAATAAGATGACGTCACATTTCCCATTGTTTTAGAACAAAAGGCCATTGTTCTCTAAAGTATTGGGGGGCGGTCGCCCCCCCTCGCCCCCCCAAGTGTCCGCCACTGTTCCTGGGTTTGGCTTATTTTTTTGTTTAGCTTGATTTCTAAATGGAAACAGAGGAATAACAAACTATACTTGGGTCTGAGTCAGCTTTCAAATTTTTTTTCTTCGTATTTGCGAAACATTGTTATTAGAATTAGAATCATCATTTTGAAATGAATCTGTGCTGAAAACTGCATATTTTTGCAAGGTCAGGCTGTGAATTGAGCTATTTTCAAAATTCAGCTTTTCCATTACATTTAACTGGATTTCAATGCAGCGGCAAATTCTGGTCACATCTTAGAAACCATCTAAATATTCATAAACACAGTAACTTCCAAACTTTGCCATAACATGCAAGAAACAACATGAAATTGTCAGATATAAACTAAATTCAACTTTTGCAAATCTGACATCCATTTTTGAAAGGATCAGCAGGCTTTCTTGGGAAACAAAGGGCAGGCATTCTAAGCACTGCACACCTGAAAACATCCAGGCGTGTGATGATGTGTGATGAAGTGTGACATTTTTTCGCAAAAACTTATTGTTATCATAATATGTCTTCACAGAAATTGCCAAGACAGCAATGATTACAGCAATAAATTTGCTGAAAAATTTTAAACAAGAAAAATTTGATAAATAACAAAATTTGATAAACATTTGTTAGATGAAATTTGATGAAAAATTTGAAATTTGATGAATTTGTTAAAAAAATTTGATGAAAAAGCTTAAATTTTAAAAAAACATGTTTTTTTCTGAAGACTTGAGCAAGTCTCTACAGAAGAATAAACTGGTACATATTTTCATCATGTTCTTGTGGACCCTTATTCTAACATTTTATGATTTGAGGAGTGTCAAACGAAAAAGCTTTTAGTCAATTGTGGCGGAGTCAATGAGTGCCACGAAGACACGTGATGCAAACTTACATAATCTTTAGAACTAATTTCAGAAACATTACGTATGCGGTTGTTTTGTTTAAGACTTGCTTTGTTTATCCCCCATTAACATTGCTTTGTAATTATAATTCATGGTATCAGGGGCGGCGGGCAGTGTTATTACCGTTATTAATGTAATAACACTTTTTCCAAAGTCTTTATCAGTTTGATGCATTCGGCAAAGGCTAGACACAACCAATGACGAAGAAATAATATGGTATCTGTCCTCTATTCATCTGGAGGGAATGATAATAACCTGCTAATCTTTAACCACAGGAAGCCTATTGTGTTTCTCAATGGTATTTCAAATCGCTCAAAGCTAGTTCGAGGCTCCCGGTCTCATTATTACTTTCGTGTTTCTAATAACGGAAACAGCAAAGTCTTTGTCATGGGACTCACAGATGACGTAAAATTCAATTGTTCTTGGTCCTTGAAATAAAGGAGCCTAGCAGCCCCGTTATTACTTCTGGGATTCTAATAACGCTGCCATTTACCTTTTGCCAGTGCTGTTTTATGATTTTGCTTGTAAGTTAGCTGTTTCAAAATGAATCGTGTTGTGGAAGATCAAGTGAATGACCATCGTCTGGATGTTCAAAGTGTATCTCTAATTATTTTGAAACGGGTGGAATTAACTCACTAGCAACGTCTCGGACTGAAACACCGTGCCAGATACATCTCATCATGTATTTTTCTATCATAAATTTTTAGCCTGCATCCTTTCAAATATTATTTGTACATTTGTAAATTGTAGCTATTCAAAATGTTGCAAGTTGCTTATGTAAAGGCATTTAAAATGAAAGATGAATGTCATGACCAATTTTGCCTGTAAATCTGTGCCCTAAGGGCCCTTGGTTATCAAGCATGAAAATGAAAATCTTGTTCACAACACTTGATGTTTCTCTTAAAAATGAAGGCAAAAATGAATGTTATAGTCTTCTGTGTTTGGATTTATTCACTGAAATGGCATAAAGCCTTGAAAAGGTGTAAAATTTTGCACAAATCTCTTCTCCATTTTTTGCATCATAAAAAGTGCATGTTTGTCATTGTTTGTTTTGCGGATGAAAGAAATGATCCACTCGAGTTATAGTTATAAATGTACACCAGGAATAAGTAGACCAAAATAATGGTGAAATTTCATATAAAAGTTTGTCATATCAAGGAAAATTATGACGAAGAGTCCTACAATTAGGTTCATAATAATGAGAGTTTGTTATATACTGGATTTATTATACCAAGGAAATTTGTAGGGGGTTTGACAGAATCCAAGGGGCCAGAAATTTTTTTTGTTTCACAAGAAAATTAGCTATAACCAGGTTTCATAATATCGGGATTCGACTGTAGATTAGTCCTACGATTATGTCAAAATTTTATTCAATTCGCAATCCTGAAAAGGTTTTAAGCCTTTTTGAAGTGGCATGAAGTAAAATAATACCAAGGAAAGATCAACAATTAAACTTGTCTCATAAACCAACAAATCCAATCAATAAGAACTTTGCTCTCAAAATAAAAGTAGGCTTGTTTTATTCTGCACTCCTCTAAAGGAGATGGCATGCGCCAGGGCGTGTATGTGCAATCGTATGCCTTTCCGCCAAAAGCCTGGTCAGTGGAAAGCAAGACGCAAAATTGATGACGACAATCCAAATCTAAGAAATGAAGATTTTCTTCCTTACCTTCTTCCTTGTTGGAGAAGCTTTTTCATTTTGTTGAGCAGGGGACAAAGCTTGATTTGATGACGTGAAAATCAGCCAATTGCAAAGTTTTCTTGAGGCAGCTTCAAAACATTCCAGGTTTGTTTCTGTAACTTCTGCAAGCAAGGAAGGGTTTTCGAGGGAACACATGAGCCCAATGCAAACTCTGTGAATTTTACTGCTCACTGTTTGGTTCTTTGCGAGTTTGATCACAAAATGACACGCACTTGCAAATTGCTCTTTGTCTGTGCAATGATGAAATAACGTGTTTAAAAGTACTAGCGTATTGTACCTGTTGCCCAAATTAACTTGAATATGATCCAGAATCAACATTGAACCGGATTTTGCCACATGAGGTGACAATTCTTTCAAAAATACTTTCATTAACAATTTCGCCTGTATAGTTATGCTCAGTTTCCTTTTTGTATCTTTATCTTCGCTTGGTGACAGCATTTTCGAGATTAATGTTTTGAGGATATCATCGCCTATGGATGCTAAATCATCGCGAAGAGATCCATCATAATCTCCACTTAATAAAAAAATAAACGCTCTTATGGCATTTAGGTCACTTCTTTCCAAATCCTTATCTTTTAGACGAACTAAAATCTTAACTGATTCCTCGAATAGATCTTTCAGTTGTCTGTTCGTAAGGTGTTCCTTTTTATCGCTCTTAACAGCTGATTTCTCAAGCCCAAGTAAGTTGATCACCACTTCCATGTCAGCCATTTTGTAAAGCTATTCTAATTACCAGGCAGCCTCGTTTATGATACAGAATTTGATATATCATTGTTGACAGCAAATATCTTCGTTGACAGCACTAGGGGGAACTAAAATATATTCTTTCAGGAAAAAGTGTAGCCCCAACTTGCTAGGGTAGCTCGCTGTAAGCTCCTTTTTCACATATCCCGGAAACATGGCGATCGCATGATCAATGACCGTGAGAAAAGCCAATTAAAACGAATTAATGTACCATTCTCGAGCCCTGCCTTATTTTTTTTCTTGGGAAGGTTTCCAAAGCTTATGGATATTGTCCGGAGGTAGACCCAACCAACATAACTTAATAATTAGGGTTAATCTCACAAAGGGGGGCTCGTCCTTTAATTGACTCTCCCTAAGCTTATATTTGTTTGGTATTCGTCATGGTCTCTTGTGACGTGCTTCTTCACGTTTTACTCGTAAACTTGTACCTATTATAATGGAAAATGTTCAATGTTGTAGAGTCCTTTGTCCCTAAGGATTTTTGTTTGGAATACTGGGGTAAGGTGTCACGTGTTTGTGTTTTCATAGCATTTCCATCAATGCTTCATATCAATTGGTACTGAGGTATTAATGGCCTCGACATAGCGTTGTATCGCCTTGCTTGGCGTAGCCTTTCTACTAGAGACCGGTTCGCGATTTACCTACCCAATCACACTCATTTTAGTTCTTTTCTTGAAAATTTGTTAATTTCGGTGTAACCCTAACTGTTTTAGTTTTCTCCAGCAACACGCTCATTTCTTATACCTTTGGTCATCTTGTATGCATTGATGTCTTCATGTTTTTAGGTAGGACTGGTGCATCGTCTTATAGTGGAGAAAAGGTACTTTCCATGTTAACCTCTTCCTTAATACCCCATAGAACAGGGGTGGGCAACCTTTTTGGAGAATGGGCCAGATCTTCCAAACATTCTCTTTAAGCGGACCAAAAGTAATAAAAAGACGAATACGATAGTTGTAACAAATGAAAGTGAAAAATAATGAAAATCTTTCATTTAGATTAATTTACAATACAATTACAAACCTTTCTTTTACATAGATAGTTTTCAACGAAAGATAAAACAATTGTGAATGCAACAAGGGAAACTAAAAAACCAACCAGAATTGAAAAGGATGTGACTTAAGGTTTGGAGAAATCATCTTTGCAAGGAACACAACGTTTTAACGTTTAACATCGGCCTTTTAGCTCAGACCATCCACTTAAATATACTTAAATACTAATTCATCCAGTTCAACCCCCACCCTAGCAACTGAGACATGATAAAATTGGGACAACCGTGATCCCTGCTTAACTGCCATGACTGAGTGCATCCAGTCAGATTCATTCTTGCAGCATTTATTAACTTTCGCCCAGTGCCTCAAAAATTTCTGTTTTCCTGTCTTTAAGCAGGATGAATTCATGACGATGGGTAGTGAGCCAATATTTTCATTATTTGATCAAGATTTAGATTATGCAAATAATCTTTTGGTGGTACAAAACTTAAAAATGGTTTTGAAAATGGCAAACATTTACGAAAGCTTTTCATCTGACGCTGTTCTCGTCGGAGATGAGTTTCAAAGCCATTTTAGATTATGTTTCATTCAATATTTGGCAACCGTCGGAAAATCATCCTTGCCAACCAAAAAATAATTATAATATGATATTTTTCATCTCGGAGGCCATAAAAATTCTCTTCCCGGACCGGATTCTGGACCGCGAGCTGTAGGTTGCCCACGCCTAGAACCTTTGTGTAAACCTCCTCCTTAAAGAGGTTTATGGTAGGTTGAGGTATTTGCATTGATGCATCAACGGCCCAATTCGCTCTCGATGATGTGGTAATGTAGCCTTACATCTGACTTCCTGATTTGCATTGTAACTTCTGTCCCGAGCTAACAGGCGTTCGTAAGATCTGTGTCCAATTCAAGCATGGTGTTTATAAACGGACTGCTTACAGAAAATTAAATTTTGTATTTGTCCATCATAATACAACATTTTTTTATATAAGCACCTTCTATAATAAACTCTAATATTCTAAAAAGTTTAGAAACTTTGGTACAATACCTCGTTTGGTTTAAAGCATTAAGGAACTTGATGTCGTGCCTCCGCATTTAAATGTGGTTTAATTTTCAAACGTGGTTTAACTTCTGTGTCGTTTACTTCTTGCCAGTAAAAGTGAAGTTTTTTATTTTTAAATTTCCGTACATGGAATTGAAAACCTTTTTTCTATAGTTTAGTTTTGGATTCTACATGTTGTGCCTTTCTATACCTGTTTTCCTAACGTTTATTTCTGAGCAATTTCAAATTAATGATGTTTATTTAAACCATTATGTATTTACTTTAAAACCAAGAAAATTTGCCTTGCACTTAATTGAAACTGGTGTTTAATGATAAATCCAAAATATAATAACATATAAAGGAAGTTAGACAGGCTCAAGGTTTTTCAAAAGTGTGATTTCAAATTCATAAATATATTTCTTGCTGGTTTTAAACTCCGTTTTTTGAATTACTAATTCTAAACAGGTCTGAATGTGAGTTGTCATTTTTCATATGCTAAGATGTCGGTTAAGAAGAATTCAGGAATACACTTAGGACCAATATTGAAATATTTAAGAATATCTTGGTTAAGATCAGGCAGTTTTTTCATAAAAAGAACCCTGGGCACCAGACTCACTATACAAAATAATATTATTTTTTTTATTCTCTATTTTATTTTATATATAGTGAGTCTGGTACCCAGGGTAAGTAAATTGAAACAAGGTAGGCTACAAAATCAATTTAAAAGTAAGAATTATATGCTAATCCGTTGAATAGGTGAACAATCTTCCATGACTTTAAAGTACTATAATTCTTCACGTACTATAATTCGACTACAAAAAGTTTCGTAAACAAACTTGAGGGCCGGTTAGAGAGTTGGCACTGTTTCAAATATATAACTACAAGGAAGTCAGATAAAGAATACATTCGAGTTTTTATCAAGATAATACAATTTTACATTCCTTAAACAGATTTCACTATATTAACTATTTCATATTTATCTAAAGTGGTTTGTTTTTGAAAATTCATAACAGGTAATCCATCACCAGAGAGTTTATTAAGGTTATGATAAAATGACTCCTTTTCTATTTGTACAGTCAGATTTCCTACACCATACTCTTTAACTATTGATGTGACCTGAAAAACAAAAATAAAGGACTTTTAAGAGCAGGAAATACAAACTTGGCCCATTCTGATTCTGCAATAGAATTAAATATTGATGTAGCAATAGGTACGTCTTACTGGCTTTCTCTCAAAAGTGGTGGAGAATAGAGTAAATTCTCGAACAAAAAGGAAAAACTTAATCTAAGGCTTGTAACTTTGAAATAACTACCTGTTAGCTTTTTAAAGACGGTGACAATATCTCTCTATTTTACTGGAATTTCAAGATCAGGTCCGAAATGGCAAGATAAAAATTGCAGAAATCTGCAGTTTCAAGAGCACGTTCGAAGACACTTGTGTTACGTCAAATTCGCATGATCTTTTGTTGTCCTAACATGAAGCAAGGCAAAAATTTTCGGGGAGGCTCGAAAGCTGCGTTAGCACAAAGTCAATCGAAGTGAAAAGCGAATTTGTGCTCAACAGATCACTTCAACATTTTTAGATGGCCACTGATTTCAAAATTTCTTATTTCTAGTTATTTTTCCTGACAACGTCTTGAATTCTCTAAAACTTAACTTTGAGCTTTATATCTTGGAACATAGAAAGCATTTGTACAATGATAAAAAAATTCCTAATTATGGTTAAAATTATGAATCTGAGTATATCCTTAAACATTGAGCGGGCATTCTGGCAATATCCAACAATTTTCCAACTTTATTTAAAAAACAACAGATCGACGTTGATTTACGGAACTTTTTGGTCCTTCTTGCACTGGTTCCCTAAATTTCCAAGCCACACAAATTCGAACCACAAAGAAATGGTTATCTTAATTACTAGTCAAATCTTTATCATAACAAAAATCAATTCGTATCTTGCAGCTATTTGTGCAACTGTGATTGATTCATTGATTGGCATGCAATGTAATAAATAATAACACTGATTTAAAACCGTATCTTGGTGCAACCAAATAGTCATCGAATAACCAGCGTAATGTAAACACTAATTATAAAGCCTTTACCTGCTGAATTACTCTTTGCTCGATTGCAGTTGGCGTCACCTGAAGACTGATTGTACCAACCACTAAATCGGCTGAGTGTTGCCAAAAATGCTGATCCTTATATGACAGCACATTTTCAATAGACAATATCTAAAGTGAGGAAAAGTTTTAAATTGCAAAAATAAATTATCTTGAGGCCTGATATTCATTATTTAAATCATTGCATTAGAAGTAGTTACAGACAGAATGGATTCCAACAAAAAAATTACAAAAAGTTGTTCAAGGTTCCATACAAACATTAATCGTGTAAAGCTCTGCATATACTGCATCGTGCAGATTATAACAGACCGGTAAAACTGTTTTCAAACTACTTTTAAAAATTGCTTTAAATGACCTTGATAAAATAAATCGTTCCAATGATTATTCTATGATAGACGAGTCTTAATACTTTTTCTTAGGGTGACATCACTGTTTTGAAGTAGTTTCCAGACACTTGTTGAGCCCAAGCTTAAATTATAAAAATTCTATTAATTAGGCTTGTTGTATGTGATACGTGCTAGCGTTCGCCCTCCATATAAATCCTGTTATTTCATAAATTTTTGCAACATTAGTTAACTTTTTGGATGTCTAATTCCTCTTGGATGTTCAAAATACTGAAAGAAAACATCAATCAATTTCTTCGAAGAAGGCTTGTAACAATACTGCATTGCATAATTTTTTAAGAAAGTCTAAACGAGCAAATACCTTTGCAAGTACTTCATGTAAGGTGTCTTCTACTTCCGATGGAGTACGCAGCAGCAACACGTGTGAACTTTGTTTAAGGAGCGGAATGACACTGAGAAATATTAACACGGCGATGAACAAGGAGCAGATTGGATCTGCAATGTACCAGTTGTATTGTTGGATGAAAAATGATGATACGATCACACCTACGCTTCCCAAAGTATCTGCGACAACGTGGAGATACACACCTGAAAAAGGCCGTAAAAGCGGTTGGGTTTGTAGAACAAAAACTTGTAGTAACATACCCATTGTCTGTGCCGTATTAGAATTGTATTTAGAGTGTCTGTTCAATCTCTGCAGCAAAAGGTCTGGGTACTTAACCCCCCCCCCCCAACTTTTGCAAAAATATGGTCCAAATAATTCCTCTAAAAAATTAACAAAATAGATTGGTGGAGGTCATTTTTTTAATTTGCCCAAGTAAAATACACTTGGTATAAAGCAATGAAAAGTGGAAAAAATGGCGGAGTCTCATTGGTCACGCCCATTAGCTGGCACCACCATTGCATAAACACATAGCATAAGATTTGCCGAGAAGGAAATGATGTGCAAAAGCAATAGGAATACTTAAAAAGATCTAGTTTAGCTTTAAATGGCACCTTAGGCACACCTTAGCACCATGGTAAATCCGGCACTGTCTTAAGACTATTTTTAGTTCTAATCAGTGTCTGAAGCAATGATTTATTTCCATCCGGATAAACAATATTCCATAAAAATTTTTAATGGAAAATCGGTATATTTGCGGGAAAGATTTTAATGTTGCAGCCCTGTTTGGGATACAAAGATGGGGTACCTTGCATGTTAGTTGTCCCTTTCGACTGCTTCTTAGGGCCTTCATGCGAATGACCGTGCCCACTATGACTGTGTCCGTGTGTCCCATGGTGGCTGTGTCCATGTCCACTGTTATGGTTGTGTCTCTCTTGGTGGCTGTGACCAAAATGAGCATCATGATCGCACTTTGCTCCACCATGAGAATGGGCATGGCTGAACGCAAAGATTCCAATCATATTCACGAGCAGACCAGCTACAGAAACGGCCTAAAATCACAAATATGACAACTTATTTGATACGCTTTCTAATGATCGCAGTGGGACTGAATTTTCGCATGATACAATTTTAAAATAAAAAACGACCTTTAGTTCTTTGGTCCTCATTAGCAAACTTTGTTTACTAATTGACAATAGAAATTGGCAAAAATTGAGTTTCTTTGTTGGATTGATATATTTAGCTGAGGCAGAAGCGGTGCTAAGAAATACAAATACGTTTTTTAGACTCAGCAGTTAGACTAGATACTTCTAGGGGCTTAACATGGGACCTGTGACAAACTGATTTGTAAAGTACAACATCTTATACCGTATCATTCTTAACCCTTGCTTAACTCTTAAAGAGGCCTTCATTGTAAACAATGAAAAATTTTATTGAATTTTCGTGTTTTCATGAAAGAACCACAAAAATATAACAAATTACAGCTTCTTTCTAAAGGACGTAGAGACTGTCTTCCTTCGAGGGATTCTTTAAATAGTACACTATTATACTTTAAAAGGATGCCAATCTATTTTCAGCCAAATTCTTAAGAGTTAAATTGAAATAATAGCCTCAATATGTAATAACAAAAACTTAATGACACTGACAGATGGCTATCAATTTACATAGAAGACATAAATAGAATATACTACATATATCATAAATTATTAATTGAAACGAGCAATTTGGTCGAGTAGGATAACAACAAGCTTCGTAAGAATCTGTGATGGTGGGGGAGCACAAACCATTAGCTTTTCTGTATTGACTGTGGGTGGATCAATAAGTCTTTGAAGTGCAGCCACAAACACGAAGAAAGCTATCACAACTAAGAATAAACCATTAACGAAACCAGAGAGGATCTCCACGCGACCATACCTAAAACAGAATAAATCTATATACTAGCACACACAAAGGTTTCTAAGATGCCAACGCCCAAGTTGTGGAAAACATTGCATTTCTTCAAAATTAATACAGATTTATTTGAATTGATCAGTTTAAACCCTCACTATTATTGCAGACATTGGAATTAGGGATCTTGATGATGTAATCTAGGAAAATGTCCCTTGCACCGCGATAAGTATGCAGTTGAAAGTGTCACATTCTGCCTTCCGATTTCAGGTAGCAAAAAATCAGGGCTGCAGAAAGTATCGGAACCTGGAAACTAGGTTCCCAAAAAATTTGCTACAGTTGGCAGAAAACTAATTAACACAAAAATTTTATACAAAATTAATTGTATTTTGAGTTATTACAACAAGTGATGTATTGTCAATTAGCTTACGTTGTAAATGCAAATCTAATTAAAGACTCTCAATTTTTGCAGAAAGTTTCGCACAAAGCTAGGAACAAAAAAGCAATAATGGATTCGCTTCATGAAAATTGGGCAGCTGATTGTATCGTTCTTTGGCACACGATCTGATCGTGTTCAATATTATGGATTTCTTGCCTGATTAGAATAGATTAGGTACAGGCCTTATTCATGCCAGCCTTCGTTGACTCCCAAATCGAAAACGGAAAGGAAATAACAAACCTTACCCAAATGAAAAGACCTTTGTTGCCTTCCATCTCGACATGAGGGAAGCAACAAGCCCTAAAACCAAAGCTGAACAGTCGAACAGCATATGAAATCCATCCGAGATCAAACCAAGACTATTTGTCCATACACCGTACACTAACTCAACTCCGGTGAACATCTGCATAAAAAAGACAGAAAATGCATCAAATAACAAACGTTACACTGACAACACCGTCACCAGTCCAAAAACAATCTGGTGGACAAAAATGAGCTGTTATCTCAGCCAACGGAAATTCTAGAACTTTGACCTACGTTGAACCTAGTTTACATCTAGTTTTATAAGATTTTCCGCTTGAACAGAATTTTTCGTATAGCTAGGCATTTTTGCAAAGGTAAACTGTCTTCACTTGTGTAAATTAACCAGAGTATCTATGAATAGTTCAAATGTTAAACGTTCAAATCTTAAGCTTAGATATCCGTGCAAAGCAAGATTAACAACCAACAGGCTCTTTACATATTTGCTTCTATTAAAAATATTAACATATAGCTATCTCCTAATATCTTTTTCATGCATGGTTCAGAACAAAGAAATTACACTGCCGACACTTAATAGTTGCACCATTTGTATTATGATGGGTAATTGAAAACTTTATCAAAAGACATTCAAACAGCAATGATTGACAATGGTAAGAGCACACGAAAACATCTGGAAACATAAAGAATATAAAGAAAGCATCAAGATCAGCACAACGCATAAAGCTATTAGCTTATATTTTATATAGAGTATTCACATTATCATTATATAAAGTATACCCTGATATTTCACCACCAAGTCAAACATGTATTAAAGTATCTTAGTAACACAACAAAAGCTTTTAAAGAGCAACCAAAATAATAAAAACAAACGAATTATTAAATATTTATACTCACCAGGTTTAAACATAGATAAAAGAATATATTTCTGGAATCTGGCGCTTCCAAAATTTGTCTTAAGAAATTTCTAGCAACAGAAAGAGGCGATCGTGGCAGAGTTCCACCAGGTCCCGTTAAACTATAAAGAGGCTGGCCTCCTTTAGAATAGCCGACAAACATCCCCTTTGACACTCCAGGCTTGACTGGCACTGGTCTAGTTAAGATTCGCGTTGCTGAAAAAGAAGGTACTTAAGTCACACTGGTTAAAATTGAAAGCCAAGCAAAAACATACGCTTTCTGGAAAATGGAATAGTTGGGATCGTTATTCATGAATGGACTTTAAAATTTTAAATTACATCTTCCAAAAAATTGCACGACAATTGAATTAGGGTTAAAACTTGGAGTTGCAACTAAGACCAATCTTGATCTATACACCAGAGTTGTACAGCACTGTCTATACGGCACTGTTTTAACAAGCTGGTAAAAAGGAAAATATATTCCTCTACTAAAAAGATAAATCAGTTCATATGCAGATTTGTGTAAAACCTTAATCTATTTCTATGAGAGAAAAAAATTAATTTTTGCGATAAAACATGGTTAGGATGATTTCCAAAGTAGACCTTAGATAAAACGGGACGTATTCTTTCAAAACCTCTAGACAATATGCTCTCAAAGCAGATTCTATTTCGAACATACCAGCAATGAAGCAGACAGTAGCCAAAACTGCCCCCGCGGCAATACCATGCTTGCGAATTTCATACGGCATAAGATCAGCGTATGGGACATGCTCCCAAAAGTATCCAATGACAAGAGCAGCTATGAAGGAGGATATCGAGCTAATTCGTGATGACACGTGCGACTCAAGCTTTGCTGAACAGATTGCTTCTATGTAAAAATCCACGACAAAGACAATGAACGCAACAGATACCAGTGGAAATAAATTTGGAATTCTAAATTGCTCGTCCTGAAATGGGAAAAAAAAGACAAAATTAAGTGCGCAGTTGATGCACATTGCAACCTACACTGGGTAAAAAATGAACCAAGCAAGAGATACCACTTTATAGGCAGGGTAAGCAGTTTATTTCCAGCAATGAGTAATAGATAAATGATTTAACTTTGAGCTTTGCATCAGGCAAAGTGCAGGATGTTCGCTGATATAGGTTAGGAATTAGATGACTTTGACTTTCATTGAAAGGTTGAGCTACAACGAATTAACGGTTTCATTACAAATGTTTGTTTTGACTTCGTTTTTACTGTATAAATCGAGTGAAAACCCAACACCTACACGCCTTATTTGCAATGAGCATAGAAGAAAGCGCTGTCTTTGTGTATAGGCAATACATTTACATGATTCACCAGATCGTCAATTCCGGAGTCTAGACAAAGATACTGAATGACTGCCTTTTTCCATTTAGCTTTATCGACACTTTCTGGCTCAAATATTTATCAAATATTTATAGGGAAATATTTACGCAGACTACAAAAATCCTAGAGACAAAACTGATGCTTGTCTAAATGAAAACAGACATTACCTTTAGAAAGTAGCTTGCGATTAACCAAGGAGCTAATAACAACGTTTCTGTTAGGACAAGCAAGCAATTCATACGCTTGCTCCCTAGAAAGCAAAGAAACCTAATTGAAAACTGCAATGCAATAAGCAATACTGCATGCGACAATTTAATTAAAGTCAACTGCATATTCATAATTTGCAATGTATTTTTACTTGTCTCAATTTCTTTCACATTTGAACTTTTTAAAAAAAACAGCAAAAGTTTACGCTTGCTTTTAAAGAAGATCTTAGGAGCAGTTTATATAATACAGAGCATGAATAAATGCCTCCAATGGTAACAGTCTTTCTCCTTATATTTTGATACGCAAAATTTTATAGATTTGCCCCTGCACTGCAAAATTTAGAAACGCCACCAAAAGCAGGACAGATTTTGTTCACTCTTTGTTGCTAAAAAGTGCATACTGGCAATATTTTGGTAAGTTGTCATATCCTTAGTAACAAACATTTTATGGCCATAGTCAAATTGATCTCGTCTGAAATTTAGGCATTTCAATCTTGGGTAAAGATTATGCATTATGAATTATCAGGCTTAAAAATTGAAGCAACCTCCTACTGAGACTGGCTTCACTTTGATTCTAAAACAAACAAATTTCAAATAAAAACATTTTTCTTACCTCCAATGTCAACTGATAACTTCTTAACATGACTATTATAAAAAACCTTGCAAATTGAAACCAGTAACAAAATAAATATACCACCCTACAAAGATAAAAGAGAGATTTGATTCAATAAACAAACTGACAGAGAAGGGGAAAATGTAGAACTACATTGACAGTTAAATTTTCTCAGCTTACTTCAATGCTGTACGCAGCATGATGGAAATGAGAAATCGAATAATAATGAAATAATTTAGGTAAACAATTAATAAAGACGTTTTTTTCGATATATTCTCTTTTTTAAATATTCTTTCAAATTAATGCATAATTTCTTGAACAATTTTCAAGAGATTACACCTATCAGCATCTCAACACTTACCATAAATCCTTGAATTGGCCTCCCTCGAATACGCGAATTGGTCCCCACCCTAGAACTACAAATTGTCAATAAGCCCCGCCCCTCGAATAAGCCCCCACTGCTACCGTAAATCCTCAAAATGGGTTTTCTCGATTTGTTGATTTGTGCCATCTGAAGTTGCCTTTGACATTTTATTGAATTACCGTAAAAATGCATACTTTTGGTAATAATTAATTAAATGTTCATAAAGAAATTGCTACTAAAATATACGAGGTCTTTTATTAATGTTTTCTTGATCTCAGTCTACCATAATTTCAGTCCCCTTCAAATAAGCCCCCCCCCTCTCAAATAACCCCCATCAAAAAATATCAAAACTAAATAAGCCCCCGGGGGCTAATTTTAGGATTTACTGTGTTTTGTTTCAACCAAGTACAGAGTGTTCACCAAAATTGAAAAGTGAGTAAACAATTACTAACCTTGTGGTCTGGTAGGCCTAGCCAGACAAAAAAATGATAAAGATGATGAAATGTGTCACTTTTATGTTCACCTTCAGCTAACATCAGTTAAGGAATTTGCTGATATTTCAGAATGGCAGAACACACATCTGTTGCAACACCCATTATTATATAAATTGGCATGATATTCCAAAAACTTTGTCAAAATACCAATCAGACAAACAATCGCAATTCAAAAAACATGTTATAAGGATAAAATAATGGTATGATACAACAAAGAGTAACAGAAGTACTTTGCCTGATATCAAGAAATATCAGAAAATATCAATTTACATTTCTAAACATAACAAAAGTGAAAATCTGCCTTCAAAATGCTCATATCCTGTGTCACTAGGAAAACCTTGTTTGGCATTAGACAAATCTTAAAATCCAAGCAAAAGCACTATTACTAGTTTAACTTAATTTGACTGGGACAGAGAATTCTTCCAATTCTGACAGCAAGTAGTTGCTAAATCATGAAAAGGCAATCAAATCATGATAGGTCACCTCAAAGATACTCAAACTCAACAAGCTGTACATTTTGAAAAGATACGGTGAGTGTCATGATCATGTCTTTCATCATGATCAAAGAACAATAAGAAAAGTAAACCAAGAAAAAACAAAGTGACTCCACGTATCTATGGAAAGAGAATAATTTGTCTTGGTTAATAAGGCCTTAAATATCAATTATTTTAAAAGAAAATAGCAAAGAACTTATTATCTTTTTTCTTCTAATACAATGCAATTCAGTGATGTATCCAAACAACAAATACTGCTTGATGTTCAGGTTAGGGCTGCACTAAAAGACATCGTTGTGGTGACAGGCATGACTTTAAGCATATGTTGAAGCATTTAAAAAATGTTTTATGTGATAAGCACAATGAGACAATTTTTTTATAAACTAATGTTAGTATTACTCAACTTTGACCAGACTATGCTAAAGGCAACTTCAGGAGATCACCAGTAATCAATATATATAGTATTTCAATCATTAATTTGGACTACATTCAAAAACATTGAATGAATAGAGTTGTAAATAAAAATGGCTACCTTTGACGCAAAACTACTTCCACCTTGGAAAAGAATCCCTACTGCTGCTAGCACAACTGCATCGCATTGCTGATAAAGTAGAATAGTTCTAAAACAGAATAATTATAGGCAAAACTTTAAAACTTTTTAAAAAACAAAAAGAATAAACAGGAAGGGTGTTTTTGATCTGAAATTGAAATAAAATGTACAAAAGCATGGCATGCAGGCCTTGTGAGGAGCAAAAAGCAGTTGACAAACTGAGCACTTGATTGGGCATCATCAATAACAAAATTTGGTTCTCAAAATTTTGTTTTTAGACAGCAAAAACACACTAGCTGTTTGATCAATAAAGCTCCTATAACTTTCTAGGCTCACGCAGAGGTGCTTGATCAACCTTGAGCGAATCTCCTTACAAGGCCTGATGGCATGGTAATGGATAACCATTGCAAAAATAAACATACCTTAAAGGGCCACAGATAGTGAGGGCATCTAGCCAAAGTAATGTAATGATCACATTACATATTGATGTGAATATAAGTGCCCGCCACTGGAAAAGAAAACAAGTATAGATATCAGGCGATACACTTTGGTGCGTACAAAATGATGGTTCTAAGTAGCAACCCTAATCTTTGCACATAATGCAATCATCAGGCAACTGTATTATACCAATGATAGCTAAATCAAACTGTTAGTGAAGAAATGTCTAATCAGACATATTTAAATCAAAAATTGAATAGTAAAAAGTTAATACTTCAACTACCTGTGTCCTAGATACCCTTTTTCCAGTTGTAAATGGTCTCTGAAGAACTATGGTAATACACGATGAACTACAAACAAATTGACAACCAAGTTAACAGCTGCTTAATTCAACCAATCATACGTACTATATAGATGTTAAACTTCTAAATGGTCTGCTCATAACTTTTATACTAATTTTGCTTACATGTTTTCTAATAGCTAATACAGAAAAAAAATTGAAACCAACAAGGAAAGATGTGCTTTAGCAACCAAAACTTGATGGGATTATTGAAATAAAACAAGGTGCATAATCGAAACCTGTTTTTGATAGAATATCATTATGCAGGAATATACTGCTGTTGGCCAGTACAAATAGTGAGTTTTTAGGTCATTCATATAGCAAGTTATGGAAAGTATCAATATAGCAAGTTAAGGAAAAACTATCCAATAAGCTCAAACATGCCATTCAACATTTGGGCTTTTCTTTTACAATATTCAAAACAAATAGATTTCATTTTATTGTTCTCAGATATGCAATGCTACTTTGTTACCATAAAAGGGTGGACCTATCACAAAGAAACAAAAAGAAATAAATAGGAAAAGAAGTATGCATGAGTCTTAGAGTCTCGACAGTCTCTTAAAACTAATAGTCTTGCAAGAAATGAATAACTTACATTGCTTTGAAAAAGAAAAGAGCTTGCAAAAGTGATGTATCTTTCAGCAATCCATAACAAAGGAAGATTCCAAATGCATTTAAAAATTTACCAGACATTAGCAGGTAAATATAAGATTGACCTCTACAAAAAATAACAAGAAAGCAAATGAAATATAAAGTCAATATTGCTTAATTTCTGATCAAACAAAAATCATCTAACATCTGCAGAAAGATAAACAGGAGTTTTTCAGGGGCAATGACTTGCCTGCTGTTTAAATACAAGAAAATACACAGCTTTACAAAATGTTCAACACAAAGAGCAGGTACTATAATTTCCAAAGATGTTCTGAAGATATCTACAATTCTGCTTATGAACATAAATTTAGGCTTTTAACAATCATTCATTCTTTTAGCATTTGTTTAATAATTAAAGGTAGACTGGAAAACACAAGGTTTATAAAAAGCCATTAGTTCCAGAATTAAATTTTGCTACATAATATCAACCATTTATAAATACTGCATTCATTTGTTTACTTGTTTGTGCTTCGTGGGTTGATTGCTGATAGACAACTTCTGTTAACAGTTCATCCCGGTAGCTGATTCAGGTAACTAAATAACTTTTTGAAGAAAAGCGAAAATATGAATAGTAACTCTACTTTGAATTTCTAGTGCAGAATTTAACGCTGAAACTGAAAGAAAAAATACCGGTTTTATCTGATTTTCTCCAAGAAGGAGGTCAGAGAGTTGGTCTATTTTCATTCTGTACTGCCTCTCCCCGCGGCGTAACAGCTGTGTTGTGTTCCTGTCATACCATTTTTATGCAGGCTGATACTGTGTTCATATTCTCCGCCACAGGTGCACATAAAAATTTTATTTTTCTTTGTTAAAATAAGCTTTATACCTAACGAACTCTTCGAAATAAACATTTCGCCGGGTTAAAGATTATATTCGTGATTTGGGCACAATTTGGCTGGTTAACATTTCAAGTCTGAGCATCATCACCAGCTCTCGATTTTAATAGAGTTAAAATTTTTCCATAATTACCCTGCATTTCTCTCGATTCTTCCAAGATCTGCTCGAGTGCGATGAAACATTGAATTGTCTTGAATAAGATCGATTTTTTGCGCCATCTTGTTTCGTTGTCATTTTTCTATTTTATGCTGAAGGAAATGATGAATTGGATGATGAATTGAGGGAAACTTTAAAGCGAGGCTATTATGAAAGAGTTGTTACCTTCTTATCACAGTATCACTCAAAATGGACACAGAACAGAAATTTGTTGCGGAGTCTTAACTATTGCCTAATGTTTAAAGTATATTTGATTAAACCCTGAATGAAATAATGGTTTTCAACAGCTTTTTTGGATTAAAAGAGTCCGAAGAACCTGCAGGTCGAGTGAATGTTATGGAAACGACCAGACTTGCAGGTGATGATGGCAAGCAGTCTGGTCAAGAATTCCAGCAAGGGAAAAATGTCTATGGTGGTAGAAGCCAGAGTGAGGCTGAAGTCAGAATTTTAAAGACTGTATCAAAGGGCTCGCTGCATGCGTCGGATGATGGTAATTGAAATTTGGTTGTTTCCTACGAAACAGAAATTCAGAACAAATGACTTCAAGAAGAAAATTGCTGTACATCTTTACCGGCTAATTTAATCTAAATGTTATAGTACAGCTCCTATAATGTGTACTAGTGGTTAGTAGGTTAGTCTTAATAATAGAACTAGCGATAATATTAGGAAATAAACTGGTCAGCACTGCCGGATTGGTAAGCGTTCATACACTAAAAATCCTAAGCCTAAGGCAGGAAGCTGATCCGCGAAGTGTGTTTCAAGTGGGTGTGTGAATTTCTCTGTGAATTGGAGGCTTTCCTCTTAAAGAACATTTTTGATCTCTTGAAACCTATCCGGATTCTTTATGTCCACCCTTTGATACTTGGTAGTTTCCAGACAGCAACTTTGCTCACTGTGCACAGAAGTTTGCATAACATCAAAGTCATATAGTACTTAATGAATAAAAAAGCTGTTATCTAAGTAATGCAAGAAAATAAAACCAAAATAAAAGCCATTATTTAGCTAGATCGATGACAATTATGAATCAATGATAAATTAATTTATCCAATGCACACAAAATTTCCAGTTCAGCTTAACTTTTTTTTCAATACAAGCATCAACTTTAGGATGGGCTACAGTGTATGGTAGTTCTTGGTGAGATGTTGCATATGCACAGATTTTTTCAAACACATTTTTCAAGTGTAAAAAAACATTTTTCATATGGCATCCAAATAGAAGGTTTTCATTACATTCTATAAAAAGTTTGGTGTGCATTTTCAAATTTTGGTATGCAGCACTATACTGACCTCTGGCTTGCATCTGCTATATTCTGCAGACTGGAATTCAGTTATTGCAATTGACAAACATACATCTAGTACAAGACCTATGAAATCAACTTAAAAATATGAAATGTCTGAAAATAGAATAGACAATGCAAAAATTAAAAACTATATTTATTGTAAGGATGCAATTAAGGTGCTATCCAGTTTTTATTACATCTCAGAGTGCAAGCTTTTTGTTTAGTGATGAAAAACATTGAGGTACTGAAAATGTGATAAAATTATTACATGTAAATTTGATCAATCAGATTTTGCAACATATTTTGCACTTTGAAATAGCTATAGTATGAGTAATTATATGAACAAAAGGTGATACATATAAATTGTATAACAAGATTGTTCCTTAATTGTTTGTGCCATGCAAATACAAAAACTTTTTAGTCTGGTAATTCTATATATGTCTTATTAAATATGTCTATTTCTGTGATTTGTTTACAGAAAATTGGTCAAGAATTGCAGGTTTCAGTATTGGTATTGGAAGGTATGCATGGTCTTGTATTTTATTGTATTATATTGTATTGTATTGTACTGTATTGTAATATATTGTATTTTATTTTATTTTATTTTATTTTATTTTGTTTTATTTTATTCTATTTCATTGTGTTGTATTGTATTGCTACCTAGTATCTAAAGGTATTTCTTAGGACACTGAGAAGCCATGCATATGAAAAAGTGTCCTGGACCTTGATCCACAAAGGGATCATCTTTGTCATTGTTCTGTCATCATGTGCTCTAAAAATGGTCAAACAAAAATCTCTACTATAACAAGGTGGCCTTTGGTGTTCCAAAGTTGAATCAAGATGGCACTAAATCTCAAAAGTATTGTCACACAGAATATCTTCAGTTTGAATGGTTGACAGTTTGTTAATGCAATCAAAATTATTTTGTTGTAGCCTTTATTTGCAAGAAGTTGTAACCTATCCATTGGTTGTTATAAGGCGACAATGTCAGGTAAAGTTTTTTGCTTTGTCTTATGTTTCCCTTTTTCAATAATGTTATTTATTAGTCTTTCCAGCATCAATAAACCTTGCAATTAAATTACATGCACAGTCAGAAAGAACAGCAAAAATTAATGATAGACAACACTTGCAAAAATATTTAAGGGTTTAAGACTAATAACATTTAATGCTTTTTATATTCTTGATCTGGCAAAAAGCCTTTGGTGCTAAAGTTTGAATGAAGCAATGACCATTAACAAAAAGATGTCCATTAACAAACAGATTGTAATTGCTATCCACTTTTCTGCCATGTGCAAAAAATCATCATTATCACTTTTGGACCCTGTCATTTTTGCCTCTTGGAAATGGAGCATTATCTTTCAATTTACTCCTAAAACCTTTTTTTAATCTTTAGCATATTTCAGTATTCCATGACCTTAAATTATATCAGGCCATCCTCGGAAAGGTGTGCGATTGCATGTGCACACCTTGGCACACATCTTGTTGTCCCAAGAAGTGTAGTTTATCACATGCCTTGTCAAGGCTATAAGTTATCACCTTTACAGGGAACATTCTGAGACCCTGTTTAAACAATAACATTTTCATTTCATGTCGTCTTTTGTTTCCCAATCTGACACAGAGTTTGTGCCTGTTTACATGTAACCATCTTCGTTTTCATTTTATCTTGGAATTAGGGCTCTATTTACACAAGAGCATTTTAGTGCACCAGAGTGCTATACCCTTGTGCAAAATTGCTCATAAATACTTTTTCATGCTAAGAAAATAGCACCTCATTGCAGCCCTTGATATGACAAGGAGTGTGATTAACTGCATGCCTGCAAATTTAATCCTTCTATGGCCTGTTATTTTGTGTTGATGTAATTTTCCTTGACATTCAGCAAATTTAAGTACCTTAAAATTTTTTGAAAGTTGCCTAAAAACTGCAAGTTACGGATTACAAGGCTTATTAAGCAATTATGAATAATGATTATTAAGCAATTATAGCTTTTTCAGATCTGAAGGTCAAGTTTATATATATCTAACTAAGGTATTTTCTGCTACAGGTCAATCATACTGCGCTGAACTACCACCTGACCCCTTTTACATTATTTAGACTGATGCTCAAAATACAGAAGAATCAGGTATAGATTAACAACCATTTATATATTTAATCTGCTTTTTTGCTAGTAGAGTATAACTACTTTTAATGGCATATATATTACCTAAAAGTATACATATCAATAATCAAAGCAACAATGTTTCTCCTGCCACCAAAGCCCTGAAGAGTGAACTCCCATTCACAATTCAGCTTTAACCAATAGACACAAGTTATCCGCTACACAGTATCATCAAACTTTATTTGGCTAGCTACTTAAAACAACTAAATTTATTAAATATCATCCAAGATGGATCCATATTTGCCTTTTTGATATTTCTATCAGCAGTATTATTTTTTTATTTGCACTTTTCTGTAGTTACAATATAATGCACTCATTTAGAGTATAGAAGCGCTGTAGCATTTTATATTCTATCAACAGTAGAAAGTAATTTTGAGAAATTTTCAGCATTGCCACCAATATTTATAGCTGGTAACTCACAGTACAAGATCAGCTTTCCTGATACATTAACCTATCTTGATTATTTTTTGTATTGTTTATTCATCATTTTTACCTAAAATTTATTACAAGGGGGACATGAAATTCAGAAAACTTACATTTCAACTTGTGTTGCATTTTGTGCTTAAAATTACCCATAGTTAAGTTACATACATATTGAGAACGAAACTGGAAAGTTGAAAATGGTTGCATAATTTATGATAATTTTTTTCAGGGAATTGGTGCTCTTTGGAAAGGATGGGGGACAACATGTGTTGTTCAGGGATTGGTTATTCTGACTGAAGTTGGCATTTCTGAAGTGGTCAGATTGCCAAGGTACATGACAATTCAATTTTCAATGCTAGTAAAGCTGTTTCCATTGGTGCAATGTACTGAAAAATTTTCTGATTGATAATTAACAAGGAATAAGCCATTAAACGACTCAGAAAACAACAAAAAAACCTTGGGAAAAACACCCCTGATACTGACTTTAGCATGTCAGGGCTAGAAATTCCAAGAAGAACTGTTTTGCATGTCATTTTATTGGGTGTGCTATTTTAAAACCATTCATTGAAATGTCAGATATTTATAAACCAGAGCTTTTATCAATCAATTTAATGACCAACATAGAACAATTCAATGACTGCTATAGATTTACAATCTTTTGATAACATTCCCCTGCTCCAGATGACATTTTAAACTATCTTTATTACAATGTGAAAGCAGTTTATCTGCTTTTAGCTAGTGTCACAAGATATAACACTTTCCTCATTGAATTTCTTGTGCAATATACATTATTTCATTTTTGTAGAGATTTATCCAAGGAGGAACACATCAGCTTGAAAAGCATTTTGGGGCATCAGATCTTGAAATGGTGAGGCATTTTTTGCACAGCATGCCTAGGTTTCTTTAAAATTGAAACTATCAGCTTTTTTTTTTGGATAAAATTTAAGTTATCAGTGGTTTTTTTATTGCCTTGATTTTTTTGTACATTGAACCTAGATTTATTTGTTGTTTCATCTTATTTTGACCAGTTACTTTCTCTTCTCTAAATCTGTTCTGTTGTAACACTGACTTTAAAAAAGGGCTATTATTTCTGTTATCTGTTTGCAGCCTTGGTATAATCATTACGCTTCCCTTTTACTCTGCCAGTCTGGTGGACTCTGTTCAGGTGTGTAAATATTAAAGCTCATGTACATATTTTTTTTCTAAAAGTTTCTAAACTGCTCATTAAAAATCATTGAATAATTTGCTGGTTGATTTTTCTTCATGATCTTCAGATACAATCATGTTTAATGCATTTGCCTGTACTCAACGTCTCACGATACCCATCCATTGCAAACCTCCATCTAGACCTGGTTCCCCTTGCATCTCTGAATTCAAGTCTTGCTTTATTCTTTATTATCGATCTGTTTTGCATTAAGAGTAAATTAACAGTACACTTATAGTACACAGTAAACTCGCAGTCAAAAAAAATATTTTCTTATTGTCAATGTAGTGGCGATTTGTAGCTATATTAGCAAATGTAGGCAATTGCCAAAAAATTTTGGTTCAGGTTGTAGTACAAAATTTTCAGTAAAGATGATAACACTTTCAAAAGTTTTTTTCTTTTTTCAGAGCTATCAACTGAGTTCTGCGAGGTCAATGTTTGATTTTCTGAAAGATGTGTTTTATCGCCTTGCTGGCTGGTACCAAGCCCGCGGACACGGTCGGCTATTACCAATGTATTTCCTTCTCGTTCCCACATTGCTTCACGGTATGGTTCATTACGTCATTAAAACCTCAATCGAAAAAGCCATAATTTTAAACTTATCTGCAAGTAAAAATACCAAAGTGAAAGAAGAAATCGCTGTTCAGTCTGGAAAGACATATTATTTGCAATTATTAGCTGGGTTCATTTCATCCGTAGTCACAGATCTATTGCTTTATCCGTTGGAAACAGTTGTTATCCGATTGCACGTGCAGGGTACAAGGACGATTATAGATGACACTGACACTGGTGACGGTGTCGTCCCTTTGTGTACGAATTACGATGGCTTAAATGACTGCGTAAAAACCATCTGCCGCGAAGAAGGAGCATCTGCGCTCTTCAAGGGTCTGGGCGCCCTGTTCCTCCAGCTCTTTCTTCAAGCTTGTGTACTTAAAATCACGAAGTCAATTTTCAAAAGACTTCCACAAAATGAAGAGAAGTCGTTGAAGGAAAACTAAGATCTATGCGAGCATAATTTGTACATAATCTAAATAGTGTAATGATGTAGCTTCATCGAGTTCATAGTCAAGAGTGCAACAGGTCTCTTGTGGATTAGCCAAAAGTAGACTTAGCAACCATGGTGATAGGATATCAAAACAGATTGTAAGGTAACTACAGATTGGAAGAAAAATCTTTAAATTGCCATTTATGTTACCCCCGTTTTAAAGTGGAGTTGATTTTTCCGCTCTTTGTAAATTCAAAAAGAATAGACTGATAAAAATAAGCACAATATTTCTTGTTGATAACAGCGATGATGTCTTGGTCATATGTTGATAGATCTTTACTTTTCGCTACGTGGATAATTAATTGTGCCGTATTTAGCCGCATTTGTTGGCCATGCAGACATTGATACTTATTCATCCCCGCCAGGCTGTGTGTATCTAGCAAGTGTGTATTAAGAAAGGCTATAACTTACCTGAGGTATCCCCCGCTTGCAACTTTGTTACTGGAGAAGCCTAGCTGATTTGTGTCGATTTACATGTAAAGTTTGTAGATGACTGTTGGTTATTACACGTTTCTCTACCGTAAAAGATCATATAAATCTGGCGGTTGGTAGTTTGTCATTAGCCAGGGACTGTTCTGCCGACTTTACACATTTGTCCCTGGTCCCATTGTTTAGAGGCATTTAGCAGAGAGAAGTACAGACTATGCTCATAACTACCGACCAGGTACCAAATTTTTCGTCTTGTTGGAAAAGGCATTAGCCATGTTATCACCTTGCTTGGGGGTGCTATCCTCAGATGTGGCAAGTGCTTGTCTCAAACCTACAACAATTGGATCGTGAATCATGCACCTGAACCACCCCCACCCACCACGCCTTAACCAAAATCAATTGCAATCAGTCAAAATGGTCATCATCATTATCATCATCATCATCAATCATCATCATCATCATCATCATCATCATCGTCGTCATCAATATCCAAAGTACAGAGAATCGAAGGATCACGATTAGTCACGTGCCATCAAATTATCTTGTTTACTTGCCGTAAACCGTTGATAGATATAGAAGTGCTTGATCAAGCGTTTCGTGGCACACTTGATTTCCTAAGTATCACTGTGTTTTTACTGTGGAGCAGGAGGACTCATCTCGGTAGAGATTTTCTCTGCACTGTTGTATTGTTAAAACCTGTCCAATCTGCTGAGTGAGAGGACAGCAGATGGATTTAGAAACATCGTACTGCTCAGCCACTCATGTCCAGTCATCATCACAGCAAAACCTATATTTTGAAACAGACTATATTCTTTAGATGAATGGCATTGAGTGAAATTACCAGGCATCGGTCAAGGTTTGCAAAACTGAATGAACTCGAGGCGTATCCCAAAAAAGGATTAAGAAGACGATTAGGAATAGTTAGAAAAAGCCCCTAAGTAAGACTCTAAAATTCAACGATCAAGGTACAACCATAAGCTTTTCAAACAAAATTGTTCAGCGATCAGAGAAATTAAAGCAAGATTTTCATTGAAATATGCTTAATAGTCAGCATATTCTTTAATAAAGTTCTGCCTTTTATGTTGGTAGAGTAAAGTCATGCGAAATTGACGCCTCGTTTTCGATAGTGTTCTTTTTGGATAAAGAGGCAATTAGCAGTAGTTCGACACCCAAGGGATAGCTTGCATCTATCGCCCCAAATGTCATAATTTTCAGCTATCAATTCATGGACCTCCTGGAAATGTTTCTGTAAGAAAAAGCTTTTTTAGTTGGCGTTGTGAAGGAAGAACCTAGTTGAAAGAAGTCATCAACTTCTTAATTATGCAAAGGATGAAAAGTAATGCGGAATAAAATTTGCGCAAGGAGTTTAGAGCGTGTAGTCAACTGCTATTGACGGCGTACCATTATCATCAATCATTCAGTCATTATATCATATATATCAAAATCAGCATCATTTTCATTCAACAGTTATTATCGCTAACATTAATGTTAGCTAATGGTAAGTTATGCTAAGATAACTAAATAATTCATAATTTATTGCATCTTTGTAACCATTTTCAGAATCAAATAACATCTGACTCTTTCCATTCACAAAGCCAAAAAGCTCGAAATTCACAATGCACAAAGTTTTTAATCTGGCAATTCAGCTGATATAGTTAGCCACTACAGTAATTTTTTAGTAGTATCGATGTTTTTAAAGGCATTTGGCAGATACTGAAGTGTCTTAAGCCATCTTTCAATCAATAATTGGACAATGAGTTTTATACCACTCATTCGCTTTTTGATTGGCTAATATTGTTGACAGATAGCTTAAAACATTTAAGTATCTATACATTGCCTTTTAAGGAAATGGTTATCTCGATACTCCCTGCATGTAATGAGAAACACTTTGCAAGGCTAGTAGCTACTTTTCCTCGGTCAATACCCTGTTTTAATAAATACAATCTTGTTGCTTCATGTATACAGTCATGAATTTATTTATGTTCATGTTTAGATTCATTATATTGGATGCAAGTGCTTCACCGTTAAAGCCCTTTAATAAACTAGGACTTCGTGAGTTAATACTCGATGTCTTGGTGCATGGATGTACCGCAAATCCCAGCATAGGTGTGTCTGAATGCAAAGTTTTTTATTAAGACTCGCTATGCACTTGAGATCTATCTTTGGATAACAGTCGTTGATTTGAACAAATGCTTTACCATCCAACCTCCATTCAGCCTGCCTTGTACGATATTTCATTCCGAGGCTTGATGCTTGGGCCTGGTGAGACATCGTAGGCAAATGCATGGATGCCAGTGACGCTGAAGTTTCATTGATTGGATTTGTTTTTCATATATACTTCCGGGGCATCGTTGTACGAACAGCTAAGATCTGTGCCTGGACTTTACTGCAAATTAGGTGCTCGTAAAACTGTTGCTTGTCGACATGTGCATACTGCACAATGGGCTTGCAGTATGCACTGTCCTTTTGCAATTTTCAAATGGTGTTTATCGTCCCATCATCTTCTAGCCGGCATCCACATGGTTTTGCTGCTGGCACACATATGGTTTCACTTTTGGCTGTTATTAATGGGAGACTGCGACTAGATGTGGATATCCCTAATGGGTTTTCGTGGATCGCACTGGTGCGAATAGTCAAGGCCATCTCCTGACAATGCCTACAGTTGCACTGTTGCTCAACCATGCCCGGTTGCTTACTAAGGCCGGGAAATACCAGTCCACCGTACTGGCGTACCGAGTAAGGATCTTTACTGCGTTTGTAAGTGTCCAGAAAATACGGCGACTGTTTCGGACTTGGATAGTCTTGTAGCTCGTAGTCATATGGGTAACCTCTATCCTGTCTTCTCCACTTTGCCCGTCTGTTTTGGAACCAAACCTATTGATAACAAATTAAATCATTATGTTAATTGCTAGGTCAAAAGTTAGCGAATGGTTGTCAATTTAAAGGCTAGCTAATGAATTAATAGATATGCTAGTCAAGTTTAATCTTAGTATGTTACAGCTGCTGAGAAAAAAGGAATCAAGTGGTAAAGAAATAACAGTTATGTAAAGGGTGTGAGTTGGACCATTATTTTTGAGAATTAACGCGCGAAGATTTACTTAGATAGACAAAACTGCCAACTTGAGCCATTGAGGTTTAGGCAAGGTAGATAAAATATCAGAGAATGACTATATTGAAGGGCATGATAATGTCGAGAAGGCCCAAGTTGGTGGCCTTGAGTGTCTTCAGGTTCTATGGCAACCCTTATTTGTATTTCAGCATTTGAAGTAAATTACCTGAATTGAAGATGAACCATTTATCCATATCTCATCCCCTAATATTCTGTAGCCCTGCGGTTATATATTTAGATAGAGGCGCGTTTCTGTGTGTAAAGACAAATGAAACAAAATTGAATACTGTCTAGTCGGATCCTCAAATAGGGCAAGGAAATTGTTGGATTTAGCAAATGTGCGACTTTTCCCAGGTACGATTTAAGGGAAGCATTTTGACGTTAATAAGGAAGGGATCCAATTAGATTTATCCAGGGCACGATTTAGGCGAAGCATTTTCACTTGATAAATGTAAGAAAATCCAATGGAAATCGAAAATCAGTCCGACTTGTTAGTGAAAGTCCGACTTATCCAGTGTACGATTTGGGCAAAGCATTTTCATGTCAATAAGGAAGGAAAATCCCATGGGAATCGAAAATCTGTCTGTCTTATTTGTGAAAGTCTGAGTTGTCCGGGGTTCGACTTAACGGTATTCGACTGCAGTTGTTACGAAACACAAGACTTTATAAAGCTCTCCATCAATCAAAGATTTTGTCAAGATGACTTAATGGTAACCGCATTTCAGCGATTTCAAAATGAGCACGTTTACCTGACAAAAATTAGATTCTGCTCTGAATTCTCGTTGAAAACACTCGAAATTAGTTAATATAATCCATTGAAACCATAAGTGCAGTTGTTTTAGACACCTTAATGGCATCAATTATAAACGCCAGTTGCTAATTGCATCACGAATTGTAACACGGTAACCAATTTTTGTCCAATTGATACATTTTTAAAGAGGTACGTCTTCCATTCTAAGCAAAATGAGGCAATATTTGCAATTTAGAAAATTGAACTGTGAGATTTGTGGCGATGGCAGATTAACAAGCCTTGAATAGCTGCATATTAAAGTTACATTAACTCAAGTTAAACAACTTTGAAGAGCAATTGGATTTCAAACCCATCTGGTGTGTGAATACCAGAACTGAGCCTGCGGTGTCGAATGTAACCATTTTATTGCAAACGCGATTGCCGCATACCGGGTCAACTGATTTCAGACAAATCGAAATTAATGTTTTTAACTCGACTAGAAAAAGGTTGTTTCTGTGTTTGGCAGATATCGGATGAGATGTAAATATAAAGTGGTTGTCTGGGTTGGCATAGTAGACAGAAAAATGTATTTATAAGTGTCATTATAGGAGGTTTCTTATATTAGTTGTGACACAAAAAGTTGTCACATTGGTTTGTTTAAAAATTGCTGTAGTGAATTTGGGGGAAGAACTGGAGTTCCGAGGTTTCTTTTAAAATTGAAATTTAAGCTCACTGGAGGATCGATCCACCGGCGATGGTGTCTTTAAGTATAGTGTTCTTAAGTGATTACGTCACAAAATCTATTTTATAATGCAGCTTCAGACACTGTCAAACCGATCTCATCTCCAATTAAATTTTCTCAATGCTTTTCAAAAAATGGTGCAAAATTTTCATACCTAACATGAATTGAAGAGGAATGCCTGCAATAATGTTAAAATATATTTTAAAATGGTTGTAAATGAACCGAAACGTTTTCACGCCATGCCAGCTTTCAATTTGCTTGCTGGATGACAGATCTTGGTGGAGCTATCTTTTTGTGACTTTAACCGGCGAATTCGTCCGTTAGATTTTGTTTATCAAGAACTATTTGCTACAATGCCTGCCAAAAGTACTTACAACACCCAGCAATTTGCGTTGCATTTGATATCTTTCATTCCTTTCCCGAAAAATATTACTACCTCCGCCCCCTTCCCCCTAAGGCAATGTTGATAATTTATGGCTTTTGGTTATGCGTTAAAATTTTTTTTAGATGCTGCAGATTACATTTCAAATGTGCCGAAATTTACAGCCATGCGAGAAAATGAGCACTTAAAAGAAGTGGAAACTAATTAAACTTTGTAAGTTGTATCTGGGCGCTTGTTCGAATGGGCGCTTGTTCGAATGGGCGAGGGATGCTTATTCGAATCATTACGGCATACATTTTTTTTGAAATGAGATTTACTTTGTATGAAGTAATTCGATTTGGGGTGTAGGGGATGGGGCATCTCGGCCTAGACTCCATAATATCATTGTAATGATAAAGAAGTATATCTAAGAATGACTGGTACACGTTAAAGTGCGAAAAACATCGACAGAATGATCGAAACTGTTGATACCTACCTGAACTCGTACCTCTGGTAGGCAGATTCTAGCAGCCAGACTTTCTCTTGTGTAAACATCAGGGTAATGCGTCATTTCGAAGGCGCGCTCGAGCTCGTGTAGCTGAAATGTGGTAAAAGTCGTTCGGTTTCGACGAATCTTTGAACTTTGCGATTTACGATTTTCTGCCATGTTGGATGATTTTGGTGGTGGTGTTGAGGAGGTCGAATCTATGATTGTGAAAATATTAGAAACTAAGTCGAGCTTTCTGAAGCAAGGAGTTACTTACAATTTATCTTGGAAGAAAGAAGCATTGATCCTCAAGAAAATGGCCGAAATTCATCCTGACAATCCCTGCCAAAAGTCTTGGAGCACTGACATCAATTTCCAAGTTAAAAAAAAATCATCCCTCTCTCCCCCACGGAACAATGTTGGTTTCTATGAAACGGGTTAGGATTTCAGGAAGCACTTTCTTATGCGCTTTTCACGATATTTCTCTAAATTAACAACATTGTTCTAGGGGGAAGGGGGCAGAGTAGTAATTTTTTTTCGGAAAAGGAATGTAAGATATAAAGTGCAACACAAATTGCTGGGTGTTCCAAGTACTTTTGGCAGGCATTGTAGCTCTGATAGGGAGAGCTGAGGCAATAAGCGACCTTTTCCAGAATATATTTTCAGCATACGCATTTTAAAGTTATCTCAAACCCTCTTCAATCCATCTTAACCCTGCTTGCATACTTTGTATCGAAGTTTCTACTAGAAACTTAAAGAATTAATCTATTTTCATTTTCCTGTTAAATTTTCTTATCCACTTCATGCTTTCTTTCCAGCCATATGCTCTGGATCTGATAGAGGCTGCAAATTATTTTATGCTTTTTTTCTTCCTGCTGAATATCTTATTATATTTAAAAGTGGCATCATTTTTTCTACGATAATGGCTCTTCAAAGCGTTAAACACACTTTACTCACGAAAATACTATGTGTGATGGGCACCTTTGTTGCGTTTTTGCAATGTTGTGATATAATTTTAGACATTTAAGATACGAAATGGGTAATTTTAGAATAAAGACCCTTGAGAGGACTGAAAAATATCATTAACTATGCAAGTTTTATATGATATTGCATCAACTTTTGCAAAAGGCACCAGTCGTTTACTTATTCACTGTAACAAAAGTATTGTCAAGGATGCAAGAGAGCGTGTCCTACCGCCTCAAATGTGACGTTTGTATCGTACATCATTATAGATATCGCTGCTCGTTTGATGTGACATTTTACATAAGCCTTGAGAACATCTCCGTGTATCCACACGCCCTCAACGTAAAAAAAAAAGTTTCATGACACAACGTTTCACGAAAGGCCTAATGCATCTGTGCCTACGCCTACTCGTGCATGCTAATCATCTGACATGAGGCTATTAAAATTATTCATGAAGATTTCCTTTGCTTTTTTAATTAAAAAACGTTAATCTGTGAGTTGGCTTTATTGTACCTTTGTTCTTTATATTGTAATATAATGTGACAGTGTATCGAAGCAGGGTCCTAAACATAGGCTATTAATTTAGTTGTATTTACAGGCTTCAGTTGTTTACCTGACTGCCAATGACATAGCCTTGGCATTTGAGCCACTTGCAATGCAAGCTGAGTCTGTTTACAAAGTTAGTTTACGTTGGCCAGCAATTTCAGATGAAACATTTTATATTACTGTGCCATATTAGTTCGAAGACTTCTTGGATCATTGGCTAAGGATGGTCTTTAGAATTCATCGTCACAACTTAACTGCAATACACCTGACTGTTGCTGCCACTTTTAACATACCAAAGTAGGTTTTCAAGATACACATCATAAGCCTCTCTAGCATTCACAACTGAAGATTTTCTCCTAATCTTTAATCTAGGCTTTTTTGATTTCTCCGCTAATAACCAAAATTTCTGCTATTTTTCGAGCCTTTGTTAAGTTTTTTTGAACATTTCTAGCAGCTGTTTTAAACTATTTTCATAATATCAGATGTAATGAATTATTACGGAGGCTGAAGATATACAAAGACAAGGCAATAGCGCAAACATAGTTTTATCTTAGACACAAACTTTGTTCACTTTCTTTTCCTTATATTAAAAGTCGCTATATTGTGTTGTTATTGTTTTCAGAAAAGGGAAAGAGATAGTAAGGAATAATATGCTGAAAACGAAAAAGGAAACCAAAGGCAAATAGGCTTAAAAAGAGAACAGTTTAGCTACTTGGAGAAAATTTTCAACTCGGACGCGTGTTGGTATAAATGTACCACTGCCAAAGCAGTTAGCCAATTAATACAGGGCCTCCGACGACGGGGTGGGAGGCAGGGGACCATTTTTTTGCAAAACAATATGACTCTTTTAAAAACCTTTTGTTATGGTTGTTATATTTTCTCTCCCCCCCCCCTCCCCCCACTTTCCAACCTGCGTCGGAGCCCATGTAATAGTCCTCCTCAGAATACAATTTTTTAAAGGCTTCGATGTGAACTCATGACGTCAAAACTGCAGGGTAATGTGAATATACTTATAACAGACACATTTTGACCACTATCCAGTTTTTCTTATTTCAGGTTCAAATGATTGTATTCTCAAAAAGAGCTCATGCTGCCAAGGCTTCCATTTTTGGCATGTTGCCTGTCGTTTTACTGTTACTACACTCTGTTTTGAACATTTTGATTAAAAAAATACATCAGATATTTGAAGTTTCATATCTGCATATGTACTGAATTATTATTCATCTTTGAACGACGTTGATATACGTTAAAAAATATAAGAAGAAAAAACAGAATATAAGAATACGAAATACTTTTAACATTAATACGAAATAATTTCCACAAGAAAGCAAAATGGCATGAAAAAATGTAATAGGCTGTTCAAAATATCCGTACTCTATAAGAAGAAACATCGATATCAATTATCAATTATTGATATGTCTTGCTTTTCTGTTTTCATTCGAAATGAAGAAATTTTTGTCCATAGCTGAAGTTTCAAATATTTTGAGGCAAAATTAAAGACATTTAAAATGGTTTGAGGCAACATCAGGACCACAGATCATAGGTGAAGACATGTTGGCCTTGCAAAAGGCAGAAAGTAAACCAATTTTTAACAAATTTCGAATGCTTAAATATGTGAGAACCTTACACACACTTCTCGGCAGCTATCTAGCTATTAACAACATCATATAGAAAAATCTTCTTAGGTACCTTCTCCATCACATACACATCCATCTTGGTAACAGGTTTTTGTAACTTAGTAACAAATTGTTAACGGTTTGGACTAACACACAATGTTACACTTTATCAAACAGTAGACCCTCTTGTACAATAACAAAGTCGCAAAACGTGAATATATGAAGCACAAATTACCATTATCATCTTGTAAATCAGCTGATTTCTCTTTTTCTGGGACTCTGGTGGATTCGTCAGCCTCCTTCAAGCCAAGTATGGCCCGTATGGAGTAGTTAGTAGACGACACTTGCGAGACTGTCTTCTCCGTTTCTGTCATATTGGTCACAATGTTGCCTGTAAAACAGTCAGATTTGACTACACATTGAGACCGATGAAAGATAATGTCAATTTATGACTGCGTTTAAGCTAAATAGATTCCATAGCAATCCCATAATTCCATGCTAGCAAATCGTAGAATCCGTTGCCAGCTGTACGGGAGCAATCGAAATTCTTTAAGTAGGGTCGATAAAGCGACATCGGCTAGTACGAAAGAGTTCAGAGCCGCATAAATCCGCATACGTATATAAATTTAAATGTAAAGTGGTACAAATAATATATTGATTGCATACAAAAACGTACCTTCGACACAGACAACCACCATTTGTATGTCTTCTATGGTTCTTGTACACGTAAGGCAGTAAGACTGTACAGGAACAAAGGAACACAGGTGAAAGTGCGACTAAAGGTCAGAAGTATGATTATTTACTTAATGTTATTAAACCTACAGGTGCTCCGGGTTTTCAACAGTTATTGTTAACTTAGATATTGTTTAGAAATTCCTTTGAAATAACGTGGAACTGAGGGCTTTAGAAATTGTCTGCAGCTTTGTCGGGCGACAATCTTAGCTTTTTCACCCTAATGATCTAAATAGCCTGTGTTTTGACTTTCTTTATAATTTCGCAATTGCATTAAATCATAGATGATTACTTAACTTCTTAAACAGGCTTTGACACTATACTCTCTTCTTTGATTAATGGTTAGTATAAATTGATCTGAAATGAACAAGTTATGATGTCATCAACATATAGAAGTTGCTTCCTTTGGATTTCTGAGTGAAAGACTACTTGCCTTTAGTTTTTCACTCACGTTTTTACTTGCAGTCGAAAAATAAAAGAAAACGGTGCAGGTGGCTATCATATTTCTTAAATGTATGGTTTTGCAGCGCTAAATGACTTGTAAATATGGCGTCATGACGTCAGATAGTTGTTCAAAAACCTGCGATGAATGCATTTGAAAGTAGATTTGCATCTAGTTATCATGTTTTCCTGCCTTGTTAGAATTTCTAGACACTGCTGTCGTTGCTAGACAAACCCCATTTTTCATATCGCTTTTTCGAGATCTAATGTTTCATCAGAAAAATTAAAGTGAAAGATGATTGTGAGGGAACTCTATAAATTTTTTCCAAGGGTGCTCACGCCTATAAAGTAGAGTGGGGGATCCATCCAGCAAAATCACTTTGCAGCATTCTCTACATCATTAAGCTTAGTTCATTGGTTTCTAATGAGAAGGATAGGATGATTATGGAATGTGCATGTATGGAATATGTTTGTAATATCAACAATCCACCGTGCTCTTACTTTATCTTTGAGCAAAATTGATTCCAGAAACAAAAAATATGCAATTACTAAATTTTTTTTTCATTTTTTAGAATTCACTAGCAAAAAGAAATTAGTCCAATTGCCAATGTTTTACACGTATATGACTGTCGGATACTTTCTAATCTTATTTGTATCTTGCAGGGGTAGGGATATGCCTAAGTTTTTCAACTGAATTAAATTTTTGTCTGAATGATGTATGTACCATGAAGAGCGACTATAGATAATGGTTGTAGATAGGCACTGTCCAAACAGCCACAAAAAAACACTCTACTGTCATCTTGTGTGATGTAAGCTGCGTAACACTCAACTTTCATCGAATTAGGAAATGAATTACTTAACGGTTAAAATGATCAATTTTTTAATAATTAGCAACTGAAACCCCTCATCAGATAGGCGCCAGAAGGCTAGGTTTATGTTTAGGGCGAATACGGTTAAATACGATGTGGCGACAAACGAGATCATGGCTTTTATAAAAGGGCTTTTGGATTCCTTAGAGTAGATTGAAAGGCAAATGAACATCTTATTAGAGAGTAGCGACTTAGCTGGTTAATTTCAAATCCAAATTCCATCCAGTTCAACTCTTTATTATAATTCGCCTAAATAGTGCCAAGAAGTTTACTGTCATAAAAACATTATCTAATGTACCGCGCATGCATGTGTCCCACCTTATTCTTATTCATAGCTATTTAGTTGTAATTGCTATTGTAGGCTTTGATTTAGAGGTCCTATTTAGAGCTCGGCCATAAAGGCATAACAGGCAAATATATGATTTAATATCTTTTATATTGTTCTAGATAAACATCCATCAAACAGCCAGTTTCAAAAAGTAACCGTGTAGAAAATTCTGGCAGCATTGTAGGACAACATGGAAAGACGTCGATGTTGCTGGAATAGTTCCCAGTATCGGCCGAACAATTCATAAAAATTTTGTCGTGTGAACATTTCTCGGCACCATTTGTTACCTAGCTGCATGTTTGCCAGTTTGGCATCACGACAGGCAAAATATTCAACCTATTCGCAGAAAGAAGAAAATAATATGTACACTGTTATAAGGCACAAAGACGCAAAATGTCTTGTTTGGTGAAAATGGCCGCGCCATGCCGCGATCGAGGAAACTCTCTTCAATCTTCTGAAACTATTAATAGCAGTGACGAAGGAAGTAGATGTGTGCACAATCAAGGCACCCATGAGCAGGTGACATTGTGAACTCAACTATTATTGGGTATCTGTTCTAACAAAACCAGTTTTATAATCGTTGTATATTGTAGATCTTTTGCCTCCAATCGGAAATTATTGCAGAATTGCAGCAAAGTGGAAAAAGAATAGCGACCTCGAGAGACCAGCAGCTTTCACTAATGTATCAAGATTGAAAAGGGACAGGGGAAGCATCACCCATTGCAAAACACTAGATTTTTCCAGTAAGTAACGTGTCAGTTGACTGTAACATATAACATAAATCAAAGGACAACTCTTATCGATCAAGAGGCATTTTTCAAGAATTGGGATGGCGTTCCTCTTTGCAAGTAACTTTTGTCCATCTGTGCGTTAGAAACTGAGATTTTGACACACAAATGATAAAACGTCGACTTACAAATGAAGATTGTGATAAATACGCGATTTAAATTTTATCAGATATCAGATATTTTTAGGATTCAGCAATGCTACCCATATCTTCACAAACCATGCCATTGTCAAAAGTAAAGCCTACACGTTTCTTTTCTGATTTACAAACTATACTTCTGACTGACAATGAAGAAATATCGAAGATTTTTGGATCTTTTCAAATATTTGATTCAGTGTCTATCGAAGGAATTGCAACTTATACCGAACATTGTGACATTAAAGCTATGTTACTAGCATCATTTTTCATACGTCAGCTGATAAGCCAAGATTAATAGCCACTGTGTAATAGGGAAGAACTAGGTTTCAAGTTTCATCACTATTAGAGCAGTTTCAAAGCTAAATATGAAGATCATGCACTCATAACGCGAACACAATAGCATTGGCTTGAGAAGTGTTGATTTGGAGTTTAAATGTAGATTAGGATGGTTGTATCTACGATTTTGTATTGTCTATTTTCAAAGGTCGTTATTTGGATTCTATTTCGGGTTCCTGAATTTCCATAGCTCTGAAGAATGTTTTGCCCTCTGCTTCTCATCAATTCTCTGCCAGTTGCGATTCAATATAATTCGATAAGGAACATAGAGCTTCAAACACAAAGAAGGTGCTCAGTACTACTAAAGATGAATTGCATCAATTTACGGTGAGAGCTAACCAATAAAGATGCTGCTAGGTAGCTGCTTATTGTGTTTAAAACTAGTGGGAACTTCGATCAGCCTTACAACGTGTATACACCCACGTGAACTCACGTAAGGGACAAAGCGCAACTAGAGGCACCCAACCCTTTTCTTTTCGCTATTGCTTCATTGAAAATGCTGCTACAACTACCTTTTGGTATTTTCCTCGCCGTTCACTTCATTGACAAGATGATATCTGTAGACAAAAAACTCGTTTTCTCACTTCGACTAAAATATTTTCAAAGCTACTATCTGTGAGAAAAAGGAGCCAATCAAATGTACCATTCTTCCTCTCACGTTACTTTCGATTTGCACCTTGATATAAAGTTAGATTGAGCTTTGGTTCTTATCCAATGATTTATACTCTGTGTGAGGAATATCGAACAAAAAGTATACTCGAGCACCAAGCATGGTGTTTCTTTCTATTTTGCGCCATTGTGAAACGCCTATTGGTACTTCTGAGCATGTACATTTCCATCGCAATTGCCATACCCCATATACCAACAACCAGCATTTCCAGATCGTTGATTATCAATTACCTCTAAGTATTGATGATCAGGCATCTTACTTTGAAGTATATTGTCACCTAAGCTGGCTTTTTCCAAACTGATTCTTCGCAAAGCTTAGAATTTACAAAATCCAGCATCCGCCACCACATGCTTTCCTTCCTACTTCTACAAAGGCAATCTAAGCCGGTCCATACCTAGTGTTATGTAAACATATCTTAATTGGAATCGGATAATCCACCCTGTAGTATGCAAAGGCAATAGCCAGGATTCCTAGAAGGACTTGAATGCTTTATACGGCCAGTCTTAGTGTTTTAATAGCTTATCGCATCAAAATGAAATTAATCGCAGCGTCTTAGTCTGCAACAGAATCTTAAATTTCTTAGATTTTCATTAATCTTTGAAGCAACAAAACGCAGTAGATGCTAAGGCAGTGCTTAATTCGCCTAATGATATAAAAGAATGATAAAATTACATGCACAGGTGGGATAATAAATGCAAATACATAGAAGATACAGGAATACAAAAGCACTGGCTGTGCCAAAACACTAAGGGTCGATGGCTGTGCCAAAACACTTTCTTGATATGCCATGAAGCACCACAAGGCGTGATTTAAGGGTCTCTGGGTCTACACTTAGTCTTGTTCCATTTCTAACGAGTGCTGGACCGAAACAGCCTTAAAATTGCAAGAATCCAGTTCAGCCTATTTCTTACTGATTAACGAAAAATTGGAGAAAAGAGAAATATTTTTATGTTTATAATCAGAATTGTTTGTTCTGTTTTATGGTAATTAACTCTCAGCAATAAAAATAAGTCTCCTAAACCTGTCGTTAGAATAAGGACGCTGCAAGATGAATACAACTTCAATTCAACATAAATTGCTGTAGCTGCCATCTCTACTATGGTTGTTTTTAAGTAAGATAAAAGTTGTTCCTTATGTCACTGTAAGACTTTACCGCCAGTTTTTACACTTTTAGACTAAATATTGCGGTTTGCCAAATTGTATTTAAAAAATCTTTAACTCGTTGCAACTTGGACACAAAATCTTGTTGCAGGGATTCTGACTATGCACTGAAGAGTTTCAAATATTTGCAGCCCAGTATTTCAGATGACAAAATGTAAGTCTTTTCACCCTTTGGAGACGTAATTCTTGGAATTAACTTTTGATAAATAGCTAAAATCTACACCAGAAATAGAATATTTAAGAAATTCCGGTTAAAACTTTTAAATTCTTGTTGATTTTCGATCATTTCTAGAAAACCTCTTAATTTTTCAAAGGCTATGGAAATCTTTTTCTCATAACAAGAGGTCATAGTTAGAGATTCTCATGACGATTTCTTCGAAACAGCCTCAGCGAAATACATCTTAGCTTAACTTCAACTTAGATAGTTCTAGGAGAGTGAAGGTTTGCACAGTCATTGCTAGTGCCTGAAAAGCTCATAAGATCATTTTAAGCACAACTAATTCCATCATGCAAAACCTCCATTTACTCTGTATTTCACGTAACGTCATCCAGTATAAAATTATTCCCAGATACGATAAACGTCTAGAGTTGAATTAATGGGAAAATTGATCTAGAATCAAGGCTACTTTCGAACAATCTTTGACTAAGATTTTTCCAGATTTTGCATGCTTTGTGAGGAAAGTGATAGCTACTATGGCTAACCATTGTCAACAATGGTAAATTATGGTAAATTAACTACAAATAGTTGATTTTTAATATTAATAAAGAAATAAAGAAATCGGAATCATTTTCCAATATGCAAGCTTATAAGCATTAACTTTACATAAAGCATTAATACCTAAAACTTATAACCAAGAATCTTAGAATGTCAAGAGGCAAATGTTTTTTCCTCTTTCAGAAGTTTTACTGACTAATTTCCCACCAATTAAGAACACGTTCGCAGATGCTTTTTGATATTTCCGTCATGATTACCAGAACGTTTAAAAGGCTAATTCATTTACTTGCCTGAAAATGAAACTACTTCTAGTTAGGTCTTCAGAGAACAGCTAAAAATCCAGAGCTGTTTCCTACAGCTCTACTATTCTTGTACCAAAATACAGTAATTAAACTTTCCCGTAGAGTAGATTTTTTAGGATAGAAGGAACAACTATATCTAGTTCTGTATCAAGGAAATGAAAATTCGTTAACTTCAAAAAGTTAAGTTGCAGTAGAATCGTATTTAGATTCCAAGAATTAGGAATATACAAACCTCATTGCATTTGTATCATACCAATGGGGTACATAAAAGTGGTAATAGCAATTAGGGTTGTGGGCTTTAATAGCTTCTTTCTTGTAGATAAAGGATATGTTCATAGGCTGTTGATATGATGAAACTAGATTGATTTTTAGTTTGGACTTAGAAACAGACATGCTTTAATTGTGTTTATAAACGAGGTTTGATCGTAATTAAGAGAAAAACACAGGGCAAATTCGCATTAAAATGGGAATCAGAGATAAAAACAAATCGCGTAAACCTGGATGAGAATTACCTAACCAGGGAGAGGTAAGGATTTAGCACCAAGACAACAGGATCATTGCATTCATCACACAAATATGATAAACTAATATACGAATTTTTGGATGAGCCGTCTCTAGGCAACATGGGAAAGCCAGCTTTGAATTAACTGCTCCCGTGTTGGTAGCCAGGCAGATAAGAGCGGCTGCTTCATCTGATTCCATAGCTAAGACTGCAATCACCTCGGGTGACCAGTTGGTAGGTTGGAACATATCGAAAATGTGTAGACAAGAATGGGAAACTGAATCAAAAAATCTATCTGTTGAAGGAGGAGTTAAGGTTATTTATAATTATTTGACCTAGGCGCATAAGTTGATACTATAACAACGTCAGACTGCTTTATTGTACATTGTAATCCTTGTTCTAAAACAATTAACCTACCAGTCGTCAATAAATTTACTTTCCCTATGCAAAACAATTAATTTGTGCAAACGAGTTCACTGTTAAACAAATTTGAATTTAACGTACTTTCAATTGTGTAAGTGATATACTGGCCAATCCGCGACATCCTAGCCAGCCGTCAATCATGGGCGTTGTCATCAAATATTGTTGACTTAAAATGTAATCCAGTTGTCTTGTTTCACAATCAAATATCGACAATTCGAATTTACTCGTTGCGTTAGTCCGACTTTGTAAAGTAAACTTGCCCACCCTTTCGGCCAATAAACTTAATCCCATAATCCCAAGTGGCTAATTTGGTGATTAATTTCCGCGTGTTATCACTGCTCCTCAATGCTTATGGAAAGGCTTCGTCTCGCAGCAATAAATTTATTCAAGGTTAAAGCACCTGTTTGCATTATTAGTGCTAAATGAGATGATAATACTAAGGAAACCTGCGCAAAACGTTTGCTGCTATTTTAAACTACAAGAAGCACGTTCTGCTTTTGCCTAAAAATATTTGAATCGATAAAATGGCCCATCAATTTATCTTCGATGAACATCTTTAAACATTCGGCAAACATTCTTTAAGGGTATCAATACGACACTGCAAAAAGTGCTGCATGATAAAATCAACCAACTAGGTTTAGATTCATATGTCTTTCTCAAAAGTTATAGAAATGTAGTAACTAAGTAATGCTTGGACAGCTACATGTCTTCCTCGCTAATGGGGATTTTCTTATCAACATAGCACTACAGTCTCACACATGAATGCATGAGGGCAACAAACTAAGGTCGATATCTGGATATATGTACCTTTGCATATGCGTATTACGTGGATATATGTAAATTGCATCAATTGTACTAAAAGCTTGGGTAAAAAACATGCAATTCGCTGTTCTTAGCTTCGTCTTCTCCGCCAATAGGATAAATAGTCATCCACGTAGAAAATTAACCAAACCCAATTGTGCAAAGGCTTGAAAAATGCCATTATGCTATGATTTCAGCAAAGGATAATAAAGTCACTAAATATAAGCACATTGAGCAGCTTTTTTATTGATGAAAAAAGAAGTTAGGTTATTAGAACATACAACAGCTTCACATTTTGAAGATGTGTAGCTATAAAGATCCTGTTTCTACCAAATATTGGTGACATTTTTTCACCCATCAAAAGGATAAGGAATACGAGCAGAGAATGAAACCTATTCATCTACTGACCAATGCTCAATCGGGGTCAAACTGTCCTAAGAAATCCTTAGTCTGCTAAGGAAGTAAACCTGCTCAGTAGCTACTTACAAAATACTTTTAGTGGTCATTCTCAAGAATTTTGGCTGGATGTGTTAAATACTTTTTTCAGAACCTAAAGTGTTTCTGAAATATTATTAAGGACTACACCCTTCAGAATGCTGAAAACCACTTAGGTAAAGACTTTTGTAGTTTGATAGTTCTATCTTCTAACAGATTACCCTTTGAGGAGATTGGTGAACAACCAATGGACGATAAAGCAATTTCATGATTTCACCATTTAATAGGTTGTATGTATCTGAATTTCTACAAAATAATGTTACATTCCAAATGTTTTTGTACATTGGATTCTAAAGAAGCCAATTTTTATAGTTTACTTCTAAACATTTGTACGCTGCATTTCAAGCATTATACTTGAAGATTTGAAGGAAAAAGGTTTGTTATTGAAAAAACTAACAGAATATAAAGGTATACCTGTCAGCTTTTGCAAAATTTTCACAGTTGGATATGGATAAAAAGATAACAATGTTCTGTGTATGAATCAATGAGGTAGTGAAATAGAAAAATATATTGATTTTATCAAAATTTCATCCATAGTATTTAACACCTATCTACAAAGTTATGTGAATTAGTGTACAGTGATAATGAATGGTTACAGGAAAAATTAGGTTTTGAAATGTTCACAAATTTACAGTCACCTTGATAAAACAACATTATTTCACATCATTGACTTGATTTGACTTTAGACAATTGATTCTGTGTTAATGCTTTGACTTTCAGTGGCAATTCAGGGTTGGAAAAAAATGCTAGAAGAGTAAGATAAGAAACATTTCTATTTCTTGATTGATTTATTATTTCAAATTAGGTAATAAGCTTGTTACCTTAAATACAACTTGAAAATTTTCCAAAATGTTGTTACCTTAAATACAACTTGAAAATTTTCCAAATGTTATACTAGTTTATAGTAACAATGCCAAAATAAAAGCTAAAAATAGAAATTTAAAGAATGTTTAATTTTTCTATAGACATTGATTGGTTGCAGAGAACTTAATGTGATCATCAAGCAAATATTAAACTAATCAATGGAAACTGGATGTACTTAAATATTAAAGGCAGTGTGTCAAGTCAATATAATACATGATATTCTGACAGTGAAATGATTTTCAGCTATTCTGTGGTTTAGGTCCATTCGAAAAGACCAAGCTACATGTATGTTAAATTGGTTGAGACAAAGCTACACCCCATCAATTGTGCTACTTGGACAGGTACACTGTCTTTAACTCAACCAAGATTCATTGATCCTTGAAGCTGAACTGAAACAATTGAAATCTTAAGGAAATAATGAAAAAGAAGAATCAGAAATATAAAAAAGAAATGCTTTGAATATGTTTACTGTTTAAGCTTAAAGGGCATTTGGATCTACATTTGATTCCCTGTTGTAGCATAAGGTTCAATTTATAGCTACCAGATTGGTTTTGAAAGGTTCAGAACATTACTTAATAATAATTTAAAACTGATTTTTCTACTGTGCTTTACCTGCAGCAAATTCTCTTGTATTTTCTGGCCTTTGCGATAAAACATCACTGCAAGAAAATTGCATGCATCAATGTTACATACTTCCATCTGTGTCTGAATTTAGCACTTCAAATAGTCCTTTCATTTCTATATACAAAACAACATAAAACGTTTTTTCTGCAAAGGGTCTTGTCAAGCTAAAAGTAACATTCCAACAAGCATCAGTTGTGAAATTTTGCATGTGATAATTTGCTTATCTTTAATATTGTTCTCTTTGTTGGGCGACAGAAATTTCTTTGTGGGACAGTAGGAAGCCACTAGATAATTTGACAGATTGAGAAACTCTACAACAAATTGGAGCAGCATTGTAAATTAATATGTGCAGTGTTTTCAGAACATTTCCACAATTGAGTTTGTTTAACAACTGGCTTTGTAAATCTTGTGTGTCCTTAAAAAAATTTTAATCCACTCTAGTCAAAACGAAAGCATTTAGTTATAAATTATATCTGTCCTTACAGTTGCAAAAAAATGTTGGCGAAATATAAATTACCTTAAGACAGTTGTTCTTACATAGAAAGGGATAAATGCATTCTAGCGATAAAAAAAATTTAAGCAAATTACCTTACAAAACTGGACAAAAGGCATCCTATCTCGGGGTGACTTCTTATGTATTTCTCGTTGGCAAATCTTGTTTTTATCTGCAAATTAAAAAAATGGTTGAAGTTAAAGTTATGCTAACAATGTTGGCATAATTTTGGTGATTAATATGATATCTTTCAACTGTTTAATTTTATAAGTTTAAGTTGATTATGCCCAAGGCCATAAGATCAAATCAAACCTTGGTTTACATTATACTAGATTCTAGTAGTCATTTTATGCAGTAAATACCATGCATTTTGCTATTTTAAGCATCAAAAAAGGTTCTTAAGCTTGGTTCTTGGACAAAAATAATGCTTAACTACAGGATGAAATGGAAAATTAAAGCAAGAAACTTGAACAAATATAATTTTGCTTTGTAAATGCTTCATTAAGATTTGAAAGCATAAATATTTGCTATGTTCATCTATACTACATTTTCTTCGCATCAATCGGATCTAAATCGGCATCTTATGAGGCACAATATTTTTCTGCTATTGGCTAAGCAAAAAAGCAGCAATAATCTAACAAAAAACTTTCTAATCATGGACCTGTCAATCCTGCTATTATTATTAGAACCTTATACTTCCTATAATTGAAAAAAATTGTTCTCTTTCTAGCACATTTTCAAATGCAATGCTTAATAGTTGAGAAAACTCTGGCATGTCTTTCGAATATGTCTGATTTGCTGAAATTGTGACAATATATGGTCTTATCAATTGCTTTTCACCCTTAAGACCAACCATGCTGGTTAACTTCATGTCTTGACACATACAGTTGTTTACTGTGAAAGGCTACCCAGTCAACTCTGCTTACAGTCACTCTGCTTAAAGTCACACTACCAGTTACAGTAACATAAAATTTAGACCCAAATATGTAAAAAATTTCAGCAAAACTCTCGTTACAGTCCTACTCGATTCACAGGCACCAAATTTCAAGCAACATTTGAAATATAACTGGAGTCTATGACTGTATTTACAAAGTCTGTATTTACAAAATTATCATTTTTCAGAAACTTCTTACTTATGCTTGATCATTGTTTGCTCCTTGTTTCTGCTTAAAACCGTTTTCTCACCTTTTTGGCACAGCTCATAGTAATAACAGTTGTATTACCCTGAATTTTGTGAAAATACCGTATATAATGTTGCAAGAATTTAGTAGCTTTAAGATGCAATTATACTGCTCTAAGTATATGGTATCTCTAAACTTTTCGACGAATATTTGTGTATCATATGGCTAAATTCAACACTAATTATTTTGAACTTTTTTATAGGTTAATTGTCAAGCTTTTGTGGATACATCTGAAAAATGTTTGAAAACTAACAACTTCTCTATGATGGAGCAAAACGAAATGGTAATTGAGCTCCTGTTTAAAGCCTGAAAAGTATCTTTGCACGGGAAGAGTTCCAGAGGAAAGCATACGACAAAACACGATACCTAATTTTTCTGTCTAGCATAGCAAGTTTGCACGATGCTGCCACTCTAATTTCAAGTCACTGAAAATCAATGTAGTTTGGCGCGTTGCACGTAGGAGCCTATTATTTTTGCCTTATAAAGACTTATGCTCAAAACATCGAAATTGTATTTCACTTTCAAATGTACAAAGTCGTTATTTTTAATTATATTAATTTTTGGTATCAGCTACAAAAAAAATCAGTTGAGTTGGGTTACAATTTGGATCCTGTTGCTAAAAAGGTAAGAGGATGAGATCTCTTCAAAATCAGTTATAAATTTAAACACAACCTTATACTCATTTAGCTTTCCCTGCTGTTCTTTCGTTAGAGCTCCTAGATCGTTGTTTTCTAAACCACCGGTTTTGTCCATTCTGTCCTCAACTTTTGAACTTCAGCCGGTGATCGCGCCGAAGATCTCCACCATGATCTTTGGTGTTGTTGTGGTTTCAAATCAAATATTCTACCATCGAGTTTAACTTGTTGCCATGGAGACTTATCGCAGGCTTTGATCACATTGAAGCCCTGTATGCCTGGGCAAAACATTATTATTCGTTTATTTTATAAATTTATCTCATTACATTGGATTCTCGTCGTCGTATTGCTCTGTGCCTGAATCTCTTTCGTATTAATCCTCATTTATTGCAAGATTCACAGATTCCGAGGAAAACAGCCTATCCTACGGTTCTTCCTTCTTACATATGACGATGATCACATTGCTTTGATTATGTTCAATGGTTACATTTGGTCATAGTTTATTTTTCAATCGACTGTGATTTGATGTTCCTCTATTATATTCTGATGTGATTGTCCGCAACTCGTTTCTTATCAAAGATAAGTGTAGATAATTTGATTCATGCAATATTTGGCGAAACCACCAGATTCCTCCATCATCCAATACTATTGTGGATCTGAGCCGCTTGGCCCTCACTCCTCATAATTTCAGCCAAGACTCTGATCAAGCTTTTTTTAAAGTGATTAGTAGAAGGAAAAATTATCATCTACGAGGAACGTCGAACGAATGGTCCAATACTATTTGTCTTTTGTTTATTGGTTTTTCTGTCTACGCTTATTTATAAGAAAAATTTTATAAGAACGCGAGCCAAAAAATTGGTCAAAAGTTAAGAACAAGCTGAGGCTGTGCCAAGGGCCATGGATCATATTACAGATTAAGGGGGCTAGAAAGTTTTAGGGGGGCTGAACATGCTAAAAACAAAGGGCAAGACGTTTGTCGAATGGTTTTTAGCATATTTCAGAAGTTATTTGGGGGCTTATTTGGAAGTCCCCGTAGCCCCCTTCCGTGGAATGCAATTTTAAATAACGTTTTACCCTATCTCAAATGAGCATTTTTAGCCATGTGCAGGTGCTTTTTCGGTGAATATTTAAATGTGTCGGCAAATGGTTGTCCCACAATTTGTTGGCAAAATGGGCCTGAACACCTCGCTAAAGCGAGAAAGTTGGTAATCGCACTGCTTACACCCTATCAACTGGAGAAAAAAAAAAGAACAATCCAGCCTCAGATTTTGGAAAAAGTTAAGAACAGTCAGCCTGAAATTGAATTTACTACTCCTCATAATAAGAGAGTGAATATTTTAAAATCACTTTTTCTTTTCAACTTCAAATCAGACCTGCCATCCTGAACATCCTGACATTTCCGAAAAAGTTGAAGAGATTTTTGGGACTTCAAAAATCCCATTTTTTGCCTTGAGGACTTTTGATATTTTTGAGTTTTTAAATAGGTTATTAGGATTTTTCAGTGATTCTTGGGATTTTTATGGGCTTTCATGCATGTTATTATTTCAGTAAGGCAGATAAAATCCAAAAAACTCCCATTTCCTAGATATCATGGTGCATAATAGGAACTAACAGAGACGGCGCCAAGAAATTGAGCCTGGGAGAGGGGGGCTAAGAATCAAGCTAATTTACATAGGAGGACCAAGAAGTTGGGTCCGACGAAGAAGATGATTTTTGAAATTAAGCTTCTAGAATGGCTTAATATGCATATCCCAAACTCAAATTTAACAAATAGCTATACCGCTCCCAATTCGACGATTCTCAGAAAACATTGATTATTGATTTTTAGAAAAGATTGAGGGGGATGGGGGTGGATTCATGGGTGGGGAAAGAAAGAAAGAGTGACCTTTGGTTCAGAGGGCACATCGATGTGAATAACAAGAAGCTGTTGTATTGGTTTTATCGAGAAAATGTTACTTCCTGAACAGAAATGTGCATCTTCTGTGTCTCGAGTGTTTTCAGTTGGCCATGTTTACACATCCAAAATGTAGACATTGTAAATCAACAATGCAGACATTTCCTAATTTCATCTCCTGAATTGTTGAAAATAAAAGACAAATGATAGAAACCTGCCTTAATATGTTAGTAAATAGATCGAATAAAATCAAGCAGTATATAAACAAATTGTTCTCTTTTTATTTCATACTCTATTTACAAAAATAATAAAAAAGACGGTGAAAAATTCTTATATCTGAAAAAGTAGGGGGGGCTATGTCAAAGTAGGGGTGCAGTTCTATAATGCTAGGAAGGGGGCTGTGAAGAAAAATCCACACCCACACCCATTATACTTATACTTGTATTTGTGTAAAAGATTCTCTGTTGGGTTATGAAATCACTCAAAACAATTCACCGACTCTTAAAGGCTAATAGAAAATGCTCATTCATGTAAAATAAATGGCATGCTAAAGGGTTGATTCACTATTCCAAGTTAAGAACTCACCTAACCAAATATACACCTGAGTTGCCCTTGCTAAGGAGGGCTGAGTCCCCCAAATCTCTCTCAATTTTAGCAAGGGGCAGAGTCCCAAAACCACGCCAACAAAATGAGAACACAAGTAGTAGCTATGAGTCATGATTTTGCAATTAAAATATTCTTACAATCAAATTACAAAATCGAATAAGTCCAAATATTGAAGGAACCATTTCTGCTACTAAATGCTTCGCCTTTATTTTGGCAATTCACCTTTACTGCTAGTATGTATGAAAACTGACAAGTGTTATTCTAATAAAAAACATCATATGGAAAGCAATATACTACCATCCAACTAAGTTTCGAGATATTGCAAAGAAAATTCTTCTAAAGACCCCATCAGATAATATAAGTTTTTCATTTATTCATAAAACAAAACCTGATGTACTTATGGAAAAGTAAATGACACAGAAATTATTTTGAATAATATATCTCACCCGACCTAGCAGATTTTGCTCATTCAGAAGTGCTTCGTTGTGTTTTTCAGGGTATGCGGTTAGAATTAAAAATATCTGAAAATAGATTTCTTTATGACATAACACACTCTAGGGCGACCGAATGGCGTCCACTGCAAGGCATGCGATGGTTTAGGATTGGGTTTCCTTGTTGATTTATAAAATTTTGATCGTTTTTGTGAAATATATTACATATTTTTCGATAAACTAAGGAAATTTTATAATTTATTTGTTTTAATTTATTCGTAAGATTTGTTGGGAATTTTTCAAAGGATGGACGAGATTTTTTGGAGTGATTTACCCCTGGAGATTTTATCCATAATCTAGTAAAACTTAAAATGGCCAATAACAATTTTGACTATGTATTTTTGGGGTTAGTGTTTGTTAAACATCTTCTTAATAGTATGGGTGTCGTGTGTCGTAAGTATTTCAAGAAGGAGGGACACAAGACACCATGCACACGCAAAATGATAAATACTGTATCATTTCTTTTTTTCTGAAAATCTATGTGTATGACTATGTGTATGTTTGGACTGGGAAACCGAAATGTTCTGCTTCGAATTGTCTTTTTAACAATTTCATTGTTGTTGTGAAGTTTTGTAGTTGATTTGTTTGTAATTTATAACTACCTTATATAGCTTCAACTTCAACTTCAACATTTTGTTATCAGTATATTTTAAATAATTACAAGTGATTCGATAATGCTAAGATAAACGACTAAACGATTAAAGAGCATACATGAAAAAGTATTCTACTACATGAAATTGTCAGTAAAGATAAAATGAAATACTGAAGGACACGTAGAAATAACTCAGAAGAGCTTTTCAAAGATACTGAAAATAGCTAGATGTAATAAGGTTTGTTTACTCTAGTAGAATTTGAATTAAAATCAAATGAACAATAAGAAAATCAATAATATAGAATGGAGAACGTTCAAGTCTATTTATTTTTTGCTTTGTTGTTTTAGCCTCTGTATGGGAAAGAGGTTGGGCAAAATAATAATCGTTTCCTTCTTGCTGAAGGAATTGTTTACGAAGTTCACATGACCTAGCCGAAAGCTGGAAATATAGTGTTAGTTAAAGCTTGCCCCAAAATGAGCAGGAAACGGATAAATCCGAGGATGGATCCCTTAACATTGAGTGGATGCAGTGAACGGCATCACCACAGATTCTCCTGTCACCATAATAGTGGTGACTTTTTGCTTCCCAGAGAAGAAAATGAAGGCTTTGCCCCAAGATCAACAAGCCCCAGCACGAACGATGAAGCCAGTCATATTCAAGCGGGCGAAGAAGTCTTGAGAAGAAAGCTGAGTTGGTATTTTATGAACCCTTACCAGAAATACAAACTTAAAGGTCGAAAACCATGGAAACTGGTGCTGCAGTTCTTCAAAATAGTATTAATTACTTTTCAAGCAACATGGTTCGCAATGGATTTGCAATCTGTCGTGACCTTCGACACAGACAATTTGGCAGCATTTCGGCATATTTTTATCAAAGACTATCCCGGAGGATTACGCTATGTGCCAGTATTTACGAAACCAGAGCTATACGACCGTATGCATTATGTTTGGCGGCAGTACCATAACTTCACCCAGGTGACCGTGGGTACTTACGATCTCCCTCTACCAGAAAAAGACAGAAGAATAAACCTGTGCATTTACCGATTAATTCCAAATAGAAGTACAGATTATGATGAGGATGACAGCAACAGATCCTGCCACAACTTAACTCCACCATCAGGAATTGATGCAGACAATGTGACAGAGTTTGTTGTGAAGAATAGAATTCCAAAGAGTTTTGAGTTTGTGACAAAAGTTGTAATGAAATTTAGTATGAAAACGAAAAATACAAAGCATAATGTCGCTGAAAGCCAAGCAGACTGTTACACTTACAATATAATTGCTTCATTCAACAATGATGATTATGATGGGAAAATGCAGTTCAGGCTTTACTATGAACAGTCATTTAAACCTTGTGATACCAACCCTACTTCCATGTCCTATGCTAAACTTGGAGTTGAAATTTTTGTCATAATCCTCTGCATTATGTCTTTGACACTTTGCCTCAGATCCTTTATGAGGCACCTTAAACTAAGCAGAGAGACAATAAAGTTTTTTGTTGAGTTCCGGCATGAAAAGCTCACACTTTCTGACAAGATGAATTTCTTGAATTTTTGGATTCTGCTTATAATTCTTAGCGACATTTTAGTGATTTGTGGAACAATAATCAAGATAGTGATTGATTTTGCTGATGTGGCGATGTATGATGCATGTGCATTGCTGCTTGGAATTGCAGTTCTGTTTTCTTGGGTTGGTATTTTGCGCTACCTTGGCTTTTTGAAAGGCTATAATACACTCCTGATTACACTAAAGGTTGCATTTCCACAAGTTTGCAGATTTCTAGTGTGTGCTGCAATTATCTACTTTGGATTTACCTTCTGTGGATGGGTTGTCTTTGGCCCTTATCATGAAAAGTTCAAAGACATCATCACAACCTCAGAGTGTTTATACTCACTTGTTAATGGTGATGATATGTTCAACACATTCAAACTTATGAATGACAGGGACTATACTTTGTGGATCTTCAGCAAGGTTTACCTCTATTTGTTTATTTCTTTATTCATTTTTGTTGTCCTGAGTTTGTTTATTGGTATTATTGGTGACACATATGAAAGAATTAAAGACTACGGACATCCTCCTAAAACTAGAATTCAGTTATTTATGGAAGGCCTAGAGTATCATGAGCCAGACTCAAGTGATAGTGGAAGTGAATCTGGAACGGAGGCCAATGAAAGACGACCTTTGCTATAGACGCTGTCTAAAAATACTATTCTTTCTATAATTTGGATTTTGTGTTGAATAATTCAACTTAGCTTTGCGTAGTTTCAGAGACCAATTTTTATGATTGATAAGATTATTTTATAGAGTCAGAACTGGAATGAGTCAATACCAGTAATTAAATTTGTTCCATGAAAATCTAATTGATGTTCTATTTTACCAATTGTCGGCAATAATGCTGTTTTACTAAATTCAGTTCAGTTCATTTAATTTCAAAATTCCACAACATGCAATTAAATAGCAAGTTAACAACAACAAATATTAATAACATACAATATAAATATGTCATAATTTGAGAAATAACAAATTAAAAAAGAAAAGTGCTGGTGGTCAGCTTTGGTTGGAAATCAGAAGCAATTTAAGACAGTATTCTTCTAATGTATTAATCACCCAACAATCAAGCAAAACAAATATATAAGATAAACATTTTATGTCGTTAAAAAGGTGAAAAAATTCAGGGATAAACTTTATGTCATAATAATTTTTAGGCTTTTGATATTTTGATTTTGATATTTTTTGGTTGTCAATAATACAGTTCTAATGTATCACAAAAGAATGTTTAGGTTTTACCATTTTCTTTCACAATTAGCACTTACTTTAGTTTTTTGTACTCCAGTTTGAGTAGTTCTTATTTGGTAATAATGGAGTGGGTTAGGGGGCATAGGAACTTGCTAATTTGGCTTCCCATAATTTAGAGAGATATTGAAGGTGCTATAATTGAAATAAGGTCCTGTTAGTCTAATAGCAAACTTTTTCAGCAAATATACTGGTTATATATCTTTAGAATGAAATAACACTCAGTGGCAAATCTGGGAAATCCTTGGCAAAAACAGTTTATTTGATATTTTCTTCGTCTGGATACATAGGGAGGATAGTTTGAAGCTAATCATTGACCATTTCAACAGTAGCCACGACACAATTAAATTTGCCAGTGAACATTCCACAGAATCTATAAGTTTCTTGGATGTCACGATAAAGGTAGGAGAGGGGGGAGTCCTTACAACATACTTATTTTGTATGCCAACTGATACCCATTCGCTCTTACTAAAGAAGTCTCAGATGATTGCCAGTTTAAGGAACATGTAGGTAAACTCGCTGGGGGGCTTAGGGATAGGGGGTATGAAGAGTCTCTTGTTAATCAACAAATAGATAGGGTACAATCTTCTTTCCGTTTTGGCCGTGTCCTTGCGACTCCCTGATTATCGCAGTAGCATCATTGTCAAAGTACCTCGATCCAAAATTGATATTATGAAAATAACTCCCTTGCTCTGGAACCTATAACCCTAGTCTATGAATAGCACAAGGGGATTTTTTCCAGCGTCTTTTTACAACCTATCTTTTTCAGCGTATCTAATTTATGCTGGTATCGCGATCTAAAAGTTAGATTGTAACAATTACTGCTTTGAAAATTGGAACCTAGTACCCCAGTCTATAAATAGCACGGGGGGGGGGTATTATTCAGCGTCTATTCACACCCTATCTTTTTTAGCGTATCAAACTGCCTATCTCTATCAAGTTCCATACTGGTATCACGTTTCATACAATTGGTAACTTCTTATCTTCTTACAGCCCTCACTATGGCTAAATTGACTATGAAATCTTAATGCGTCACTCGCCCTAGGCTCTTTTAGCACGACCTACAGTCTAAAAATCCCCAGAAATCCTTATTTATGGGCCCCAAATGAAAAAACTAAATTTTTGAAAATAGGTGATGAATAGTGAACGAGAATCAACAATAAAAAATATTTTCATTTTTTCATTTCAGTGGCACTTTGATGGCCCAATGAAATAAGCAAGAAGTTTCGAAGCTAACCTGTGTTTGTTAGTTCCAAAGGCTTAGTTTGTTAGTTACATCCCATTTACCTCTGTTTTACCATAACTACCGGCCTTTATTGCAAACTCCAAATTTTGGATGCGTCGTTCAATAAAGGGCGCCGTTTATCTGAGGGTGGCGTTCAATGCAAAATGCAAAGTTTTTCAAATGAAAATTGCGATGAAAAAAGATAAAAACAGACTTTAAACAGTGGTTTCTTTTCCAAAAACACGCAATAAACACGATTGTGTGAACAATTTTAAAAGTTCACAAAAAATGTCTTTACGTTATGGAAATGTCTAAGAATGTCAACACCCCTATCTCCCGCCAGAGTCCTCGTCTCTATGACATAAAAACTTTCATAGCTTTCGAAAAGTGGTGCGTTTTCTTATGAACATAGAGGCATTCCATAGAGGGCGGCGTTTTTTCCAAATGGTTGGCTGAAGGTGCGGCGTTCAGTAGAGGGTGGCGTTTATCAGGGGGCGGCGTTCATTAGAGGAAACATGGTAATGCATTTTCTTATATGTCTAGATTTGCCAGTGAATAATTTTTGTGTTGTGCTACACAAGCACGTATTTAATGCAATGAATTTTAGCTTCAATTCAGAAATAGTGCAAAGATCTGTATTAACACGAAGAAAATAACGTATCAATTTTCTATCATTTTTCTAACCTACTAGTCATATTTGCATCTTTTCATCGCAATTTAAGTTTTTGCTACTGGAGGCTTTTTAGCACAAAGTAAATTTACCATAAGATATAGAGACATGAAGCCTTTAACTGCAAGAGTAGGCATAACATCACATTATAGATCATAACAGCATGTTATCTTAAGCTTAATAGCAAAAGCATTGAAGCATGATTTCACAACCATACATAAAAACTGATTGATACATTAAACACGATGATACAACATCTAAATACTCAACAAAATTCCACACAATCTTAACAGCTGCTTATTCACATCGATACTGACTAGATCCAACTGTGCTGTGTTTGAATTATACATATGATTTAATAAAACTCAATCACAGGTTTCAAAACTATTTAAATTGAAAAAGATAAAAAAGCGACAGTTATTGCAAAATTAAAAATTAGATTAAAAAAAAGTTGAAAAATTTGAAGTCTTGGAAGTGGTGATCATGAAATCCAAGGAAAACATTGAAGCAGTGTGTGTTGTCAAATTTGAAAACACTGCATTTATATGGATGAAATTCATCAAGAAGTCATCTATATAGCATTCTGAAATAAAAAAATTATCAAGTTAGTTCTTGGAAACAATTTAAAGGACAACATTGTGATCATCAATTTCTATGTAACACATTGTACAATTTCTCAAAATTTCTCAAAAGGTATACAGCCCATAATGATTATCAATAGCTGCCAAAAAAAATGCCAGGAATGGAAATACTTTTCTTGACTTCTTTTTGCTGGATATTAGAACATTTTCTTGTGTGCATGCGTCTATATAGAGTTGTCAAGTACCCTCTTCCAAGCTAATCAAGCCAATGGAGGGGCATCATTCTAAGGAAAGTTATGTTAAACAACTAAGTTATAGTTTAGGGAAAGGTTTATGTTCTCTTTTCTACTGAAATCAACAATCAATAACACCAGGCTGACAATATGTAATGCATCTTGAACATTTTAGCAGTACAAACTCAAACTATAATTTCATTAGTTAGGTGACCATGTGCTAGAGCAAATGTCTACAGCCAAAAGGCTCAAACCTTTTGCAGTTTCAGCTTGCCTGTCACATATTGGTAACAACTGAAACAAAGACTCTTTGGACAAACCTTTGTTTTTCAGCTATTTAGCTCCTTATTAGCTCATCTCCATCTTCAATTCCCTCATCCTCCTGAACACGAAATGGAGCATGTTGGAAACCTCTCCTACGATCTGCAAGGCAGAAACAGCACAGTCTGGCTAATCTTAGAATCACAACTTTGCATATTTGTATATCTTAATAAACTGTATTTTATAGCACAGCACTGGTGCAAGAGTGTGAAATTACTATGAACTGAACAGTGATTAAAACTTAGCTTCAATTTCCTATTAGACGAATTTTCTAACATAGAACTCACTTTGGCTACTTAACAACCATTTAGGTCTGAATAGCCCTTTAGCAAAAACACGGTCAGAGAAGCCTGTGCCTAGAATCTGTTGACAAATTAGTCTGCGTGCAGGCTAATTCAGAGGTAATCACTTGCAATCAGAAATTTAATCTGCCATCTATAGCACATATGAAAACTCAATTTCCTTCTGCTATCAGCATTATAGAATATCCATTTCCAGATAGGAAATGTAGAATCTAGTTTTATGGAAAAAAATTGAAACCTGGAGAAAAGAAAGTTGGCAGATTTTCTGCATTTTATAGAATAAAAACTTGAAAAATTCAGAAACATACCATCCTGTTTCCTCTTTCTTGTGTCTTTATATTTTTTATGACTCCAGATTGCTAGTTTTACCAGAGCACAAAGCAGGGGAAAATATGCCAAGGCATATGCAGTGTTCTGCAAGGCCAAGCGCTCAGTGTACACTCCATTCAAGCCAAGATTGATGATGGCAATTATAGCAATGTTTGCCAGCAGCAAAGAGTCATAGAGATTCATGCCTTGGTTGCGATATGGCTTAAAGTAAACAAACACAAGCAATACAACAACACAGAGTATTGCAAATATTGTGTCTTGAAGCGCTCCTGATGGAACATAAATGTAAATAATCAGCAAGACTAATCTATTAAAAAAGTAAAAAACAGGAAAGAAATCACAAAATAGCAGTTGATGGTATGGTTCATTGAATGTATCAATGATGCCAATAAATCTGACAAAACGAGGCAATCTGACCAGAGCAAAGGAGAACATGATCAAAAAAGGAAACAAAATAACAATAAAGACAGCAACAACAAGTGCAATTATTGCAAATGGAATGTGCTCTCCACTGAAGAAAGGAGTTGATGCTGCTCTGTAGACAACCCATTGACCTCGTATTTTTACAGGGTGAAGGAGATCAAGAGTTATGCGAGTAAAGTCAGAGTATGCTATAACACTTATGAAAACAAATGATTTGAAAACAGTTCCTCTGTTTAGAAAGCATTCATTTCCAAACCTGTATGATAGCCTTATCATTATGAAAGTGAATAAGAGCATGTATGAGGGAATGATGTAGTTTAGAAAAGTTTTTTCTAGATCATTCATTGAATTCCAAAGGCAAACTCCCTCACCGAAACCACCAGAGCCTGATAGAGTGGAAAATCCAATAATCATTTTGATGAAAATGTCAAGATTTGTATTGCCATGAAGACATAAGGGAAGGATCTGATATGAGTATAAGAAAGCATTGAGAGATGTGGCATATGTGTCAACATTGAGTACAATGATAATTATCATTGCAACTGTTATGACCAAAAAAACGAGGAGAAGCCAGAAAAGACCATAATCATCAGGGCATGGTTTACAGATTTCTGCTCCAAAAACAACACTGTAGCCTTTTTTGCAGTCTGCACATAATGGAGAGCTGTTATTGCGACCTTTGGTACATTGATTTCTTTTGTCAAACTTTTTATCAATGACATTTCCTTTCTCTTTTGAAATGTCACAGTAATTGTCTGGGCATATGTGAGATGCAAAATCAGTGTCTTTACACTCCTTTGATTTGAGCGGGTCTCCCCATCTCCCTTTAAGAATATATACATCTGCACTTGAGTCGCATTTGGTTACACCAAGTTTCATATCAAATTTCTGAGAGATGCACTGGCACACTTGGCTATCTTTATGAAAGTAATATCCAAGTGGACAGCTTTTCAGTTTCAAGCCATGTATTGTTCTTGACACAGACCGCCCAATTGTAGTTTCGATCAGAACTGAATATTTTTGTGAAGGACTTCCAGTAAATTTGATTCCGTCTATAGTGTTTCGTGCTAAAAACATTCTTTGGCCATCAATTTTAACAGAGCCAGGTATTTCAGGACGAACAGTTACCCTAATGTTACCATAAATACTGTTGTAATTCTCATCTTCAAGAACAACATTTGGTTTAAAGGTCAGTCCTGGGTATGCGTTCCATTCTTCATGATTTATATTGGCTATCTTTATAGGGCTAGTTACAACTGTAGTCCTTCCATCTTTGTATTTTCCATCAATATAATGAAAAACCTTCCATTTTAAAGCACTGTTATTATATGGTAGCTCATCATTCCGTCTGCACATGGCCAATGTATCAGCATAAACATTATCTCCTGATGCAGCTGGGGCGACATTACCAACAAAGGAAGTTGATGTGTTAGAATTGTCAGGGTCAAAAATGTCGTAATTATCCGTACCAAAGAAAATGAAACAGCTGTGGGTTTTCAATTCTGTTGAATTCATTGGAACTTCTGAAGAAACTGGCATTTCTACATAAATTGCACCTCCTCTTTTTGTTGCAGTATTGTTTTCAAACCTCATACTAGAATTTGGATTCATGCGCAAAACTGAATCACCAAAAAATGCAACAGCACCACCCTCTTGCCCAGTATTGTTTTGGAACAAAAGCTCTCCTTTATTCACAGCATAACTTGATTCAAACATTATAGCTGTGAATTCATTTCCTTCAAAGCTATTTGGACCTATAAATATGACAGTACTGGAATAACTGTACAAGGCAGCTTCACCTCTATCTTGGCCAATGTTGGAATTTTGTGTCTGGTGTGATATGGTGCAATTTTGCATGCTTAATTGACACAAGACTAACATTATAGCTCCAGCTTTATCTGCTTTATTAGACACAAATGAACAGTTTTGAAAATCAATTTTTTCTTTTCTTTTACCAGCCCCTTCAGTGCGATATTCAGAAAAACCACCACCAACCAAAGCATAATTGTTCTGGAAGTGTGTATCAGCCAGCTGGACAGTTGTACCTCCATTAGACCAGGCTGAATTAATACCAACTCTCATCCCTCCACCAGCTAGTGTAGCAATATTTCCAACAAACAGAGAATGTTTCAAATTGACTCTGTTGCCCCCAGTTGTGTCATCAAGTTCTGCAAAAATGCCACCCCCAAAAAGGGCTTTGTTTTGGTGGAATTGGCTGTCGATTACAGTAAGTGAGTTGTTTCTTGAATTACCTCGAGAGAAGAAAGATATGCCACCACCTCTACCAAAAGAAACAAACTGTTTACAAGAAGACATCGACACTGTACTTTTTGTATGCTCAGCTGTGTTATTCATAAATTTACATTTGAAAAACAAATAGCTTCCATTTGAGTTCATGAAATTCTTCCTTTCTGGTTTGTTACACTTTGGCTTGAATTCAATATATACTCCGCCACCAGAGCTAAAACCTGCATTATGATGGCTAACGAGCGAGTTATTTGAAAACGTAACATAACTCATTGTAATATTGCCGACAACATCATAAAAAGCAGACCCATAGCCATGTGAACGATCGATTTTGACCCCAATCATGCTGAAGTCCTTTGTCTCTTCAACAAATAACGCCGTTGAAATGTTCCAGTATTTTGGTGTCTTTCCACGGAGGTCCATGTTTGTCGAAGGAAACTCTGCACCGCAGCTTGATATGGTAAGATACTGTATGCTTATCTTGCTGCTAAAACCAAAATAAAATCCCGCCTGAGAAGAATTGCACCGGACCACAGAAACAGGGTCACCCTCTATAGAAAAATTGTGCATGAACCTCTTTTCTATCACTGTCGATAAGTTATGGCTGCCATTTTCTATCACCAGCCTAGTGTTGTTGAGGTCTTCTTTTTTCATTGCGAACTCGATAGTTAGACATGAAATATTGCCGCTCCAGCAAGCCACTTCGTCTTTTCCATTACGTGAAACAACAATCTTGCTTCCATCTCCATTAATACATTGATAACGTTGCACAAACACTGCTGCATAAATTGTGATAGCCAATATATAAATGCAAATGCTTTTCTTGGCCATTTTGATCTTCTAACTGGAGTTGTGATCTCGGTCTGTTCTCCGAATTACGGAACGAACGATTTCTCAGTAGTAACATTCACACGGATTCACATGACTTCCGCCTCTACGTCAACCTCGGATACTCCTCCGCAGCAAGAAGCGAATGCTCAGGGGATTTTTCGTTACAATTATATGTCGTCTAATTTAGGCTACGTCCACTCTGCTCCATGTTCTTTCTCTCTGTTTTCGTTGATGAAAACGATTTTCGCGCACACTGATCCGTTTTCAAATGAATACCCTTTGAATACGGTAAATGTCCACGCTGCTCCAACAAAATCCCTGTTGGTAGCCTCATTTTTAAACAGAGGCTTTAAATCAGGTTTATAAGAAATGTAAGCCGCTCCTGATTAGAATGATTAGAAGGTACTCAATAGGTTCCCTGACTCCCAAATTCCCGCTACGTTTTAAGCACGATTACCGATTCCCGACCATTGATTTCCGAATCCTGTCGTAATCGATTGGCGAATCCCGCTCACAAAACTTTCCCGCTTCCAAAAAAATGACGATTCCCACCACCCCAAAAATACATTAGGCACCAGTGGTGGAATCTTTACAATCCGCCAAAAAGAGGCCTGTTTTTACAAAAAGGACCTTATTTGAAAAATACAACACTTGCTTTTCGATGTCCCATTACGAATAATGAACATCTTGGATTACATTAAAATTAAAAGGTTGATTGTAGCGTCATAGCATGTGATTGTAAAAGGGATCGGGCTGAACCTAAAAAAATGCTTAACTTTTGCAAGGTTAAAAGGAATGTGGGGTTTTAAATATTATGGAAAATTCTTGAATTTTTATTTTTCATAGACTCAGTCACAGTTAATCTATACGGCATAAGGTAAACGGTCCACTGTGAGCTGTAGAGTTCCCTTAGATCTTTACCAGTGGCGAGGGTCGAACTTAAGTACAGTAAACGTTTTTGACACGATATTTGGTTTTCTCTCCCTAAAAACCAAACTATTTACGGAATCAGATTAAACTATACATCATTCAATGCACAAGAACATGGCGATTCCAACCATATGAAAATAATTGGCAAATATGGTAAAATGATACTTTCCAGGCAAATTTATTGTTTAAATGAGTGTACCACCTTCAAAAGCTATTTTGTACCCTTGCGTTTGAGATATCAAAATCTGACTTATATCAGCAAAAAGCGCAGATCCTAAGCACCTAAGCTACCAAAAAATGTCTCAGATTTTTCAAATTCCTCCTCCCCTTTAAACTGTACCCTGTCAAAAATTGGCAAACAATTTTTCTTCCCCCTCATAACTGTATTTGGCTATAAAAGACGGACCAGAGCAAATACAAAAATTTTGAGACAAACTTTACTTACCCGACATCTGTCCTGTTTATACTCACTCGAACCTTTGCTTCTCCACTTAAAAATGAGTTTCCATTACTGGTTTAAACCTATAACACCTTTCCTTGTCGAAATCTTATGTAAAGATTGGGCGAGAGCTGATGTAATTCGATAGTTTCACACAGTTTGTATGATGGGTGTGGTCATGAAAATTTTCAAAAAACGACACCCAAAGTTTCAAAAATTTTGAATATGTGCAGTGACAAAAACTCCTTAAAATAAACCCTGTTGTGAACTTAAACCAGAAAATAGATGTAAGAAGTCTAACCAACAACAATATCGTCCAGCATGGGATCAACAAAAACGCCTAGAAGTATTTCTTTCTCACCTTCTACACTCGGGGGGTAAACTGTGCCAAATTCTGGACGGGGACGTACCATTTTGGTTAAAATTTTGGACCCATAATTCCGCAATTGTCTGAAAAAATGTTACCCCTAATTCCGCAAACATGATGAAAACTATACCCATTCTGCAGAGCAAATAGAATTTTTAAAGCACATAAAAAATCATCAACCAAATTCTGCATGTCCCATGCCCCAAAATTTCAATATTACACATATTTCATACGTTTATTTTTAACTGGACATTGATTTTGTTAATGTTTAATGTCCCTCCTAATAATTTTGCAATATTTCCCCAAAATTTAACCCATAATTCTGCATGGTTCTTCAAATAGTACCCATAGTTCTGCACAAATTTCAAAAACTGATGCCAATAATTCAGCACTTTTAAAAAAAATACCCCTAAATAATGGCACGTCCGCGTCTTTTCAAACATGTTAAGGTACCCCCCCCCCCCCGAGCCTCTACATTATCACCAAAAACTTCAAGCAAGGGCGGGATGGCGGGGAGGCTTGCAGGCTTGAGCCTCCCCACCTAAAAATAAAGATACACTAATTTCCTCAAAGTGAATTTGAGAATCATAACTATAGTAGATTGCATGCTGCAATATAATTCTATAATAACGATAAATCATAAATGTAAGTAGATTGTACCAATAAAAAATTGATTTAATGAATAAACGACGTTTCGAGCATAGCCCGTTAGCTTGAACCTCTAAGTTCTCTATAATGGCAAAATTTAAACCACCCCCCACCCCAACATTTCGAAACCATTTGCTTCAGGTCTTTCAGTTTGATCTGTTCAAAACTGGCTGATATACGGTCAGTAGAAGTGACGTTCACTAATTAATTGATAACTGTAGTTTTTGCTCTTAGTTTATTCATAGAATTTGGAACCAGCACCAAAATGACGTGATGACAAAATGATATCACGTTTTTTATATAATATAGAGCACAAAATGATGTCATATTACATGATGAAAATTCATGACAACATGATAACAATTCAAATATTTTAAAATAATTATTTCATGACGGTCAAACACCAACAGCCACAACATTTTGTTGTGATAAAATGGCGGACTAACTTTGGAGCAGGGAGATTCATCTTTCAAAATGCCTAAATACACATTGTTGCTCTAAAGTATCGCATTTCAACAATGAGATGATGCTTGGCGATATAGGGGAAACTCAGAAACAACCATTTTGATTAAAAGGTTGCAATTTGATCTTAGGTTGCAATCAAGCAAAAAATGTATAGAGCATTATTTAATTACGACGGTCAGCAAGGAGACCGGACGTTGACATTTAAATCTGGAGATGAATTTAATCTTATTGACCAAATCAACGAACATTGGTGGCAAATGCAGTCTTCAACTGGGGAAATCGGATTAGTACCATCAACTTACCTTGCAATTAATAAGGTTAGTTTCGTTTACGTCTAGCAGAAGATAGGCCTGTTTATGTGTGGGCAGTTCGTTTTGGCTATGTCACTGGATGCTGGATGACCGTAAGAAGTTTGGGGCTAGGGAAGGAACCAAGGAGGTCCAGGGTAAGGCAAGGGCAGTGAGAGAGCGTGACCTGGTGATGTGTTTCCCCATGCAATAACCTGCCATTATTTGTAGCTGTTAGTGTTTGCCAGTCTGGAAAGCTTGCATATGCTTCAACTATGATGGATTTGTTGCACTGGCACCTGACCCACAATTTTAATCAAGTCATGTATAGGGTCACGTCCAGTGGCGGACTGGCTACCCTTTGACCCACCGGGAAAAGCAAGCAACAGGGCGCCAATAGGTGTCAAAGTTGCTTATCTTTGGGGCTTGTAAAACAAGCCCAGAAAAATTTTGTCATACTTCATCCTTAAAATTCTTTGCAATTGAAAACAACCTATTTAGAATGTCGGAACAATTGGCATTGGCATGAGGAAGACTCTCTGTCAAATTGACTGTGTTTGAAACGTCTTCACGGCTGTTCAAATTTGTAGGTATCAAGTGACGTATTGTCCCTCAATTTAATGTATCAAATGAAGATATCAAATGATAGATTTTGAAAGTTGGGCTAAAACTCAAAGCCCGTTTTCAGTTAGCGAGACACTCCCTTACAAGATTTTATAAAGAAAGCAGCTTCTCTGGCCTAGGAGACGAGATTATTTTCAATTAAACTCGATCTCAAAATCTTTGAAAATTTGATGAAATATATGACTTTGTTCTCATCAAACGGTAGCATAAAATTTTTTGAAAGTTTTGGAGCATATCATTGAGAAATGTGAAGGGGTGCCACATCACCTGCTAGCCTAATGACTATGTTGCTCCATGCTCCTGCCTCCACGCTACAGTTACATATCATTTACAAAAGATATGATTCCAGTTCATCAGCGAGCGGAATTATGATCAGGTATTGAACATGTGCTCAAAACCGTAGACTTGTCTGAAAGATATCTGATAAGATATCTTGGACAAATAGGCACCGCGGAGCGTTGAGGAAAGTGGGGGGTCTAAAAAAAGTGGGGGGTGGGCTAAAACCGTATAAAAAGAGGCTTTTCTGGTAGTTTGATACCTAAAATTTGGCATTTTTTGCAAAAAGTGGGCTAAAGCTCCCCCAGCCCCCCCTGCTCCGTGGTGCCTGACAAATGGATTTTAAGAGATCTTGCTGCCATCCTCTTTTTGCAAATTGATGATTTTGCAGATTAATAGGCTCCCTCTCTATGAGAAACTGTGCATAGAAATGGTAAAAAGAAAAAAATTTTCTTGGGAAAAGGCACAGTTCCTTTCCGGGACAAAAATTTGAAGAAAGATTGGAAAACCTTTAATAGCTAGTTGTAAACTTGAAATCAGTTTTTTCATGAGGGTATCAATCCTCAACAACTTCTGTATAAATTTTTTAAAAAATGGTCAAGATTTTTGACTTCAGTTAGTGATAATTTCTTTTGGTGCAAAACTCCTGGTTTTGACGTACAAAAAACAGGATCAGCCATAAGTCAAAAAACTAATATGGTTAGTCAGAAGTCATTGGTTTCACAAAATTATTAGTCATTAGTCAGTTGGCAAATAGTCTGCTAGTTAGCTTGTGAAAATCCCTACTACCCTCTCAACAGAAATAGAATTAATTCAAATATTGTGCACTTGCTTGAAAAAATTGCAAGCTAACCAAAATTACAAGACGTTTTATACGACAAGGAGTTTCAGACAAAAAAGCTTCTAGTATGTTTAAAATATTTTCTTTTTTCAAAGTCATTTTCAAAGCAAAATATGTTCTTTACAAGGTTTTCAGAAAATCTGGCAGAATTTGCAGATTGGGAAACTTTGCAATCAATCTTAATATTGCTCAACTTAAAGGTGAAGCTAAACTTTTTATGCAAACGATAAACTTTTTACTTTGAACAATAGATGATTGTAATCAGTTTTAGTTCTCTGCGAAGATTAGTTGCCTTTTGAAAGTTTTCATGTTTTTGAAAAAAATAACTTGGGGCAGAGGGCGCACCGGGAAATTTCCCGGTGTCCCGTGGGGCCAGTCCGCTTCTGGTCACGTCGCCCTGATTGAATATACCTAGATACAAATTAATTTTTTTCTATTTCGTGTAGACTTGTCTACATAAAACTTGGCAAGGACAAAATTCTTCAGGCTCTTCAGATATATATTTCAAAAGATCAGGTAATTGGTTTTACAAAGTTTTTTGAAAAAGCCACGAGACTTCTTAGCTATCTTGACGGCATAAATTTCTGGTGTTGCCCTGATTGGGTATGTTTTTCATATGTAAATATTACCACGCACAAATAAAAATAGAAGTGAAATAAGTGATTAAACACTTGGAAACACCTTCTTGCATGTTTCATTGTATTTTTTAGCCGCCGATCTGGCGCATGCAAGATTGTAACTTTTGCAAGAGTCAAGACAAGGGGAAAATTTACAGCTCTGACAAAGTGCGATATTTTAGCCAAAAATTGTATTCAAAATGTATCAAATTTGCTCTGGAGTATTTTTGTTTAAAGATATTTGACAAATTGAAATTTACAGGTTTCTTTTTGAAAATAAATGCGAAACAACTACCGAACTAAAACAGCCATCTGGAGAACATTTTACATCATTAACAATACAAATTTCAAAAAGAGTATGATGTCAGAAGGCATGCAGACGAAATTTTCAAAATGAACTTGTCTGCGCAAGAAACAAAGGTTCCAATGTGGGTCAGCATCAGCATGCTGCAACCTGTGAGCATAGACATTTAAGTGGAGAACAACAACATGCACATAAACATGACTGAAGTATAATAGGGTCACTTCGCCCTGATTGAGTATGTACCAAAAGCATGCAGATGGAAAATTTGAATGCACAGCTATGCATAGCCAAAATCATACATGTTTTCCAAACAGAAATATTTGTGTTGAAATCATTTGCTTTTTAAAGTAGTAAAAATGTGATTTAAATTTCCACCCCTTGCTAAAGGTCACAAAGTCATTTACCACTTCAGACAGTTGAGTTGTTAAGGGTACCTGTAAATCAAAAGCTATCTTTCTGAATTTTCCAACCAGGTGTCTCATTGCTCAAAATGATAAGCTGAATGGACATCTGCTTATTAGATTATTTAATATGATTGTCTCTTTTAGTTAAGGTAAGAAAAAATTGTTCCCAGGTTGTAATAAAGTAGGACACTGTAACATGTCAACTACTCAAAATAGACAGCTTGTATGAGGCTGAAATTTGGCATGCTTGAAGAACATAGATTGATGTATTCATTTGTGAAATATTTTGTTGTAGACCCTATGGGGGCCTCTAAAACAGGCAATTCAACTTTCATGTAAGAAATATCAATTTTCATGCACAAGTATGCAAAAGCAAAGGTTGTATACAATGCTTTCATTAAATAATTATTTTAAGGGGGCTGAGAGAAGTATGAAGTATCTGTTTCTGCCTATTCAATACTTCGTTATGAAGGAGATAGTTTGCCAAGTACCATGAGGCCACAGCCTGATACTTCCAATGGTCGTTGAACAAGTAATCTATCGTGGAAGTGAAGATTAAAAAGTCTTTTGTAGCACATTGGCTTTCATTTTACTTAAAGCAAACATCTTATAGATTCCATCATTAATGATTTGTATGTCATAGGTACCTAGGCTTTACTGCCATCCAGTAGTTGTTGAAGGAAAATTTATTTAATAAATAAAATTACAAACAACAGCCCAGGATAGCTCATCGCCAAAATGTTGTTGATGACAAGTCAGTTAAAGCAAATGAAAACTTGGCAAAGATTTCTTCTGAAATTTCCCAGCTGCCACTGTAAACAAACTATGAGCAAAATGGATTTAAAGACTCAGACATCTATTATGTTGAATGTCAATGATTAAATCTGCATCCAAGCTGAAATCAATCACATGCTGTGTTCTTACCAAGTTTTCATCATTTTACCTTGATCATGAATTCCTGGACAGACAAACTTAACTTGTATACATATATTTAACTATCTTATGTAACAACAGTGATAAATAGTTTGCAAAAGCTACAAAACAGAACTGCTCGCCTTGGTACAAACAGCAGTTTTGACACAACCAGCCAACCGCTCATTCAAAAACCTGGGTGGAAGACTATAAAGAGCTAATTGAAACTGAACCCAAAAAAATTTTTTGTTAAGAGTTTCAACGAACTCACTCCTCAATACCTACGCAATTTGTTCACGAAAAGCTCACAATATGCCACATATAGTTTGCATAATGCTTTAATTGACCTTTGGTTGCCAAAATAAAACACTACAACGGGTGAGAAGTATTTTTCTTTCATAGGTGTGCAAATTTGAAACAGCCTTTCAGCCAACTGCAAACAAGCAAACTTCTCGAGGGATTTTTAAAAGTCTTAATTAAAGAATTTTACATCTTTTTGTTTTGTAATATCAAGCTAATTGCTCTACTTTATTTTACGTTCTATTATAAACACTGTTTTTATTGTAAATAAAAAACTTTTATTCATAAAATTGTAATTGAGTATGTAATGTAGATGGAGGACCCTTGAAACCAGCTTCTCTGCTGAAGGGCCATCCTTTCTAAAAAATTTAAAATAAAATTAAATGAAATGAAAACCTGTTAACTTTGCCAGTAATTTTAAGCTCCATTTGTGCATTATTTTAGGCATGTTATTTGGTTTTTAAACTTGGTGCTTTTGTTGCAGACAGTAAAGAGTGAAATAATTGAATCAATTGAAAGAGCTATTGACCTAATTCATAAGAGTGCAGCGAAAAGAGGTGGACCGTTAACTGCTGAAGAAAGGAAAAGTCTACAGTAAGAATTTTGCTTCGAACTTTGAATAGGAAATAACAAAAAGCTTATTTATTTAGGGTATAGTCAGTGGTATAGACGTATTATTTGCCTTTAAAATATTTTTATAGACTGGTTTTCTTACCTTTTGGTCCTTTTCTGTAGTTTCATTTTCAGCGAATCTTTTTGCACAATTGGTTTATGAGAATAATTCAAGTTAAGAGAATGATTATTTCATTCGTACACTCTCATACTTGTTAATCAGTAATTAAGATGAAGTTCCACTGAAAAGAAAAAACAAGCAGAAAAAATTTAGGTGAACTTTGCAACAATTTAAAGTAGCTTGTATGCAATTGTTTTTCCAAGAGTTCCTAGATTGTAGTTAATGATTTTGATCAATTTCAGAAAGCTGATATCTCATCGCCAGAATGTTGTTGATGACAAGTCAGTCGATGGAAATGAAAACTCTGCAAAGAGTTCTTCTGAAATTTCACAGCTGCCACTGCAGACAAACTATGAGAAAAATGGATTCAAAGATCCAAACACCTCTCCTGTAAAGCAAGAAAGTAAAGATACGATAGGTGAAGAACAGTATGTCTTCATGGACCTTCCAGATCAACCAAAAAGACAGGCACCAAACCCTCCAAGATCGATTTCAGGAAGAACACAATCAAAGTCCCTTAGAGATAGAAGAAAAGCTCCAGAGCCACCATCTTTGTCCCGTTCATCATCAGGTGCTTAACTCCCACCCATCATTCTTAAAAATAGCTAGATATTTTTGCAAATGATGCACTTTTTCTCCTACACACAAAAAACAAAATATATTAGGCATGCAATGATGTGATCTTGTATCAGTGATGACTCTTAGTTTGACAGAGGTGTCCAATGGTTGCTGGGGAACGTTTCCATGTGCAGTTTCCTTCTTTTGAAATATGCATCTTTTGCAACTGTTAACTTATGTTTTGTAAGTATGTCATTTGAAAATCATTTGCAGAGACTGGGAAGAACAACAAAGAATTACAAAACAGCATAACTCTTGGATATAATAAAGGTCCTATTATGGAAAAATGCAGCAAAGATCATGTATCTTCATTGACCGTGCCAAACGGACTTGGTATGAACATAGCTTCAAAGGTCATGGGGAGGTATAGGCTAATGCTTTAATATATATTTTATGTTATTTTTGTTCTTTCATCTTTTATTGCAGATGCATGCTTTTCTCATTTTTTGCAGCCTATTTCACCTCATGATAATACTTTTTGTTACCACGTTTCCTTTCTTTTATCTTTAATAGGTTTAACTTGGACAAGAAAAAATCCCAAAAAGTTGTCACCTGCGTTCTTGAAGGTATTATGGAAGGGGTTCCTGCTTTATCTGAATTATTGCAGAAAGTTGTGGGAGATTTGCCACAGTTTCCAGTGGTAAGTTAGATGAAATCCTTTCTTCAATAGAATTCCAATATTGTCTGTATCATGACATAGCCACTGCTAATATTCTAGCTAGAGGGCAATTGCCCCTCCAACTCCAGGGATTTTCCATCAATTTAAAAATAGGCTATTTTCTTCCTATTTATACAAAAAATGCTTGCCCCTGCAGCTAATTTTTAAAAAAAAATTCCATTAATGAGGATAAAATCTGGGAGCTACAGTTGAATTGAAAATCGATTAATAGAAGGTTTAGATTTGACAGAATCGATTTTTTAAAGCCATGATTGCCAAGGAAGCAAAATCTTTAAGGTATAATTAAGGGATGAATTTTCACATAAGCTTGTGGAATATGTTCCTGCTTTTTGGTGCCATTTATTAAGAAGGAAACTTCAAATACTTTGATCATGATTCCGAAACTACATATGGCTTCGTTATCAGACTGATGTACCTTAATGCTCATGGCTCCGAACTACAGTATCATTACCAGATTTAGGTGAATATATTACGAAAACACTGATAGAATCGTATTATTTTGAACTATTTAAGTGCTATTTCAAATATTTTCATCTACTTTTACACTGCATGCTACAGTTGAGCCTTTTCTTGGTGGTCTCTGGCAGATATTCTATTTCCCTAATATGATCAGCTAATTGCAAAAACTTTATTTAAATTCTGCTCCTCTCTTTGTCTAATGCCTTAATTGTGAACAAATGAAATACCAGCCTAATATTCTTGAGTCTGATTCTTGAATCTGATATACCAGTTTGATTCTTGAGTCTATTGATAATGAAAATGGGAATGCTCTTGCAGGAAGATATAGTCTTTGGCCCTGAAGATGAACTCCGTGTTATTCTTGAAGATCTTTCAAAGCGAAAAGATGACTCCCAACAAAGAAGCTGGGCATTGCATGAGGATTATCATATCATCGAAAAATTGCTTACCAAACTGCTTAAGCTGTTGGTATGGCGCTTGTTTTTCTACTCGCATTAAAATGTTATCACGTATATATTCTTTAACAGTTTTTTTAGAATTTTTTTTTTGAAATTACCATAATCGAAATATTTTGTTGGCAATTTTGTAAGATTTATCAACCGATGGTACTGAAAAATCAAATTTTGGTAATTCAGCCGATCAAGGAAACTTTACGACCCAAATTTAATAATCATAACATCTATCTGTTAAACAATCCTGGAATACCAATTTCCTGTCTCATGCTTTGTCTTATCCTAATAACACCCTAAACTTTCCTCTGTTGATTTTTTAAGATAATTTTCAGTTTATTGTTGTTTTGCATGCTCTTCGCTTTATTTTGTTAATATTCTGCCTTATATAAGATTTATTTGTTTCCTGCATCGTTTTTCTGCCTGCGTAAAATCTAATGAGGTTTTGCTAGACAGACTTCATGCCATTGTGATCGTTCATCGATTTTTCAGGCAGGGATGGATAAAGCTGTATCGTCCAAGCTTCTTTGTGAAGATGACTACCATTTTCTAAATGATTTGGTTGTTTATTATCAGATGGTAATTCACTTCTTTCTTTCCAAGTCGATTTTTAATTGTTTAATGTGATTATTTATTATTATTTGATATCAATGGAGCACTTTTGCATTGCACCAGTATTTGTACCATTTTATGTTTATATTGTAAGAAATCAATTATGAAGGGATGTTTATGTAAAATTGCACACATTGTTATTCTTCATTTCTTGAGCTAGAAAACTATTAAGAATAATCATGTTCTATTTACATCTAACATATTACGTAAAATATAACATAAAATAGATAAAATATCATGTTTAGCACATACAATTTACAAAATACGTTGGCAAAAAGCCCGGTATTCCAGACTTAACAGAAACCTGTATTATAGGTCTCTGACTGAAAGTAAATTTTCAAGCATTGGCTTGTTAAAAATCATTGAACATAGGTTCTTTTTAAATATGATTTTTCGTTATAAAGGTTTCCAGATTCCTTTAGCAGAACAAACAAGCATTTTGAAATAGATTATTTGCCCAGCTATGACTATCAGCAGACTTTCCATTCTCTATCGCAGGAACCTCGACCTGGTCTTCGCGTTTTACTTATTCAAACCTTTGGTTGTTGTTGTGAACTCGGCTATGATTTTGTTACTCAGTTGCTATGCACGGTGTTACCAACGGAACTGGCAAGAGAACTAATGGAAGTTAAAGGTCAGTGTGCTTTAAACGTTGATTTCGTAATCTTCTCAACTTAGACTTTTCTGGTACACCTTTAGGTATTCCTTTGTGTGTTCCTTTGGGTTTTAGATACTCATCGCTTTGATTTTAAGGCTTACCAGACTAGAATGCTGCTGCTTTTATAGATTTCGAGTTTATGTCCTTAAAGTATATCATAATTTTTACAGATGTCATCTCATTGGCTGTAATGTTGATTGTGAGCAAAACAATTGGGTTACTTAAACCTTTCCCTTAAATAGTTGTAATTTTCTTAAAGACCTCTCTGATTCGGCAGTAAAGACCTCTAACGACCTCTAAAGTAAAAATTGTCAGTTCTTCTTGCCATGCCTTATTTTGAAATGAACCATCAGTGAAATTTGTCATAAGGCTATTTTCATTAACTAACATTTTTTTATGAATTTTGATCCCTTTTTAACAAGGCTTTTTGGCATTTCAAAAGTTAGTGCCACAAATTTATTACCTCTGTATGCTATGCATTACGTTCAAACTGTGTATCATAAACGCATCCAATATAACCATAGTAATGATAGTGTAACATATTATAATTTTGGTTCAGCTAATGTTATATATTGATGATGAGTTTTAGCTAATGTTATAGACAGTGTGCTATTAAAGAGAGACTTCAAGAGACATTGCTTTATTTGGATATTGGTATGGCTCTATTTTATGTTCGTATTATGTGATTTAATTTTTCAAAATGTATTTGTTCCAGATATTACAAGCTTCCTCAACATTGCTCTTCTTCTAACTATGCTATTTTCTACTGGCGAGGCCATTCCTTTACACCAATATGGTAAGTCGAATTTTCTCCAAAGTTTCTTTTATGCTTAGATGGATTTGGTCTTTACTGAAAATTTTGTTTTTGTTTGACCAAGTAGCTTAGGACTGTTTTAAAATTTTATAGAGAGTAGGGAGAATCACATTTCAACCCTGCCAATGAAAGACTTGTTTACACAATTGACATATTTGTTCATTGAATTTATTGATACAATTTCTAACTTGTTGAAGAATAGAGTTTCACTTGCTAATGGCCAGGAGTGTTGCATGCCGGATGGCTATGAAAGAAAAGTGATTCTGGGTTCTGTATCGTCTTTTACCCTATCAAATTTGACCTGGTTTTTCACCCAAGTGCCTAGAAGACAGAACAGAAAATCGATCGAGAGACCCATTTAGCATATGTAGCCTAGGTTTCAGATAAGTGCTTCGATGCAAAGACACAGGCCTTTGGTAGTTTTTCTTATCAGGGAAGGGGGGCTTCTTAGTGAACTTTTCTTGTATAAATGGGCAATAGTCTCTGCTCATTAACAATTCATTAAATCTTTAAGAATCTAGAGCTCGACACACCTTGGGAAATTATAGCAAGACATTCCTGGCTCCAAAATTGTGTAATTAGCTCCTCCCAGTCCCCTCCAATGATATTAATGTGCTTTTAATTGCCCACCATTTGAATATCTTTATTTGTTTTCCTAACAGCACAATTTAACGAGGAATTCCTGGAATTTGTGTTCGACTGCGTAGAGCGACCCCATCTTGATGATAAATACGATCAAATACCGTACAGTCTTGTATCCGTCTTGCTGTCCTTCAACCAGCACATGAAAGGTAAAGACACCTTTATGCCACAATGTCATAAGAACCTTTTATTTTAATATTCCTTTTTACTTTAGCAAATGCAGCAAAATTCAATACACGCTCCATTTTTGGCATGTCTTTTTCAGTAATTAAGATTTCTGTTTAGGTAAGATACAATTTATTATTTTCGGTTGGTTTTAATAACTATCTTCGTTGAGGTTTATATTTAGCAATATCGTAATATGGTATATCAATTTTTTTAAAATTGGATACGTTGATTGATAAGCATTAAGTTTATGCAGAATTATTTAACGTTTATTAAATCTGGCTGTGCTCTCTGAGTATTTATCTTCTTTGATTTTTCCATTTTTCAGATCCATCAGAAAACAGAGTTCTGAAAGTTATTTCTTGTCGAACAGACCTCAAAGTATTTTCCGAAAAACTTCTATTACTGGTGAACAGAGAAGGTAAGTTGATCAAGTATGGAGAACTGAAATTATTCCACTAATCCTTCCTATTTTACAATCTCCTTTCCATTTTGACATTTTTGGCGGAATTTGAATTTGTATTTCATTTATAAAACATCTATATAAGAACTGATTTTTCGCCAGGCTATTTTTCAATGTTATGTTTTCAAGATCTGTTCTCTTCAAGACCTTTCAGGATCATGGACACGGTCATGCTGAATTACTGCTTCCTGTTTAAACTTGTTTGTTGATGATAGATGTTTCTAGCAAATTCTTACATTTTGGGGGCTGAAGAAGTTTTCTTTCTTTATTCTTCCGCAATGCTGCGTTATGTATTCATCTCTCTTTTGCCCTGTCGCTTCTATGCAATAATTTTAAAGCTCATCTCGCCAGCACCTTGTGAGTTTGATGTAACCTAACAAAATATATTCAAAAGCTGATTGGTCATTGGCTAATGCTGCTTTTTTGTCAGTTGGAAAACAGACTTAACTTTTTCCGTTTAGCTAACTGATGTTTCGGTGCTTTCTATCACAATTTGTCTGTAAGAGGATTAAAGAGCAAAAATGTCTACTTTATTTGATTTACCTAATATCTAATTAAAATAATACCTGAAACATAAGGATTATTAAAAGCTTGGTTCATGGTGAAAAAGATGATTTGAAAATGTACATTCCTATCATGCGGTAGAGCCGATCCTCTTTCACCTGATTTCCCTTGATACACCTTTATCGGCGTAAAAATAACATCTGCCTAGGAATTCCTGTCTCACGTCTTTCCTGTCTAAGCACATTCCTGCCTCATGTCTTCATCTTCTCTGTGGCATTTGTACGTCAATCCGTGGCATTCATCCTAGTTGGCAATATGTGTATAAAATGCTATTCGCACTTAAGAATTAAAGAAAAATTTCTTTCAGATGATCCAGTGGCAATATTTGATTATCATAAGCCGGAACCCACCTCTATTTTGAAGATGATGCAAGACATCTTCTCGCAAAAAGAGACATCGAATATTTTTTTCACAAATGATCTGATGGTGCTTATAGATATCATTTTGCGGCAATTCACTGATCGTTGTCCCGGGGATAAGGTAGGCCAAACCAAACTTGATTTCAATGTCTTTTGAAAAATAAACCGTAAGTCATTTTAGCATGGTAATCTTGAAACCAGATAAAACTTGTTTTGGATTTGACATTTGAAGCACTTGTAAATCCATTAAAACAGTTAGATGCTTTATCGCGTTTGCAAATTGATTTTACTTTTGTTCCAATGTTAACAGTTCTTTATTTCCCCAAAGTTCACACAATGGCCTGATTTATCTAGTTTTCGAAACCTTGAAATTATAAAATAATAATATTTGATGTATTTGATGCCAAGCTTTATTTAGAACTCAAAGTTATAAAATTTAAAATTTTTGACTGTCAGGCATTTTATCAAGTAATTGTCAACGTATTGAGGCTAAAATGTTGAAGAGAAGACACCCCAAAGCTAAGTTATAAAAGAGAAGACATCCGATCAATTCAAACATAGACTGTAAAGCTATAATCGAACACTGTCTTCGCAGCGCAAAAAATCCCTTCATGTACCCTCCTTTTCGTTGACACGAATGCTTACTCCTCTTAGTTGAATCCAAAATGTCAATTCGATGCAAACATTTTTGTCCTCCTACTATAAAAAAACTTAAAACGATGTTTATAGGTAACAGCCTTTTTCAAAAAGTCCGTATAAAAAGAAGCTGTTTCAGATCAAGATGTTTCCAGGTTCGTTTCGAGGCTGCCATGACTTCCATCAATCGATTTTCAGTGTCTTTTAATTAACATTCTTCAAACCCATCACTAACAACTTGTTCCCATTTTTCCCTAGGTTCGCACACAGTTTCTGTCGTTATTTTACGACATAATTACGAACTCGAACTATAGAGAGCATCGCCATCGCTGCAACGAATTCGGCGAATGTTTCACCAGCATTCTGGTTGATGAGGAAAGCGAAATCGAAGATGATAAGTATATAGTCAGGAATATTTGCTCGGAATTCAATACGCTGTTCCCTATTTTCATTTAGAATTTTTTAGTGTCTTTGCAAGATTTACGAGGCGTGTAATACAATACGCTCTTCTTCTCTAAAATGTTCCTCGAATTTCGAGCAAACGTAAACGCTTAAGAAGGAGGCACCTAATGAACAAGCATATCAAAGGATCTAAGCATGCCTTCATTTAAATTGGCTGACAATATGTCCCATTTCGTGAATTGCATGGGTTCTTACACAGTATACAAAGGGTTTAACAAAGTATACTATACAGTACAAAAATACTTATGGGAGCTCCTACCCTTGTTGCCCCACCCACTCAGTGTTGCAATTTAAAATCACACATAACAAGCTGACATGGGTGGCGTAACTCAGACAATACTCTCAAAAGGGTGACATGTGGGAAACATTAAAAAATCATTGGAGAGCAAAGAATGCTGCAATCTCGTGCAAAGGGTTTGCTTGTAAGCGACCCAAAGGTATTATTAGTGGTATTGATATTAAGAAGCAATAATTGATGACGTTATATAGCCTGTCGGGCAATACTGAAGTCATATTCACAAACAATGTCAAAGAAGTATTTTTTCGTAACAGGGATCAATTTCTTCGCGCGTATGTGTTGATTATGTGTATTTGGGAGGTATTATAATACGTCTATACCTTTTTACGATTTGCTAGGTTTTTTCATCTCTAGCCACGTTAGTTATTTAGCTTGTGCTTTTGGTTTTGCAATGGGAAATGTAGTAGTAAGGATTCCCAAATAGTTAAAGGTAGGTTAAGATATTTGTAGAGAATGGAAGTTGAATTTAAGTATTTTCATCAGATATGTGTCTATGAATGTTAATGAGTTACAATAACCCGTTTAATGCTTTAAACATGTCTTTGGCTAAATTTGTATGGTAAAAACTTGATCAGTTCAAATCTTGCCAAAAATGTTGGAAAACCCTCACAAAATTATCACAGTTTTTCTAAGCTTTTAGTCAATGGGTTTTCTATTAATATGAGGTGTTTCACTTATGTTTGGCAAGGATTGTAGATTGAGATGCAACGCTTGTTCGCAAGGCAAAAGAAATAGGTTTTATGTTTGACTGATGTTAATTTAGTATTTTGTACAAGGCCTTGGCTGCTTTTACTGTGTCGCGCCGCACCTACCATATTTATTCGAATATAGGCCGCTGCTTCTAAAAATTTTTGGCATATTTTGCTGTGGTTTATAATCAAGAGCGGCTTGCAAACGAGGACGGCTTACAAAAGAGGACGGCTTAAAAAGAGGACGGCTTCCAAACGAAGACGTCTTACAAACGAGGGTGGCTAAGAATCGGACAAATACGGTACCTCGGCAAGTGGTAGAACCTCATTGAGATTCAATGTTCAAAATATTTTGTGCAAAATTTAAAATATACGTTTTGCATATTGACCGAAAGCTGGTGCTGAAGCAGTAATGGCCGATTTTATATGTTCTTTACGTATTTGTATATTTTCACAGGTAGTTAATATAACGTAGGCTGTTACACTATTAGCAATATGACCTTTTCTCGTGGAGTAAAATAAGTTAACATAGCTTACATTGCACTCTTTCTTTAAAATCCAAAAGTTAGTTTATTTAAGTAATCGTTATACACTTTTGCCTTATTGTTGCTTTTTGGTGCCAATTTTCTTTCAAGCAGGACTCCAGATTTCAATTTTATGGAAATCCATGACAAAACCGGAGAGTTTCTTACTAGTCAGTAATGTCCAAGGGTCAGAAATGTAATGGTCAAACGCTGCTAAAATAGTTGAAAATATCAAGTCAATAGTAAAATTGAGCACTAGAAATGATGGGTCATTAGCAATGGCAATATTAAGGATGGAACTTCGTACAAATTGTTTGGAAGCTGCAGAGGGAGTTACCAAAAAATGGTAGGAAAAGAAAAGCAGCTCTGCTAAAGATAAATTTTATTGCGTCTTTTTGTTGTCCAGACTAAAGCAAACTAGAGCAATTGTATTAAACCAGACATTTCTCATGATATGCTATTTTCGAGTAGGATATTCATATTCTTGTGCATCATGATCACATGTCAGGACAATAACATGTATACATATATAATCAGAAGTTTTGCTTTTATAAGCCATAAACGGTAGTTTTTTGTATTCTGTCTTCTTTTCTTGTTGCGCCGTGTCACACGTTATTATCAGGCGATGTTATCTTTGGCTTGCCAGGCCAGCCAGGATTCGAATATTTACCTGGTTTGATAAAGGTGGGAAGCAAAGGGTGATGGTCCGAGAAAATTATGGTGGCCCATGCAAAATTAGAGGCTCGTCCCGGCAATAATTTTTACCAACCATTCTCATTGAAACTAAACATCAACTATTTCAACAGATTCAGGAAAATTAAATAGAAAATCGCTTCTTGCCGTTACCTTGCCGTGTATTGCAAATTATTTGTTCGTTTTATTAGATGCCCGCGCTCTACAAGCACCACTCAATTTTCCCGCGGTTCAGCCCAGACCCCTAGAAAATCAATAATGACGCCATCTCTTCAACACGAGGGTGAAAGAAATTTTTTGTTTACCTGGCCAATTATTTAATTAAAAGCAAAAGAGTGTTTCAACTCATAATATCCACAGACCGTTAGCTTGAATACCAATTGAAATTAAATGACCGGTAAGTTACTATGTTTTTTAACTTCTGCTTGCCAAAATTTTTCTTAAACAAAGTCATGTAAAATGGTCAAATTGGAGTGCACCTTTTCTTATTTAAGCCTGTTTCGACAATACCTTCAAGTTTTGATAACCTTCTTCAGAAAAACTTTGAAAACCAAGGGAGTTTGGTATGGTATATTCAATTCTTTGTTTTCCTTGGCCTTAACCTTAATCACATTAGCAGACCTTAGGAGTAGACTTCCATGTTTTTGGGCTATAGTGACCGGTTTGTGGGCTACAGTAAGCTATAGTGACCCCATGGTTCAAAAGACCGACCATAAATAACATGTGCCTATTCAATAACATCATTCTTAAGATCTAGGGAATTCTCTCCAACCCTTCTACGAAAATAAGCTGGGCACTGTTCAGTAAGAAAATAAGTAGCAATAATTCAGCAAGTTAATCTGGCTGTAACACTCATTTCAAATAGAATTTATTTAGGAAATGATGCAAGAAATTAAACAACAGTAGCCTTCTACTTCTAGCACATCTTTATACATATACATTGTGGTAGATTTGCAACTTCAGTAAAAATGAATATACATGTTTTCCTGTTATCTCTTAGCAACGTTTAGAGTCTATATTAAGTTGCTGAAATGATTTAAATAACTTTTGAACTAAAAATCTGTTCATAGGCAGGTTTTCAGGGTCTAACCTTGTTTTGGGCTTTATTATCACTTTAGAATATGCTGGCATTATTTGTCATGGTATGGGCAGTTTGATTATTTCAAGGCAAGTTGTAGATTGATGAGGTACGTTGGCAGATTGATGAGGTAAAAAGAAAAAAATACTACAGTGGGTGTTTCCACATCAGCTTTGGTTATGACTATATATAATTTCCATGGGCTTTGACAAACTTCACATTAAAATTGAATTGTTTTATTCAATCTGGTTTTTATCTAAAAATCTGCTTTCTTCAGACGTTGTGAAAAAAGGATACCCCAATTTTTTAGCTTTTAATTTCAAGGCTACTAGGTAGTTTAAAATCACATGGCAAAAAAATAAAAGTATACATCTTTATTGGAAGGAAATGAGGTTACTGGAGAATGATCTATGAAATCAAATCTATTGCCACACTCAGCCAGAAAAATACATTTACATATTAAATACAACAAAATTTTTCTAGACTTTTGCATACAATTCTATTGCATAATTAGGTGATGCTAACAACATGAACAGATGTGTCAGTGATCTGGATCTGAAAAGTATCTATCTACCCAGTATCTTCTGAAGAACATTTGCACCCGATTGGATTTCCAGATTCCCATCAGAAATAGAAACAAGACGTACAAAAATAGAATGGATGCTACTGGGTACTTCCTGATTACCCACCATCCTCCTTTTCTTCTAGAAGACAAAATGATTATGGGGGTCACAACTTTGTTCTTATTAGTTAGAATAATAAAGGCAGAGCTGTCTGAATCATGCAGTGTTATCAGAATTTTAAAAACAATGTGATATAGATTTTAAAAATTGCAAAATATATGAAAACTGTAAATCAAAACAATTTGCTAAAAAATCATATAAGTCTAGGTCTGATAATATTTTGGCTGAGATCAAAGTTCAAGAAACTAGGCTGAAGCAAGGCATATTTTAAAATACCTATGAAATTTTGCCAATAAAAAGGTTGAAGATACTTAATATATTAGCAGTGAAGTCCAACAGAATTTACACAACCTGATAAACAAATTCTAAAAGCAAAAAAGTTATTTCTAATGGAACATTCTGCAAAAGAGCCAACAGACTTATCAAATAAATAAATACTAGGGAATATTGCAAACGAAAAATAACATTATAAGACACATATACATTAAGCCTCATTTGCATAATGTTGATAAAATACCTTTGTTTAGAAACTCTTTTTGAAAATACCAAGACATATTTCAGCCTTAACAAATCACTGCTTGTTACAACAAAATACTTTTCTGGCACATCACCAGCTTGAGTGTCCTTTGCTCGTGATCTTGATTGATTTCCATTCTTTACCTTGCATTTTACCAGCGGATGATCAACAATTTCACAAACCGCTATACAGCTCATCTGATGGCCGAAACTTGAATGTTTCCATATATCACCAGTTTTTGAATAGGGCAATGTAACAGCAACATCCTCACTCAAGTAGACTCCTTCTCCAAAGAGAGCATTCTTTATAAAAAGAAAAATATTATTGAATGTTTGAAAGGCTCTGCATTGCTTGAGCAAAGAAAAAGGTTATCAAACAGATAAAATTCCCTTGAACAGATCTGATGCCTAAGAAATGGATTTAATTTGGAATTAGATATTAGTTAAAATCATGCCAGTAATGGTTTCCTCTTAAATGGACACTAAAGTGGAATATCTTAAAAACCAGAAAACCATAAATGGGTTGAAAAAGCATGGCACAATTACTCAATTATTAAAAATCAAAACATATCATTTACTTGAATGACATGAGAAAATGCAAATTGGTTTTTATAAAGGTATTGTGAAATTAAGCTTGAGAATTGCAAAAACTAACCTTGGTCATATGAACTTGTAGTCCATTATGAAGAATGGAATAGAAGTTATCAAGCCTACTGCCATGGTATCCAAATTTGATATTATAACTTTGACCATATTCATCAAATTTTCTGCTGCTGTATGAATTCAGGTATTTTATTTCAAACATATAATCAGGCTTGATGGAAAAGCTTGACTTTCCAGTCTTCTGCTCCAATTCCTTGAACTAAATGACAAGATAATCATTATAAATAACCACTGTAAAAAATACTCTATTCCTCAACCAAGATTAGTGTCAACTAAAGCTGGAATTGTCTCAAATCTCTGTTTTGGACCTTAAACTATAAATTTGTAATTCTAAAACATGCACAAGATATGTCATTTAGCCATTTGGTAATTATGGAACATAATGCTATAAATGTATTTGATAACCAAATGGTTAGAAGCCAGAACTAGCTAAATTTAGATGGTTTCTGCAGTTACAGGTGGTTTTTACTTTAATAAATTTATATAATAATGTTTACCAAATCCTCTTTGCAACTCTCCACTGCATATGACCTTTCTGATATGATCCAATGAAGAAGGGTTACTGCTTCTCTTGACAACCTTGATGGGTGACTGATAAATTCTTGAACTGAAGGTAATTGACTAAATACATCTTCCTGTATAAAGTGTAAAGAAAAATGCTCTTTATTAGTTTTGATTTTTTTAGAAGAACACCCCAATTGTGTTAGTTAAAGCCATATCAATGGCAGGAAGAGCAAGACATTTTCAACTGCATGTTTATTAAACTTACTTCATTGAATTTTGTTAAGTGTGCATCATGTAATTATGTTAAGTAAGCAAAGCTACAATTACAAAAAAGTTATCTGTTATCACAATAGTTGAAACCCTCCAGCTTACCACATTGTGAATGTTTTTTGTTCCATCATTTTCCGTAAACGCTGGAGGGAACGGCAACAAACATGAGTTTTTCCTGTAGCTTAACAACGCAGCAGAAAACATTGCAATTTTAAATTCCGCGGCTGAACGATCTTCTTTTATTTTATTAATAGTCTCTTCGTAAATTTCTTGTAGTGCTGCTTCCATTTTGTCCCAAAAAATAATGTGGGCCTTTTAATTACCACCTGTTTTTAATTACCACCTATGTAGTTAGTTGGTCTATCCAAAGCTTCCTCCGCCGAACGATCCTTTCATTTCGAGATCGTAAAGGCTGCAGGAACAAACTCTATGGTGAACTGAAGGTTTCTATATAAGCCATCGTAGATTCTAATTAAGACACCTTTAAACCAGGAGCAAAGCAAAAATTGTTTCGAAACTTCTTTCTAGGATTTTACTTCGGTTGTTGTTGGTTTGCTTGTGTTTGTCGTTCTCAGTTTCGCGTGGCCTCGTTTGAAATTCCTGTTATCCATGGCTACATATTAGGGGCTACATAATAGGGGCTACATGGTTGGATACGAAATTAATCTTGTGGCATGTACAGGGGCGAACTGGCTAATTTTTTTGGCCCGGGCAAATTTTGATCAAACCGGCCCACAAAAATAGCAAATAAGAAACTCCTCGGAAAATGCAAGTAAATGTTAGTCTGTAAGGAAAACAAGTTTTTAAATTCAGTAATTGTGTGCATGGATGAATGCTGGTTAACAGAACATGTTGAATAAGTCATTTGCTGACTAAATAGTAAATAAACAAAAATTTTAACTCATTGGTTTGACTTTCTTTCTAAATACAGTAACTTATATGTTGATAATGTGATCGTTCTAGATGTCATCTAACAGGTGTTTTTCTAAGAACTCCAGGTTTGGCTGCAAAAAATTACCACGTAATCTGTTCTTTATATATTTAAAGTGGAAAAGCTTCTATCACACTCAACTTGTGACAAATAATTTTTTAATCCTCCGGAAAACCACAATGATTTTCAGCAGCCCAAAAATATCGATTTGTCAATTTCTAACCCCAAAAAGAAAACATGGGCACCCCTGTTGATATTTTATCGTGTAGCACCATTATCGTGTAGTACCTGTTGGGCTGGGTGCCATTTGACTTATGATAGTATATGCCTAATAAATTTACCATAACTTGTATGAGTTTATTGAAAGGAGCAAAAGCAAGACCCTGCTAGCTTTGTATCGTAGCTGAATCCTTTTTTAAGTCTCACAGCTTTTCCTCACGAAATTTCTGTGCACCACCTTTGGTTGAAGTCTTCTTGCTCTTTCCTTGTTCTACGCATGTCCTCTTCATTACTTCACATTACAGAGCAAATCGCTTAGTGAACTCTAATTTTTGGACTTTTAAATTTATTACATTTAGCAATAGCTTGTGCTTAGGGAAAAACATGACCAGCTTCAAGCAAAAGCTAAGTAAAAAGACATCGGGGCAGGTTAAAATCTCAAGCCTCAGCAAAACGACTGGACATTTTCACTGAACATGGACTGGACAAATGTCCAGCGTAAATGTTGCGTCGTTTTGCCACCTTGTCCAGTGTTGTTCAGCGATGTTGAATGTTGTTCAGTCGATTTTGAAGGCAGCCAAAAATGTTCAGTGCACAGGATTAAATTTCTTTTGCTCACTGATGTTGTACAGAAATTGTTCAGTCGTTTTGCCACTCTACTGAACATTGTCCAGTTCGCGCACGCGCAATCGATTAACGGTTTGGATTTGGCGTCAATTTATTTCCCATATTCAAATCTTCAACAAACTTTCCTAGTCAACACCGCGAACGAAATGGAAACAACGTGAAAATTCAATTCGACCAATAGCAGAAAAAGGCATTTAATTAGTAACGATGAATCTTCTGATCAGATAACCTTTAGTTGCGATAAGGAAAGCGATGTCAGAGAGCACGAGGACGGTGATTTTGATGAACCTAGCAGTCCTAGCCACTTTTCAATAATACACTCTAATTCATACGATAACACGGTTAGGGCCATGAAAAGTGTATTTTCAAAGGTAAAGAGATGTCCTGTTGTCAGTTTTTCCACCCGCATTCTTCAACAGGGAAAAAGTTCACTGGACAATGTTCAGTCGTTTTGCCATAACCAATATTTTCTGGATGTCCATACTCTGAACAATGAGCAATGTCTAGTGTGTGACCAGTGCAAATGTCCAGTCGTTTTGCCGGCGCTTTATGTATCGCATTGAAACAGGGATGTTACAGTATAATATGTCGCCAAAAAGGAAATACCGTCAAGAGAAAATATAACAAAATGTCAATAACATGTTCCCTGAAGAAGTGTGTATATTTATTCTTTCCCACAAAGTCTCTGAAAATTTAAGGCAAACAGATTAACGCATGGGTGTACTTTTTTGCCTCGTATTCACTTTTTAAGCTAATTTATTTTTTGCACTTTTATCAACCGGCCCTTAAACCGACCGGCCCTTAAACCGACCGGCCCTTAAACCGACCGGCCCTTAAACCGACCGGCCCTTAAACCGACCGGCCCTTCGGGCGATCGCCCGAATAGCCCGACCAGCCAGTCCGCCTCTGGGCATGTATCCTGTCTGGAAGCCCTTTTTCCATTTTTCGTGCTATGCAGAGACGCTTGAACGACCAAAGGGCAAGGGGGGCAGGTTTCAGTAAAAGAGCATTTGAAAAAACTTCCAGTTCTACCAAATTGTTTTGTAATTGTCTTATTTTTTTGATTTTTTGTAGGCGTCTTTTAAATGGACTTATGTCATAATAATTCTTTTACAGGTTTTGAGAAATATCGTCATGAATAAGACACTGACTACAGTCAGGATTTTGTATGAATCTCTCTAAAAATTACAAAAATTTGTTCGAGATCGTTTATGAAAATGACACTTTTGAGATGGGCATGTTTATGAAAAGGGCACTTTGGCCCCCTTGTCATAACGCGGCTCCCCCTGCCTCCCGCTCCCCCTTCTCCGGCGTCCCTGCGGCTATGGAAGCGATTTCTTGAAACAGGAGGCATGCATGGAACCCTTTCTACAATCGTTGATTAGATTAGAACAAGGGTCATTTGCTCCCAAAAAGATAACCTGCACTTACTGCCTGCACAGCAGATAAATTGCTTTTTGATACACAAATCTCTCTTAAGAGTTTGGGAAAGAGAAAGAGATCATAAAAAGAGGAAAGATAGAGAGACTTGGAACAGGTTCACAATGTAGGTAAAATTGATATGATTTTATGATGAAAGTATGAAAAGCCTACAGAGAAAAAATTGCAAGGATACCCGTTCGTCGAAAATGCTCTTTTCTATAATTTTAGAAGAGTCAAAGCCTAGTGAAATTTCTTTATATCTTAAAGTTTTCGGTGCATCATTAAGCTCTATGAAATGTTTTTCCTTTACAATACATTTTGCTCGTACTTTCCTTATTCAGAACGCCAAACTGAGATTAATTTTACAACTATTGTGCATGTGAAATCTCCTGTTTTTCTCTAATTTCTTCCATTCTACGAATAAGTAGCCTTGCTTGCAATAAATACCATGTTTCTAGTTCACAAACGTGAGTACTCTTGAAGGGAGGAAACAAACTAGGGCCATGAATACCAAATCATTCATATGCTAAATCTGAGTGAAGGAGAAGGGGTGAACGGACACCCCTTGCCTTTGCTGCCATGATGTCAAAAAGTCTGTTTGAAGCAAGTTTTAGTCGGTGAATCAGTATGTATTCATGCGCATCTCTCCTCGTCTCTGTCTCTCTCACTTTTTACTTATGCTCTCTACGTAGGCAAAAGATGTCAATGGACGAAGAAAGACACAGACATCTACAGTTCTCAAAGGAAGAGACATTCACAAAAAGGTATTTGAAGGTATAAGACGTTCATGAAAATTTTAGGAAGCAAAACCAGTTTCAGGAGATCTGTATCATTGAATCTGGGAGGAATAGGGAGACATGCATAACTTGTGAAAAGTGTCTTTGAAGTCAAAGTGAAAGGCGCTATTTGGTAATCAAAAAAACGTTCCGTTAAAAGCTGCTTTCCTATCATTATTGATATTTGACAAAACGAGCTCTGATCAACTATTGGTCACTTTTTTCAAGGCTGTTATTGGGCTATAAATGGCGTGGCAAGGTCATTGATTGTCTCGGTTTAGTGCTCCTGAATTGATGCAGACCTTGATACTTTAAATTCTTATGACGTACCATTCTATGCACGCAAATTATTTGCGTCATTCGCCAAAATATTTTTTTCTCATCTGTCTTTATTATAGTTTTTCCTGTTTTTGGAAACTTCTATCAGACATTTCAAGGCATGCATGCTCAAAGTAGTAGGGGAAGCTGGCTAAAAAGAAATATAAAACATGGAGACAGTAATAAGATGCTAATTAGAACCAATGATTTTGTAGAACGAGATGAAATCTATGCTAGTTTTGCATTCAGACCATTACACAATCGTGTTTATTACATAAACCGCAACATTATACAAACAAAGATCAGTTAATTTATACAAATTACTGGTTACAAAATTATCTTCAGTTTTAACAGTCTTAGAAGCCTAAATCAATGTACTGTACAATACATTTCAATATATTAAATTTATTAGCTATTTCTTTGAACAACAGGGAACAGCATTTTCAAGTAAATTTTCTGAGGTAACCCGATTCATCAATGAATCGCCGTTTTCGCCTAAGACATGCAATGTTATACTAGTGGAAACCAAATCTTAGTCAGTCATCTCTAAAATTCTTTACCTCGTTGGATAGTTTAATTTCAAAATTGTGGATTCAACGGGAAAATATTAAGGCCAAGGCAGCAAGCATATTTTTAGAAACTTTTCAATTATTTCTTCGCAACTTGGAGAATAAAGTAAGTAAAAACTTTCTTTGTCAATTTTAAGTGATATATTATATGTATAATTCAAAAAGTTGACGATTTTGAATCGAAATTTGAAAATTAAGCTATTCTGAAAAAGAATTACTACAATTCCTGGTTTCTACTCGTATCAGCATATGTTTTGATTTTGGCGATGAATTGACAAGCGACTGTGAAGCAGCATCCCCTGTCTGCGAAGGCCCGTTAAGTTGCGGCGAGGCGCACGTGTGTTCGGGCGAGCTATTCTCAGATTTAACGTCTATTTGAATCGGCAGCTCGTTCTGCCGCGAAACTTCTGCAGCATTTTCCTCTTCTAATTTCTCATTGCTCTTATCATCAGTACACGAGTCTGAAAAAGTCTTCATTTCTAACGACATATTTTCTCTTTCCTCTTCAACTTTCCGCTTCCGTCGTTTCCAGCGTTTATATATTTTCTGTATTGTTATGGCAGCATTGATTTCTTGTATCCTCTGAGCTGTTGAACTCAACGTGGGGTCCTTAGCCCTTATTGGAAATGCTGATAACAGTTTGCTCTCAATTGTGTTTGAAATATATTTGAGTGTTTCTTCGTCTGTCTCTTCTATATGCCCGACGACAGTGTGCTTAAGAGCCGCAAGCAAAACGTCCGCGCAGTGGATTTTGTCGTTGTCTCGAATTGGAATTGCTAGCTTCAAACACGCGGTCTCGTTAGGTTTAGATATTTGTAACGGAGGGTCCAGCTCGTCTAAGAAATCTGATAAACGCGAGTATTCGATGTACTGTGTCGCATGGGGATCGTACTTCTGCCAGTGACTGTAAAACATTTGAATATCATCATCAGTGACACCGATTTCTTCGTCCTCTGTTGCCTGGTTAAAATTCTCAAGAATCACAGCTATATACATGTTAACAATAACCATAAATGTAACTAGAATAAACGTGACCATGTACAACACGGCTAACCAGGGTTGACCACAGTTACCATTTGGTAAACCACGGTATGTGGGGTCACAATTTGGTGGCTGGATCATCAGCGAATCTAGTATTTCATTCCACCCTGCGGATGTTGAAAGACGAAACAACACTAGCATACTTTGGCCAAACGTCTCAAAATTGACCACCTCATCGATAGCTCCTGTTTTCTTCACGTGACCGAATGACGTCATCCCGATAATAGCATATATAAACAAGGTAAGGAAAAGCAAAGTGCCGATGTTGAACAAAGCAGGCAGCGATATGACCAGTGCGACCAGCTGCCTCCGTATGCCTTTTGCTGCTTTGAAATACCTCAGTAAGCGCCCGATTCTCAACACACGCATCACACGAAGAACATTTGGGGTGACCATCAAGTTTACATTCAAGAACTCCAGGACGATTCCTAGAAATAGAAATAGATAGAAATTTTGTAAGGGCAAGTTGAATGAATTAGAAAAGGTTGAGGTAGTATTCAGTTAGTCTGTTAATCAATTGAAAGTCATGCAGCTTTTGAAAAAATGTTGTCAGGTTTGTTGGCAGCTAAAGACTCGTTGCTAGCAATAAACCATTGCGCTACGCAAGAATCCCATAATGCATTTTTAGACAGTCTGAAATCAATTCTGGTTAATCCGTAGAAGTTTATTGCTATTGTTTGGGTCGTTGCCTGGACACTGCCACGCTCGCAAAGGCTCATTGTTAGCAATGAGTCTTTAAGGTAAAAGCTTAGCAGAAAGTACAATGTGCTTTTAGAGTCGAAATCAAAGATCATTGGAAATAGTGAGGAAGATATTGCAATGTAACTAAGCTACTTTGATTGAAGAAAAAGTTAAATGAAAATGTCGTCAATATGAATGGTCTTAGCGATTTGGAAAATTCTTTGAACACATTGCAGTGCCAGCTGCCTGCTTTACTCTGCAATAATCCTCTACAATACTTAAAGTAATATTAGAAAAAATGAACTAACCTGCAATCGATAACACTAAAACAATAAAATCGAACACATTCCAAGCACTACGGAAATACTGAGCCTGCAGTGCCAAGATCTTGAGGACGGCTTCCAGGACAAACAGTACCGTAAATCCAATGTTGCAGTATCGTTTTAAGTGTTAAGGTGCTGTAATACTAAGACAATAAAATCAAAGATTCAAGTAAACCTTTGAACTTTCCTTTACTTGGTTTCATCTTTTTCAGATATTGATGTTGATTTATTACTCGATTTATTTCGATCTATTTTTGTTGTTGGTTATTTGATTACAAAATCGTTTTCAGATCGTTGACGAAACAATGCGAATGCCTACATAAACTTAGACGTTAAAGTTTTGATGGTATGCTAAACTCATTTTCGACGTGTATCTCAAAGAGTACATGGATTAAGCCTATTCAAAAAATGGCACTGACTTTAATTAAATTATGTTCAAGTTCAACATTGGTTATACGAGCAAACATAATGTTATGTATACTTATAAAGAATAAAAAAAAGGGGAAGACAGAAAAGGATATTGAGTGCAGTTGTGATGGAGTCAGGTTGCTCATCGTGACTGATCATCATCAGGAACATGTTCAGGAGTATAAGCACCATAATGAATGTCTCGAATTTCACGCTTTGAATGAAATCAAACAGATTTGCCTGCCATTGGACCTGAATGGAAAAGACAGCGAAAACAATAGCTAGATTATTCAATTTGAAAAGTAAGGTTGTTAGTTCGTATCAGAGTACGAATCATTCTAAGAATGGAAGATGCAAAGTCATGAGTCATGCTGCTATGAACGTAAATGACCTAATAGCCTCTGAGAACTCTAAGGTCAAAGGGGTGCCCAAAGAAACAAATATTTGGTTATTCAAAACAGAACGTGTAAGAAATGTATCAAGTAGAAACATGATGCATTTAGAATACATGAAGCATGGTTCATTAAATCGTTGCTGCTTGAAATTCATCGGTTGAAAGGTGGATTTTGCAAAATGCTATAAGCACTGTTCTGTGTAAAAAATTTCTCGTGGTCTGTACATTGGACCATAAACAACTAGCCATTGTCATTGCCTGTATTTCACTAGAAAGATTATTGGCAAGAGAGTAAACACGCATACCTCTGGCCTATAGAGACTCTTCTTAGGTTTCTTGTTGACTGCTTTCCTTAGAGTGTTAAACCAAGTTCTCTGGTTGCTTGTGAGGAAGATGCTAAAATCTCCACCATCGTCATACTGGTATATGAACAAAGTTTATTTGTGAATAACAGTAATTAGAACAAAGAACAATTATGTTAGGACATGAACAGATTTTAAGTAGGCGCATTCATACCTGGGGAACCGCCTTGATTTCATTTAACAGCATCAAAACATTATTGCATAAAATATTGCATGGTAACTATAATCTAATTGTTTTGCTTGCATGGAAAGGCAAAAGGCAGCATCTTCTTTCTTTTTGGAAAAATCGTTTTCGTTTAAAAAATATGCGGTGTTTGCAAAATAATAACAATTTATTTAACAAATACTCACCCTTTTCTTCATTCTGTAGAAATTGTCGATTATAACACTAATGAAGAGATTAAGCACAAAGAACGACCCAATTATGATGAAAATCACAAAGTAGAAGTAGGCGTAGAAGTTCGCTTCGAATTTTGGTTGCTTGTCGATCTGCAAAAAAGTTCAACATCAATTTTACCAACAAGTTATCTGAGATTGTTTTCTGTTTACAGTTAATACAAAGATCAACATAACAAACAGCCTTAAAAGCATATTCTTTTTTAAGATCAGTTTATTGAAAGATCAGTTAATACTGAATGTATTAACATCTTTTTGGTCTATGCATTTGCCGGCATGTTGAATATATTAGTAACCATGGGCCAGATCTACCTCTTTAAGTCCTTATTGTGGAGCGCCTTTGTGGGTCTGCCCATAGACAGAGTTAGGTACTTGGTACGGATGACCCCTCCCCCTTTGGAATCAGACACCAATCACAGAATTTTGTGACCAAGTACAACATATATCGACCAAAAGGGGAACGACAGTGGCCATAAAAATCTAATAAGTGAGTTTCCTGCTGAGTAAACAGCTATTTCGATAAAAAGCATTGCTAAGGACTTGCCCGGTAACGTTGTTTCTAAAGTTGCCTTCTGGCAGCTCAGGATAAGGTGGGTAACTTTGATTTAACTCAGTAGGGAAAATCAATCATTTTGAAATATACTCATACCCCAACTGCATCGACAGCATCCCTCATCACCTCCATCCAACCTTCAAAGGTTGCCTAAAAAGAAGTAATATTATCCATAAAACATTGCAAGTTGAATCATTGCAAGATAATTTTTAGATAACAGATAAAAACATAAGCTAAACGAACTTTGATTAATACAACAGCCAGTCTCTGCACTGAATATAATGATTATTCGAGTCTGTGAAATGCATAAATTGGCAACATCAACAAAATGTTGAATTTTCATTTGGGGAAAAAGATGCACTTTAAGCATGGTTTATGGCGATTTTCTCCTAAAGATATAGTTAGTGGATACATGATGTACGGATGTATGAAACATTGACTTACCACTTGTAAAAGTGCTAGAAAGCCATTAAGTGCATTATCAAAATTTGCATTCGAATTCATCCAATAATGGTTCGCACTAATGCAAGAGTTTCGATCTTGAATGATTTTAGCTGATAAAATTAGGCCACTTTCATCGACACATTTGTAGAATTTTCCGCCAAAGAATTGGACTCCCATGATACTGAAAATCAACCAGAACATCGCACAGACCAACAAGACATTTCCAATATTGGGTATTGCTTGGAAAAGGCTGTTCACCACGATCTAGGGAATATAAAGAGCATTTGCTGGAACATAATAATTATTCACAGATTTCATTAAAAGCAGAAACTTTTTGCAATACAGTATTTTAAATTCAAGCTCTGCTTTGCTAAGTTTTTGCAAGTTTATAAAAAATTAAGATGATAGCTTTTAATACAGCCAGTTTTAGTTAAAGTGTTACACATAGGAAACATCTTTGATTATTAAGTATCATATTTGATACCCATTTAGGGTTTAATTGTACAAAAGTTTTTTTAGATATATAAATTTATCAAAAGTGCGAAGATTCAAAGACAGTCCCAGACTTTTGCATAACGAGAGGCGTCAGTCGGTAATGGCGAAGTTTCTTCCAATGTCTTAAAAGAACGGTATAAGGCTCACCTTTATTCCCTCCCACCTGGATATAGCTCGCAAGGGTCTCAGTGCTCGTAAAGTTCTGATAGAGCGAAATGCACTCAGGCTTCCTTTGCTGTTTGTGAAACTGCCGATAACAGCTGCGATTGAAATCTGTTAAGAACAAAAGCTGCCGTTAATCAAGAGATTTAGATTGATGGCTATATTTAACCATTAGATGTATTTACTCATTATTATAGCAAAATGCACGGTGGTGTGATGGGCTGCATGCTACAGCAATACATTTAGAATACTACGCATGGATATTTACTAGGTTTCTGCGAGTTTGCTGCATATATCATTATGACCCACCTTGAAAATACTCATTTATTGCTACGTTATTTTTACTCTCTTTCATTCTCAAAGTTGGTTGTCTCATTCTCATAAATTTTCTGTTGCGCCCGCATAGAGAGAATACGGTAAAAGATACGTTCATTGAATTGTGTCTTGCTTCAGAAAGGCCGTTGCGAGACTACATTATCTTTTGAAAATGTATAACGTAACAGTGCTCAAGACAGGGATACTCACAACAACGATGAAGAAATCCAGGCAATTCCAGGGATTTCTCAAGTATGAATACACCCCCCAGCCGATGATCTTCATGCAAAATTCTAAGAAAAACACCAAACAGAAGAAGATATTCAGCCCTTCCAGGAACGTCTCTAACGTCGGTTTGCTTGGAAGATGGATGTCTTCAAACACCTTGAAATCAAAAGATTAAATAAGCCCTTCTTAATCCAAAATTTCAATATGGCACTATAAAATCATAATACATAATACCAAAGTATTCGAGGCATCTGATATTACGTGCATTTTTGTGAAATTCTTTCATTTCAAAAGAAATGCCATTTCAAAAAGCTCTATTACAGATGGTATTATGTACAAAACTTTGTCTTAGAAATCAAGTCATCTACATATACAAAATAGAGGATGAAAATCGTATTCGAGATGAAAAAGTATAACATAGCTGCAACATTGTTCAATGAAAACACCTGTAGTATTTGAACATTGTCTGCAATATTTGCAAATGAAATTAAAACCAAACATTGAATGGTTTGTTGCTTGATATGCAGACATTCTTAGTCTTTTCTTTCACCGGGCACCTGTATTTTCGGCAGATTTTGCAGTTTATGCGAACATTTTTGAATTGCTAATGTGCACAAAATGCAGGGAATTGATAGAAATAGACCTTTGTCCTTCTGCTACATACTTCATAGTCTTTTGTTGTATTCCAATCAATGACATTTTAATTGTTTAGACTTTTAAATACGTTTGACTATATAATTTTGGCAGTCTTGGTAGTTACTTGGTCATTTTATTGTCCTCAGAAAGTGGTTGGACCTTATGACGGGCAATTGTTCTTAGGCCACAAAAATACAATCGTAACTTACAAGTACAGAGCTGCTGGCTATGATGAGCACAAGGATTCCGTTGTCAAACCATTTGTTTTCCACTATCTTTCTAAACACGATTCTGATCTTCAAGAATTCTTTTTCACGTTTGCCACAGCAGCCTGAATTCGACCACGGCAAGCTGGCAGCTAAGGAGCAACATGGGAAGCAAGGCTGAGGATCGTCAGCAGAGACAGTCTCTTTTTGGTTGTTATTTGAAGTGTCCTCTTTGATTGGCTGTAAAGTCTTGCTCTTCTCTTGGGCTATGGCTTGTGTGATTCTACGACGCTCATCGTCGTTATGTCGCACTGATGCCTTCTTTTTTGTTTTGTCAACTATTGCTGCGAACTAAGAAAATTTTATACTTAGGCAACTTGACGTTTTTGGGAAGTACAATGGTCTAAATTGATCTACCGAAAAATTAGCGGCCTGCATTCGAATGATGCATATGTTCCACAAGGCACTTAGTATAAACTCTAATAAAAAGACTAGAAAGATCTCAACTATCTGTATGTTCTTTGAGGTGGTCTCGTGCAATTTGACTGTTTAAGCTACTGTTGTTAATTCTTACCATTCCTATATCATCGCACAGTACAAAACATACGCGTTTCTTGGCAAATTACGCCTCTTCTCCCTCTTCTTTCTCTAGAGGATATACACGATGGCCTGACCAATATGTACGTTACACCGAAGAAATGTTATTGTACAACATTTGATAACAAGGACAGATGTGATTCTTACCCGTGGTCTTTTAGTTGGCTCTCCTTCTGAAAAAAAAATTTTGTTATAAGTTTCTTGCTCTAGCTAAGTTTATGCATTAAATTTCTGTGCTGTTAATGGTGATACCAAGGAGGAAAATAGAACTTTAATTGGAGTTCACCGAGGCTCCTCCAATTTTTATATCTTGGGTACGATTTTAGAAGCGATAAACTTTGCACTTTAGACCTTTTTTCTGAAGGGTGACATAGAAAATTGTTCCTTTACTTCATCCTATAATTTGCTATCTAGCATATGCTTGAAAATCGCCATGCGTGTAACAAAAGGTGGGTTATTCTTAGACCGGCAAGGTTGGCTCTTGTAACAATAGTAGATATCTGGCAATTCTATCTTAATTTTGTTTCACATCTGCTAAACACAGTTGAGTAATATTTGAAGCACGTACACAGTCAAAATATAGAATCAAATCCAAACTAAACTGCCTAAGCAACTTAACATGTCTTTTACGTCATCACGTATAAAAAGCCAGGTATAAATGCATTAGTGGCCTGATTTACTCGCACTGTGGCTTGTAGTACCATTTTCCTTTATTGAATTATGGCTATAAGAGGCTTTCACTTTATTTATTAGCTACGAATTTAGACCAGTATATCCTATTAAAAGCCAACGATTATGCTGTTTAAGATATTTCATATGCTACCACAAAGTCAGTATCGTAAGTCTGCCAAACATGGATTTTATCCGACATTTTACCCAATAAGGTTATCACACTGAAGTATTAATGGTAAATTTATAATGTATAACGAGGCACGTAATGAGAGATTCTCGATATTTCGTTTTGCAAGACAAAACGTCGTACTTTTCACAGCAAGTTGATGACCAATCTTGGTTTTTCAGATAAAAAAATCAAAGGTTTTTGTCGCAAACAAATGTAATAAACTCTCCGAAAACGAAAAACGTCTTCTTTAATAATTCATGCCATTTCAATGTGAAGGAAATTTTTGAATTGCACTCTTTCTTAATGAAACATTTCCTCTTTCTAATAACCTTTAAAATGATTTCTTGATTTTTTCTGTACATGTTTTTCTTACTGCTATCATTTATGTTCGTTTAACTGGCTTTCTGAAAATTAGTCTGTTGCTGACAATTACAGTTGGCGGAGAAAGTAAAAAGTTAAGAACCATATAATTTATAGAAAGAACCAATGTAATTCATGACTGTCAAAAATTTTAACATAGGACTTCTCAACTGGTTTTTTCTTCTTCACGTGATGACTACATTAATAGCATTACCGATTGGAGGAGGAGCTGAGTTACCATTCTAACCTGAACAGACAAACTATGATATCCGGTATGGTTTAGAAGGAGTTTCTTGTAAATATTCATGGAGTAAGCCACATTTTGGTGAAAATTTGCATGAATTATTCAAAATAATCGCACCCTCTAGTATTATCATGTATTGACTTCAATGTCTTAAGAAACAGATAAACATTTTCACACAGAAGTGGGACTTTTGTTTCATTTGAATAAACCAAAAGCATAATTTATTTAAACTTTCCTCAAGATTCTTGCAAAGGTCTTTTACAAGGTCTGAAACATATGATAGCAGCCTCGTAAGAACTATCAATGGAAAAATCTTTGGTTAACTGTTTATGCTTAGAAATGATTTTATTTTTGGAATGAAGTTTTAAACGCATGTTGCTTATACCTAATTGTATATCAAGGACATCATTTCTGCCCCTTTGCTGTAATTGATTCAGATATATCGGAGATAGAAGGTGAGGAGGGGTTAATAAAAGTGAAAGAAACGGTTTCAATTAAGCTATACCAATGTTTCTCCCAGCAGCAGTAGTAACCAGCTTCTCTTGGCAGTCAATGTGAGGGTTGAAAATGAGCACTCTAACTGCATAGAAATTGCTGACTGTCTGACATACCAATAATGTATTCAAACATACAAATGTGACGTATTCGTATATAAATGTAAGTAGCATTTTACTCACCACTGGACTGTGGTGCCCTAGCTCCAAATTTTTTTAGTACACTCTGGAGTGTTAAGATCTTTTTCAGTCGTTTGATTTGATTACGTCGTTGCTTGTCTCTTCGTTTCAATTCCTGCTCAAAGGCCTCATCAGCAAGTGAACTCAAAAGCAATGCTAGAAACAGATTCAGCACCTAAAACAAACCAAACCATTCAGTTCATTTCGCCTATGATAACTAATATGCTTTTATGACGTCACAGTTAAGATGTAACTTTCATGTATGAATGCCCTCCTGATATAGAAGGCGCTGCAGCGATCTTGCAATAATGGTAACCCCAAACCATAATGATAACAAACATGATTACTGCTTATGGGTTAAGTACTCTGCACATGACAACTGTCTTTGTTTTGCTGTGTTGTTATTGGTTACAGAGCAGTTCTCTGAGGAAATCCCTTGATATTAACATACAGATTTTTAACAATGCGCTTTGCCAACGACCGTTTTCTTTTGCTGAAGAATAAGGAGACTGGATTGAAATATTTGGCACCATAATTATCATCATAACCTTTTTACTGGCATTCAAAATGATCAAATTCACAAGTAGAAACACAATTATATTACCAGAAAGTTGCCAACGACCAAAGCTGGCATGAAAAATGCTATAGACCAAGTAGAAGTAGCTTTCATGCAATCATACAGTGGCTCAATCCACTCTCCACAGAGGATTCGAAACAACATCATGAAGGAGTGCGGAAAGTCGACGAAATTCCACCTCGGTGTCTAAGGGAGAGATGGATTTTGATTAATCAAAATGAAATAGGTATTTGAAAATGTGCATGCAAAATATTTACAAACTATGCAGCCGTGATCTGACTCAATATAAATTTGATTTCGTATATTGTTTGTGTTAGTCCTTCATCTGGGTCTTAAAGCAGGCAATAATTACCATTTTGTGTCGTGTATTGCAAATTCACATTAAAAATAAAGTGGATTGAAACGGGCCTACAATTAATCATATGCTCTCTCAGAACAAGCCTATCATTTTTGCATTTCATTAAAGCAATCAAGCTAATATTGTCAAGAAAGCCAACCTTTCCACTTGGAAACTTGTTTGGTGTGTATTCTTCTCCAAAAAGCTGTATTCCCACAAGTGCAAACATGTAGATGATGATGGCCAATATCAGTGTCAAGTGTCCCATGGCATTAATACTGCGACCGATGGCACCAAGAAGGCTCCGCATTGTGGACCATGATTGAGCAAGCTTCAATACCCTTAGCTGGAAAAATATCCAGTTGTTAGAAAAGCCAAAAAATACAGTCAAAGACAACTTTCTACTTTGTAGTTTCTAAATGAAACGTTGTTAGCATTAAAATCGGTTTGAATATTGTAATTATTATGTTCTTATTAAAAATAAGTAGGGCTTAGAAGGAATCATTTTCTAAATTGTCATTATTGGGATAGTGAGAAAAGAAAAGACAAATAGCAGTCTCGCAGAAAAGAAATCCACACAAGAAGAGAAATTAGAATCAAAAGCATGCTGCTGGACAGCATAGGATAGATCCATACAAGCCTTGAAAATAATGAAAATTAATATAAGAAATACGAGATTAAAACAGTTCAAGAAAAAGAAGAGGTTAAGAAGGAATAGAAGGAAAGGGAAAATGATGTCGATGAAGAAGAATGAAAATGGTTGAAGGGAGAAATTCAGAGAGAAGAAGAATATCGGAAAATTTAGAAGAAGTGGACAAGGAAAAATATTTTGGATAAAAAAGAAATAGAGAAAAAGGAGGATAAAAGCAAGAGGTAGGAAAAATTTGCTAAAGTAAGAAGTCCTTCAGCTGCTAATAATCTTAAAAGGATGCGGCACTTACCAATCGGAATGAACGAAGAATGCTTAGTGTACTGTTGTCTTTATTGGTAGCAGCCTCGACTAGAAGATCGATCATGCTTATTATGACAACGAGGCCATCGAATAAATTCCATCGACTTGAAAGGTACCTCCGTAATCCATATGCAATGATTTTCAAAATCATCTCAGTAAGAAAGACTGAAGTGAAAACCTGTAATTAGAACGATATACTTAAGTATCCAAGTTATGGTCACTGACTTAATTTTTTCATTTTCAAAACATGGTTTGATAGGATAAGGAATAAATGGACAACCAACAAGTGCCTGATTATTTTAATGATTACCCACGCTGTTGTTGTATACAAATACTCTTACAGTATACTGTAGCTCCATGCGACGATCTGATAAGACCCAGATTAAGGTGGCTCACATTTCTGTATTGTTGTTCTATAGATAAGTGGGTGGGCATGGCTTTAGGGTATGCTTAAAACCTTGACGCCACAAGCTATTGGAACATGGAGCGTTCCTTAAGCCAAAAGTCCGTCTGCTACTTCAGAGTGTTTTCATATTAAAACTTCAGCACATGGGATGCATAAGTTGCTTAAATTCTGTCATTATAATTTTGGCTCACGAAAAAAATAGCTAGTCCGTATGCAAGGATTTCGTTTAGAATCCCAAAGCTATATAGATATACCTTTTTTGGTTAACCTGATTAGATGTCTTAATAGTTTGAAGTATGTGTCACTCACGTGGTTTAATGCAACCAGTGCATCTTTAAAGAACGGGTTCATTCCATGATACTCTAGAGACAAGCATAATGTATTGAGGAAAATAAACGCAGTCACGGCGAATTCGAACATCTGATTTGACACAACATAGAAGATCTTCAGTCTGATCCTCTGGAATGAACTAAGTTCGTCATGATCCAAATTCTGGTATGGTCTCCATTGTAAGGTTTGATCGGAGTCAGTGGATGAGAAGTTTTTGTCTGGGGAAGAGGACGTTGACGCTTCAGACATTAATGATGACAATGACATTGCAGTGCCGTGCTGTGGAATAGGGATAGTCTGGTGTCCATTTGACGTCATTGCCAGCTTCGAATCCGTTTTTGCTCTTACGATTGCAGCTGGGTCCGGTGAAGGATGTATTGCCGAGCGAAAGACGTGTGGTGATGGTTGAGCTTGGATGGTCTGTCGTCTGCGACGCCCAAATGGTCGTAGTATTGTCTGTTGGTTTTGATCGAAAACCACGACGTCTGGTAGCCTGTCAGTTGTATGAAGGACCGGACTTGGCAGGTCGAAAAGCAGTACGGGGACAAACTTGTTGTGCAGAGAATAAGATGAAGCGATTGTCTTGAGTTGTTCATAATACTTTTCCTATGAAAAAGGACAGATCTCTGCTTGTATAGACTTATAGATAAATCATTAAGGGACATTACAGTCCTATTATTATGCAAGAGAATGAAAAGAAAACCAAGTCAGCAGGACCATATCATGTTCTTGTAGTGATGCTTATCCAACGAACCTAAGTCTCAAGGAGATATAGTCATCCATTAAGCACACCAATTGCCCTTGTAGAGAGTTTCCCATATCGTTGTTAGATCAAGTGTCACCGAAATGCTACTTTGACAGCTCATATATATAGAGTTTTTATGGCTACCTAAAATTGCACAGTCCACAGCCTCCAAAGATAAGAAATTACCAATCTGAATAAGGACCGAAGCTTCGATTGTAAGCGCTGATTATTAAGACGAAAATTATTTGTAGATATTTAAAAAGTAAAGAGACAAACTAAATGAAAAAGTAGCAAATTTTAGAAATGCGATGTGTGTTAAGGATTTTTTTCATTTTTTATTCCAACTGGTTTTTCTATAATCACAATGAATTGAAGAGGAATGTTGTCTTACCCGATTCGCGATATTTTCTGCTTCCTGTTCATATGACAATGCAACAACAGCCAGCACAAGATTGATAAGATAGAATGACCCAAAGAAAACGACAATCATGAAGTAGAATATACACCAAGATCCAGTTGATGATATTACCTAAGGAAAATCGAAATTATTTTAGCTTAAATAAGAAACAGCTCCATGTAATGTCGCGAGAGAGTCAACTTCACTTCTCAACGAGAAAAAACCTGTTAACCAGAGTTTCCTTTAAACGTGGCTCTGAAAAGACTAACATTTTTAAACGTACTTAAGTCTTTCGTGGGACACCCAAGAAAATATATAAAGAGATTGGTGGATCCAAATAGGACAGTCGGTTCAAGGGCTCCATTGGTAATTTTTTCAATAGGCAACATTGATGGGCAACCTTTACTGTTAATTTTTTTTATTCTGGTGAAAAGCGTCAGGCGAATAACTTAAGTATGCTTCAAAGTATTTTCTCCTTTCAGAGCCATTTTTATTTTCTGTATTGCCAAAAGATTGTTGTCTTAAGAGCTGCTAGATTGTGGCACCAAGCCCGATTCTTGTCAGAATCAGACTTCATAGTATCGTTGCAAGTATGAACAATCAGCAACCTTCAACAGCGATGTATGCTAAACACTATTTTTGATCTAACTAAGTTGTTTAACGACCATCTATACACAAGGATACAAAAACATCTGAAACTAAACATTGGAATATATTCTATTGTGTAGAAATGCGTGATCACATTTTTTCTTGTAAGCAAAATAATATTCTATGTTCTTGGATTTAGAAATCTTCATCAAAGATCTTCAAATAAGGAAGGGCTCATATTGATGACGTCATGAAAAAAAAAGGATCAAGGAAAATTGTCCCTAATTAGATGATGGCATTTCGTCAAGTTTTAAACTGGATGGAAATCTTCGTGTCCTTGAAAGATGGTGTTAAGAGAACATGGCAAGACATCAGGAATGCCAAAAAACATGATATCAAAACGAACTGATTATTCTCTCGGAATTGTAATTTTAGTCTGTGCCGCTGTATTTTTGATAAATTTATCAGCTTTTTGATAGATACTCACATGAAAATAAACATTTTCCCAATAGTCCATTGTAACTAACTGTACAGATGTGAGAAGCGCCCATCCAAAATGGTCAAAACTTGTGTAACCATAGTTCGGGTTCTCTCCAATGTCTCGAAAACAAGTATAGTTTTCCGGGCAGAGCCTACAAAAAATATATTAGATTAGATTAATACGACATCCACTTCTCCCTGACTGAAACTTCGGGAGTGAATACGGCATATAATGTCAGATCTGTGTAAAGCCACAAGGATGCTTTAGGGAAATTTTAGCTTCTGATTAAAAGTATTAACGGTTAATAAAAAGGCTAATGGAGATTTTTGGCTTAAACGTTTGAAATTAATAATGTTAGGTCACCATGTTTAACACCCTGTGCTTGAAGTTCCTTTGAACAGATTGCGATTAATTCTTAAGCGGAGTATTCAGGGACCGTCAAAGGATTATGCAGATCCTTCTATAAATTCCTCTGCATGATAACAAAGACATTTAAACTTGTTTTGTGCGTAATTGCATTGCTCTACTGCATTTTTTTGGGTCAGGAGGGTTGTTACTTTTGCCATTAAATTGTTGCAACTGTTGGTTGTTATGCATGCAAAACCGCTTGATCTTTATAAAACCATCATGTTTCCATATTAATTACAATAATAGCTGGAAGGTAAAGTCCATCCAGCAAATTCTTAGCTGTGAACTCCGATTATCGATATGATCTTCAGCTTATTCAACTTAACGGCTCATCAATAATTGGCTCACCATAAACAGTCATGACTTTTCGACATTTGCTTCAACAATAGCTAGCCTATGGACGCCAAAAAGGGAACAAGGAGGCGAATACCCCCCTGTTCCAGATCAATATGTCTTCAAGTATCGAAGCCTTTTCTTGAAATGTTTCAGACTGTCTCAGAAAAGCTCCTGCTTTTGTAACTTGCTAGGACGGATGTTGCAAAACAAAAGCTAACTTGACTGAGTTTGAAAAACGTTCGATCGATCAAAGATCATCATTTCAAGTATCCATCAATTTTTGCCCATCAGTTGCAAAGCTACTTTCTTAAAATCCAGAAAACATGGTCAAAAAGCAAAACAATTCCCTGTGGTTTGGGCTTGGTGATGCAAGTCGCATTATATAGATGGATCATACCGACAATCGTCTGCTTTTGCAGCAACAAAATTCCCTGGCATGTTCATTTAACCCTTAGCAAACCAAATGAGAGGTCATTATTAGAACTCGTTCCCAGCAAAGCATATAAGTTCAGTCTCAAGAACGAACCAATCTCTCACCTGCTTGTTGAAGCATTACCGCATACCATAGTCGAACCATCGGTTGGGTACCAATTAGCTGCAATATACATTTCTGAGGTCAGAATCGTGATATTCTGCATTTGAATAGTGTGAAAATATAGAAGAATAGTGAGTTGTAATGGCAAATATGAAGAAGTAGGTACTGTTATAATGTAGATTGCTGAACTGCTTAGATGAAGATTCATAAAACGTGGAAAGGATGTACAACATGTCGAAAGGATGTACAACATGTCAGAAAAAGGTTCTTCGTTTTTACAATAAAAGGACTTTTCATAATGAGTAACCCCTGCCAAAATATGGTGCGCGTTGAATATTCCAGTGCTTCGAAAAAGTTCTTTTTTTTAAGAAAAGCATAAATTCCCTTTTCGTTTGATTTTGAAAAAAGAAACGTTTCGGCGATATTGCTAAATCTTTTTTAACTTTTCCAAATACTTTTTCTCCTACAGTAATAAGAAACTGAATGCATACTTCAGATAGCACAAATCCCCGACGTTCTCTTTTCTGTACATTAAGCAAATGTTAATGGCAGTAAGATTTTTTTTAATTAAACAGCGCACTGCAAATAATATCTTACCTTTATTTAAAACATGTTGGGCGTACGGTAAAGAAGAATTTGTAGGCGTGAGGACACATTTGTTACGTAGATAGCCAGAGAAGAGCTGGAGACCAAGTAGGGCGAAAACACATATAAAAAATGTGGTTAACGCGAGCACATCAGACAGCAGCCTCATTGACTTCAGCAATGCATTCACCATAGTCTTGAGACCTAAGGAATTGGAAATGAGATAAAATTATAAACTTTTGCAGATATTTCTAGCATTAAAAGAACTTTCATTTACTTCTATTCCCGTCTTTATTTGCACCGTTATACGATTCCAGTCCTTCATTGATTTGCGAATATTTTATGTCAATGCATTCTTATTGGTGCACTGTTTTATTTCTACCCTTTCTATGTCATTTCTGGTTACTGTATCTATATAATTTCTTTGCATCGACACCCCTTTCTATTCGTTTCCTGGTTCTGCCATCTGTAAACGGTTTTCTCTTCTGTTTTCTCAAGCTACAAAGCAGTGTGGCTCATCAAGCTTCCTACATGCAATTATTTCATTATTCAAAGTCGAAAATTCTGTTTTAATGAGCAGAATTTCGTTGTAATGAATTTCGCTTTGCAAATGTTTATTTAGGTACGGGTGACCCTTTGTGACATAAATTATAGCTATGGGTTTATTAGACTGGCAGGTCCTGTATTGCCTGTGTTTTCTGAACCGCTGTTTTCACTCCGCTGACATGAATCAAACCAGAGCTTGCATTGGCTTTTTAAACAGCATGGAAATCATAGTGATAAACTCAACCTTACCTTCAACAGCTGAAATCGTTCGCAATGCTCTCAGCACTCGAAAAGTTCTTATACCAGTGAAATTTGACACCTTCGGTGTGATTGTAATATACCTGAATAGCAGAAAATCTTATACTCATTTCAAGAAAGCTATATTAAAAATGCTGATAGACAAAGATCTTATAGGCAAAAATGATTTGCTGCTATTCTTGCAAATTAAAGGCCTGTTGATGTTGTCACTCTCTTTTAAACAAATTTTCATTATGACCCTTTTTGTGCAAGAAAAAGACCTTTGGTAAAAAGAGCTTGGATATCTCTTCACTTTATAATTCATTGCTTGGCCAAGAATTTATTAAAACTAGAAACTGCTCACGTAACGTTTAGATTAAAAGACATTTAAAAAAGTTAAGCAATCCTAAATCATCATTGATATCCAGGAGATCCTATAAAACTCTTATAATTATAGCTGTCGGTGTTATCTTACTTTTGTTTCATAGTTATTGTTAATGTTTTGCATTTACTCTCATTGAGGATGAAATCAACGTTATACTAAGTTGATTATTGCAAGCTTTATTTGTTTTTCAGAAAAGCCGACCTGTTTATGATGCAGTGAGGTGGATTAAAATCGAACATATGCAGTTTTTGTGTTGCTATCAGCATGATCTCATTAGCAAGCAACACGATTTGATTAATTTTTCTTCTCAAGCCACAATTTTTCCTCTGATAAGTTTGCTATGTATAGTTTGGCAAAAGTTTGTTTTGAATTTCTGTATTAAGCTGCACAGCGGGTATGTTAAATTTTTTATATGACTGAAAATGCTGCGAATCAAGCTTCATACATATGGGGTTACGCAATAAGCTACCAGAAAAGTTCTACTGCCTGTCTGCAATTTATTCTGCTGTTCGTTGACAATGGCTTTCACCTCAAAGAATATCGTTACTTTGACTTTATGTCCGTGATATAATTGGCGTAAAATTTTCTAACGAGATGCTACCCCAATAATCTAAACCTGCTGGGGCAAAAAATTACAACTATTTGCAGATTACTTAACAATGCATGTTTTCTAAGTATATACAGTATAAGGCGTATCGCTCTAGGCGTATTAAGTATGTTATATGCGAAGCACGTTGTAACCAGGGTATGCTAGAATTGACTAAAACCAAGCACACCTTTTGCTGGGACCAAGCACACCAGTACGTTATATAAGAAAGTACGTAATAACCGAGTACATTATTACTGGATTCTACTGTACCGTTGAGTAAATATGAAATCATATGTCACTGTCATTTATACGTCTTGATAGCAGCCGTAATCTCCGATAACCTGTTTGTTACAAGACTTATCCGAATGACCAAAGTTCAAGGTGGGATTGAGCAGGGCGGAAAATATAAACCTAACCAAACATGCATTTCAATTAAATACTAGGAGTAATTTTTAAGGGTGATGGGTGGCTACGTTTCCACAGTCTCAGCTTCTCCGCCCATCAAGGTGTGAAGAAAACTTATGGGAGCTGTAACTTGCCAGTCTAGTTTCGATATTCCTGTATATAAAATCTCTTAACCAAATGTTTCTAGAGCAATTTAAAAAAAATGGAAATTCTACTTCTGACACTATCAGCCAGCAAGGTTCTTCCTTTTCTTGTATCATATGAGAGCAATATAAAAATCACCCCCACCCTCATGAAAGGCTCAAAAGTCTGTTTTTAAAACCCTTAATACTAAAATGCTAGAAGATACTTACCCTAAACAAACAACTACAAAATCTAACCAATTCCACGGATCTCGCAAATACGCATAACTATGTAAGACATATCCTTTGGCTACGATTTTCAATATCATTTCTATGGTGTAAATTGCTGTGAAGACATATCTAGAAATTAAACAGAAATTACAATTACAATGGCAGACATTGAAAGCTGCGATTTGTAAGTTAGTTTTGTTAGTATGTTAGCATGTTAGAAATAATTCGTAAGAAAAACATTTTAGGCGGCGGCAGACGCACGTTTCTGCAAAATGATGCTTGTGTCTTTCAGTATACCGTCAAAATTAACAAATAATTGCTGCCAATTGTATTTGATAAATGCAAACCAAGATTTACTGATATTTCGTCATTTTTATATCCTGTATCATTTTAAAACATGCATTGAAATAGTTCCTTAAATGCATCAAACATTTTTATTGATCGTAAGATAATGGACATCGTTCATTAATGTTAAAGCGTTCTCTTACTTTTCAATAGCAATGATTCAAAAGCAATGCAATTGCATTAATTTTTCAGGTTCATATAAACCTTACATGATCACAAAGCTAAAATATCCTTCTCTAGTCTCATTCCACCAAGGAAGAAGGAGATTTTGGAATGAACAGACTGACGACGAGGAGAGGTCGGCGATTGGGGGGGGGGGTGACGATAGGGGGTGTAGATGGGAAGAGATTAGGGTCTGTCGCATTGTGCAAAATAAAGAAACATGAGTACGATATATTTTATAATAAGACTGGTATTATTTAGACCCCAATCCCATTAAATTTTAACTAGCATCGCCCTCCTTGGCCCTGTCCCATTGCTTTTAACTTGCGTCGAAGACCCTGGCACATGAATAATGCTCATATAATTACATGTTAGAGTCATGGTTGTTTATTGCAATTGTCAGTCACCAGCACATGAAAGTAGCAACTGTTTTGAAAACGGGAATGATTTTTCTTTGTCGGTAACTGGGCAATTTCGTCTTACAATGCTTTATTGGATCAGTATTTTGGCTTTCAAACATGACAACAAGCATCGGTTTTTTTGAAGTTACTAGTCTTTATGATACCATTATACTTTTTGTTTTTATTTGATAAACACATAAATAATTATTTTGATAAAGCGCTTCCATACAATGCAAAAGAGAAACAATGTTAGGATTTTCACATCTTCAACTGTCACAGGCTTTTTTCAGAAATAATTTTAAATGAAATTATTGCGTTTATCCTTTTAGATTCGTTCCAGTTAAATTGAAACTTCGAACACAGGTGCTACAAAATGACGATTCAGAATGGGTTTGGTGGTGCTACTGCAATGGGGCCGAATTCGCTGTTCGTCAGACTCCTTGTACAGACTAGCGATTCGTGAAATTTAAATCCAGTAGAGCGCAAAGATTGATCTTTAAGGTAACTATAATTGAAGCTGATTTCAATTCTTTTTTGAAAGGATAAAAATTATCCAGGTAATCGTCCCTTTGAAAATAATAATTTGATCACCAAAAAAATACTGATACTCACGAGAAACTAACCGTGACACCGCAGAAAAACAAAAAGGTTATTTCCAGGTTACTTTTTTAAATTGGTTGATAAGCATTAGGTACGACTTTGACACTCACACAGTAATAATGCTTTTAAGGACTTGACGGTAGCACAGATCATTGCGGAGCAGAAGTTATGGCCTGTAACGGAGGAGGGCCTAGAGTGAGCTCTGCCGATCGGGCATCCTAAATTCAAATATTCCACAACTTTAAAAGCCAGTTGCCTTATAAATTTGTTAGAAAGATAGTATTTGTTCCAAAAACGGACTGCATGAACGACCATAATAAGGGTAACTTGTTCTTATGACATTACAGCCTACACCATTCCATGAAAAAGTTCATTTACGTAAAGCTTTTAGAAAGATTTCTCCACATCAATTCTGTACTAATCTAACAATACCTTTTACAGGTTAAACGTTTATTTGACAATACAAAAAAGAATGGGACCATCATCATGCAACTTATTTTGAAAGGACCCCTGTTTCTAACTGTGTAGAGATAGCTACTTACTCCGCCTCTTCTGGTGGGTTGTCCAACGCCAAGAAAATGCAGTTGATGAGAATTGTCAGCACAACAAAAAACTCGAAGAATCTGGAAACATCTGGGTCAAGGAAAGCTTTTTACAAGGTATTTTTAGCAATACTTAACAAGTATTTTTAGCAATATGGCTATCTACTGCATCAATACGTACCCACCGTGTCACTGACTTACACCTACAAAATAATCAATATGTTTGCGCTTTTCATATTCATTATTTTACTTTTCATTTTTTCGAGAAATTATCACTTTGTTTTCTTAGGAAAGCGTTTCTCCATCAGCTAATTAAGACCAAATCAGATACCAAAACTGCCGCAGCAACATTTAGCAAAACAAGTATAATTGAGGTGGTGATAAACTAGTTTCCATACCATTTACTTCAGAACATGTATTCACTAGGACAGATACAGATAAATTTAGCAATGAAGCGGAAATCCTGCCCTCCTCCAACCGCAATTTTGGTTAATTTCAATACTCGTTAGTTACTGGTGGAACATTGACTGGTTTTAATTTTGTAAATGTCTTTAATGAAGTTTCACAGCTAAGAGTTAAGTTTTGAATCCGTTAAGCAATTCAAGAATATTGTTTTTCAAAACAAAAACCTGTTCAGTTTTGGCGGAATGTAATCAAAGAACAGTTTTGGGAAGAGAGATTAAACTGCTCAGCATCATTCGGCTTATAAAATTTACTGGTTAGTAGATACTCTAAAGTTAAGCAAGAAGTAGAAGACTTAGACAAAGCCAGATAAACTTGGCAATTTCAAAATCTGACAATACATTATAAGGCTCAAGATGTTAGCTTCTATGTCTAGAACATCAAAAAACATGTTACGTATATATATACTTGGAGGGACGTGTCTGATTCAGAGTTGAATCAAATTTGGTATGACATTTATTGTCGCGTTCATAATTATTTCATAAGCAAGCCGCAAGATATTCAGTTTTTGAAAAGATACTGGTTGGTGATTATCAAAATGGACAGCTTTCGAATGGGGTTCTTCGGGCCTAGCAGCCATAGTGACCTGCTTTTGTTGAATCTGTAGACGTATATCTTTCCCAGCCGTTGAGATAAGACCAGGAACGTCTGAAAAGAATGAAGACTTCATTAGAGGGCATTTATTATCATATGCGTGTATAAAGCAAAGAATGAATTAGTGATGAACATAGCTTTATCATTTTAGTTGAATAACGTGTATCAGGGAAGCATAGTAGTTAAAGATACTAGCCCTTTGATTTATAGTTTGATTTTAATGGTCGCTTAATGGACAAAAAAGGAGCATCAAATAGTTAATCTGTTACGCTTTCCATACCAATTCTGAAAAGACAACCATTTCCTTAACAAACTGGCCACTTTTTACAGTAGTGAGTCTAGCTGAACAACAATTGGAGAGGCCATTGGGAGTAATATTGTAGAGACAACGCGGCAATGGTAGTTTAGGTCGTTCAAAGAGTTTTGAAAAGCTTTAACAGTTCTGTTCGCCTATTTAAATAATAACAAAGAGTGCTAACAATTCTACAACATGTGCTTTGTCTATCCATAAAAATTTCAATTGGGTAGGAAGCAGCTTGGAAGATGTGAATGCAATGAAGCTAGCCACTGTTACAAAAGCGAGGAAACTTAAATGCAAAATAATTTTCATCCATTTCGAGTTTAAACTTTGCATCAGGTCAAATGACAATAGAATTTACAATATGACAAGGGATAACAAAAGCTGTTTCATATTTCTATAATGCAATATAGTTGATAGGATAAAATTTCTTCAAGGGTGTTATCTAAATAAGGATAATTCTGCCATGGAGCTAACGACAAAACAAGAAATCATCCCAGCAACCTAGACAACGCTGTGACGTTATCTGATGTGTGTTTGCCGAGTTCTCTTGCGCGTTCGATCTTGTTATGAAAGACTCTAGCAATGAGGCTGATAGAGTCTAGGTTTATGCACTAGCAATTTGAGTGCACTAAAGAGACTGTGCAAACGAAGCTTACTCTTGTTATTGACCTTCCCATTTGTGGTTAAACCTTGGTTTTAGCCATCCATGAACCATTTAATCGCAATTTTTAGCAACCGATTTATGTAAAAGCCGATCATCTTCGCTTAAGGTTGTCATGCACAAGAAAGTTCTACAGCAAAGCAAATATTGATATTGCGATCTTTTCTGCGATGCCAAAGTAGAGATGCCAAGAAGATGCTTTGTTTTCGATGCAAGTTACCAGAAGGATTTGCTTGTCGTTGCACAGATTTGATTGCGATCAGTATTATTAATCAATTTTCAAATTCTCTAGACAACATAACATTCTTTCTTTTCTCTGCTTCCGTTGTCTTCGCTTAAAGTTGGTAAATAAACTCTTGATTTGAAGTTTCAGGCTTCCAAAGTTGTGTATAGTGCATCTATTTATGTTGCAGTTTGCTAACTATGGATCTTCGACGGTTGCAAGCATGTAGAGACATTTTACTGGATACCAGCATGTCAAGTTAAATTCGTATTCATAATCAAAAGCTGAGTAGCTGATTCGACTGGTTCCTCCATTGAATCATATTTATTGAAACTCATAAAACTCGGGAATCCTCAGCCTGCTGGAGCCATGCATTTGCCTAGCAAATTACCCGTCATTACGTTTTTGTATAAATGCATACGACGGGGGTAGTTATTCCCATCCAACCATGGTAACGGCTTGTTGCTATATGCTGATCGATGTTCACATGCATCTAGTACAATGTCCTGCATGTTAAACGGGGGTTTACTAACTTCGATTTAAAAGTAGGACA